ACATAATTTTTCCTTCATATAATTATTTTTAATTTCTAAATATGCTTTCCTTCTACTTTTTGTCTCTCGTAAACACCTTTATTTTTTCTGATTTTGGTAAACTTTCTCTCTACTGATGTCCACATTTTGTTTCATCATCATAACACCAACACGTTTTCCACTATTATATTAGATGGAAAAAATACAATGAATATATTATATTATTATATTAATTTATTATATTATTTTATAATAATATAATACATAATATAATATATTGTTATATAGTTAGAAATTTTGCTGATTAATATATAATTAAATTATTATTATTATTATTATTATTATTTTACTTTTTTCTTTTATAATTTTTATACAACGTTATAAACATTAATCATTCATTAGTATTACCCGTTAAGGAGCAAAAACTATATTATATACAATTAAAATATTTTCAATTGAAGCACCACCAACTGAAATTAAAACCATCATAATCATTAAAAGTTTTTCATTATTTACCATCTTCATTATAAACTTATGCCAAATTATTTTATCGCGATAAACTTTTCGTATATGATGGAGAAAATTTTCTTCTTTTTTTTTTTTGAGCTCAACACCGAAGATCACATTCCAATGGTGTTGTATTGTTGATTAAACAAAAGAAATATCAACTAAGTAATAAATCCGAAAAAATAGGTATAATTTCTTTTGTTTTTCAAATTATTTTATCGCAGGTAATTGATTTGGTTCCTTTTTTTTCTTTTTTTTTTTGGTTTTGGTCACTTTTTCCTTGAACATTATTGAGTTATTTTTCTCCATACCTCCAACTTTTTCCTACTTCAAAATGAAAAAAAATGTATTTTTCCCCAATCGAGAAAAAAAATAAAAATAACATAGTCTTTTTCAATCTCCACCCATTTTGAGAGCCATGAAAAAAAATGGTCTTATAAAGAAATATATAACTGGAAGTCGTATAATCATTCTTTTTTCCCCTTATTCAGATTGCCCACTCATGCAAACTCTCTAAAATAAAAGCATTTTTTTTTTGCTTTTTGTTTTTCCATCAATTTTTTTTTTAAAATAAATTCAGTTCAAACTTTTTGTTTGCAGTCAGCCGAGGCAAGTGAAGGATGTGCGCACCAAGACAAGGTTGTCCGCGTCCTTGGAAATACAGTAGAGACGGAAAATTATTAATTTACTTTTATATATTTTGATTTGAAGCTTTTGTGTTCTATTTAATTTACTTTTATATATAATTTACAATTTACGTTACAAAAATTACCATTAAATGATCGAGTGATGTGGTTGTGACACGTGGATTCGGCTATCTAATTTTTTGCCGAGTGGATTACCATGTTTAACTTTACGACATGTGTCCGATTGAAAACTCTCCTTTAATACATATAAAGATATATATATATATATATATATATATATATATATATAAGATAGGACAATATATAAATATTCATTAAAGAATTGAAACAATTCTCGATTGGGACACCTATCTATCCTCAACGAGTTTTGCGCTTTGAGGACAATCTTGAGGTGGTGATGACTGATGGAACTAGGTTTTCAGGCAAATCCCAATTCCCATCCTGACATTGTTTTTTTTTTTTTTCCCATCAAAATTTTTTAGATTCCCAGTTAAGAAACAAAATTAAGCAAAACTCCACACAAAATACAACCAATATTTGTGATGTATTCTGACATGAAAGAGAAATCAATAAGAGGGGGGATCTAAATCATCAAATGGCCCCCCATGTGTACAAAATCTCACTGAATCCCAAGAGGATTTGTCGGTCCTTTTTCTAAGTTCGATATTGCCTGATCATACTTTATATGGACATTCATGCAAAGTACATGCATATGAAATTACTATTATTCATTTGACCTTGTTATAATTATTTGCCTTATGCATAATCTTTTTCTCTTTCTTTTTTTTTTTTTCCGTTCTTCAAAGACAATAATGCAAATTAATAATTAACTATTGTAGTACTTTTGATTTTCTTCTTCCAACACGAATGACAATCATGCATTTTTCAGGCCTGTGTCCGCGTTTTAATCAACAACAACAATTACATGCATTGCGATGGGGTGTAGTGAAAATAATTTGTTGTTCGTTGTTAGTTGAACAACACATTGTTCAGCTGTACTTTTTTAACGTTAAATTGTTGTTAAATGTGTTCTGGCGTAACTAAAAGAAGAAAGAAAAATATAATTAAGTTGACCATATTGTTTTGTACTTAATAATGTTTGATTTTTTGGGGAACAAAAGAACCTTTAAGACAAATTTGATATGTTCGATCATCGTCCAAGTTTATAAGTATTAAAGAATGACAATGACAAAGTTTACCTCCCAACACTACTTTAAAATGTTGTAAATGCTAAAAGATCTAGAGCTGATGTTTTCCCTCTTACTTTATGGTAACAAGATAAATTTATCTATTTATTTAGAAAGAAATATTAATATTACCTGAATTTCAAAATGACTGTCTTGTTTATTGGGACGAAGAGAGGAGAGAGAGAACATGATTAAGACCATAGAAAAAGATTTGTTCGGTTCTTCTTGATGGGTACTAAAATGAAACCTAAAATGGAGATATCAGCCCAACTCGTTTGAAGAACTAGAATTACTTTATTGCTTAACCCATAATATTCGCGTAATTTCTTTTAGTCCAGCAACAAAGAGCTCCATTAGCCCAAAGTCTCAAAAATCTGCATTTCTTTCTTTCGAGTTTTGTGGGCTCCTTTTTTTGCCTTTGTATATCTTGGTGGAATGTGCAAGCTCTTGATTGTATAATTACAATCATTTTGAAATGTAGGTAATATTACTGGAAATATGTTTGAAGCAACTAATTGCTTGGGTAAAAAATACTTGTTATTTCTCATCAAATTTCCATAGTAGTTGTAATAGCACCTATAGCTCACCTCTTTGACAGGGACTAGGTTTACAGTTTATACTAGGACCGGATGCACTTTTTGTCCTCCAGTTTTTGACGATAACAAGATCAAGTTACCATGAATTTTCAACTGGCAAAAACAATCCCCTCAATTGTTTTTTTCGTCAATTTTAGTTAATTTAACAGAAATTTTCTAAAACTAACGAGAGAATGCCAAATTCCATCAAATTCTCTTATTATATTCATTTATATACTATTTGTGGGACCCACTATTTGACCAGCACAAAAAATTAAAAAAATCAAAAATAAAATAAACAAAAGAGGCACAAAAAACGGACTTCTACATTCTCATTCCAGAATCCAAAAATAAAATCTTTTTTCTTTTTCATTTCTTTCTATTAAGATTTTAATTCAATTAAAAAAATAAAAAAAATCTTTTGTTTTTTATCCTTTCTCCTTGCCACACCCAGAATCACCCCACCTCCGCCCAATCATTTTTTTCAATTTCAGTTCTTGATTGTTGCATAAAATCATCGATACATTTAGGAGGACACAATCTATAACAAGAATATTTATCAACATTTTTCTTTGCTAGGAGAATTTTGGAATTTAGTTTGATAGAAGTAAATTAGGAGAATAACAACTTTCTGAGACCAAAATTCATCCTGAAATGAATCAGAAAACAGAAAAGGAGGCAAAATGAAACAAAGGGGTTCATTTTTGAAGAGAGATTCATTCATTTCCCTCAAAATTGCAAGAACCAAACCAAAAAAACAAAAAGAAAGCATTTTTTGGGTTTTTTGCGCTGTATATACGATGATAGTAAAAGGTCTAAACACCAATTACTGGATTATAAAAGAGCAAAGCCACCAATTTGAGTCATCACAAAAAGCAGTATCACAATTCACCAACTAGAAACTACAAACACCAAATATGTGGCCAAGGGCTTCAACCCAACAGGCTGAACTGTTGCACAGACGAAGGGCAAGCTTTTACAAGACTGATGGAAGGCAGCAAAGGCGGTAGCAGTTGAGGGAATTCACACATCTGGTGGCGCGTGAATTGTACGCGTTTGCAAGGACGCCAACAGGGAGAGAAGACGATACCGGCTGAAAAAGTATGTCAAGTGAAGAGTGAAGGTCCCGACTGATTTTGGTACACCTCTCCATCGACAGAGCCTCGAAGGGAAGTCTCACCAGAACAAGAGCAACCACAAAAGGCTGTCTATCTATTTGTATGAGAGAAATTAAAATGGGCAAATCGATCTAGGTAACAACAAAAAATAATCTCAATTTGAAATCTCTCCAAAAACTATTGAAATGTCTCCAAAAACTTCAAGAAATTAAAAGATGATAAACAGAGAACAATCAAATCAAAAGGCTACTTCTCCGATGAGCACTGCTCATGAGCCGACGCCATAGCTAATTCTCCGTTTCTGCTATTGCTTTCTTGAAGTTCTCCTTTTATTGGGCTTTATTGGATTGGAATCGGAGATATTCGTTTCTTTTATCGATCTTAAATTAAAAAAAAAAAAATCAAAAGACTACAATCAATCAAATCCCCCGATTGTGTGGAGAAGGAGGTGCGGCCGTGAGGGTGATTCTCGGTGGAGAGAAGGGTAAATTTTTTATTTATTTTTTTAAATTAGATTAGATATTAATAAAAAAATTAAGAGAAAAAAGAATTTTTTTTTGCTAGGCCAAATCTAGTGGGTCCCACCGTTCTAAAAATTAATAAAAAATTAAAATTTTAACGGAAAAAAATGGTTGACCCGTTAAGTTTGAAAAATTCTATTAAATTGACCAAAATTGATGACAAAAATATTTTAAGGAACTATTTTCACCATTGAAAATACATGGTGACTCGAATTTGTTACCCCATAACTGGGAGACCAAAAGTGCATTTTGTCCTTTATACTAAAGAAATCTAAACAAGGCTTTCAAATAATGACCAAGATTCTTCCTATCAGAAACCCTTGATCAAATCTGGAATGTTCTAATATATGTACTCCCTTCCGGTAGAGTGCATTTTGTTCTATAAAAGAGTAAGATAAAGTGCACTATTAAAGTTGTACGGAGGGACAATTGTCCACACAAGTGTATGTGTGTACATAGAAAAAGCTTACTCAGTTGCGCCAAAATGTTGCTCATCCTTTAATATTGAAGGAACATCAGTGAAGAAAGGCATATTCTTCTGCTGAAGTTCATCACATTCTTCTGGACACGCTATTGTTGCATCAAAAGTGTCGCGATCAGGAAGGCTGAGTCCTTGTTTTATGCGCCCAACTCGCCTCGAATGTAGTACTTGTTCGGACACAACTGGCAGCCGAATGAACTGATACTCCTCCAAGGCTGAGCAAAGATTTTCCAACCCCCATTTCTGAAGACATTTGCCTAAAACCGCGGCATCCAATATTGACATGTTTGTGCTTCGAACGCCATGAGGGGTTGTTGGATGAGCTGCATCTCCAATCAGAACAACATTGTTCCAGAAAAGCTGTTTCAGAGGATCAGCATCGTAGATCACATTTAGGAATGGTTCTCTTGTTTCTCTCATGAGCCTTGCTAATTCGGGGCACCAAACTTTTTCAGCTTCTTCATTCGTCCGGCTAATCATCTCATCACTAACTTTCGTAGTCACTGAGTTCCCCTGTGTTGGAAAAAATCAAAACAACATTTCAGTCTGCCACAAAAAAAAAAAAAAAAAAAAGTACTTAACTTTCTCAACAGGATTTAGATATAAGAATTGATTAAAGTTAAACAACTTGCTGTTGATAATATCGAATGAGCACAAAAATTTACCTGAACTTGAGGTTCAGGTTGATGAACATACCAAATCCAGTTCATCCGATTGCGCAATAGCTCATAAAGCACACAGTGAGATCCTGAACTCATGTCAAAGTATAAGCATTTCCCAAGGTCTGGATATGCCTTCTTGAGGTTCAATATGGTTTCATTATTCTCATTTTCGTAAAAATCAAAAACACCCCGCCAGGCACAGTAGCCTGAGTACCTATTGATGGAATGTGATGCCAACCTATCTTAAACTGCTGCAATAAGAAAGAGCAAGATAAAGGGATACCGAATTACTGTAGTTCACATACCGCAGATTAAAATCAGGAAGGAAACTCTTTCGGATGTTAGAAAGACATCCATCAGCGGCAATGAGCAAATCGCCGACTATTTCAGCTGTGTCTCCACTTTCAAGAACTTTACATTTAACCGTAACACTTCTTTTGTCATCAGGAATTTCAAATGAGAGGAAATAATGCCCCCATAGAACAATATCCGACGGTAGCGAATTATACAGGATGCTATGTAGATCAGCCCAATGTGCTGCTCTAAAATTAAAGTTAGGATCCCTTGTCAGAATCCAGCTGATTTTCTTTTCTGCATTTGTTGCTTGATTCTATATCCAAAGAAGCAGTGAGAAAGAGAAAATAAACATAAACACGCACACACACACACACACACACGCAGAGATAGACAAATGTATAAGTCAGCAAAACAAGACTCCTTGATTACATCTGCAATTTTGTACTGAGCTTGATATTAGAATTTCTAAACAGAGAAGGCAGAGTGAGAGTAAACTACTCTGTTGCATCAAACTGTATTTAGAAATGGAAGCACTCTAAGTTCCATGTTTTATCTAAACTTCAGCCGCTGTGCCTGTAAATGAAAGAGATGAATTAAATTAAAAACATACTTGTTCAATAGACAATGGCAAAGTGGAGCTCTGAAGAAGTTGAGGTTGCTTGAGCCAAGCCTGGATGATTGTCAGGGACAAAGGGTCAAGCCCGAGTCCAGCTCCGGTGGGGCTGCCGGTCGGAGGAGCACAAGTTTTCTCCAGCACCACCACATCCCACCCTGCTTCAATAAGAGCATGCGCACAAGATATCCCGGCTATGCTTCCGCCAACCACCACCGCCTTTGGCGGCTTCTCCGGATCATTATTGCTGCCATGATTCCAGGCTCTCAAGTCTATCATTTCTTCTCTGATTCTTTGTGTGATGTTCCTAATCATGAATCAAATGGTACATTTTTTGTAAGGACATAGACCTTGTTTTGTCCAATACAATGATGGGTAACGGGCCATGTCATTTGAGCTTATACCAAGACAAAAAAAAAAAAAAGAAAAACAAAAAAAGGTCTGTTCTCACTCATCTTTTTCTGATTATCGTTTTCTGCCGTCCCTTTTATTATACTTTCTTTCCCTGGAAGGCTTAGTCATTCATACTAAATTGATTTCTTGGTTTGCTAGTTTGATTGGATAGTATACTAAACACTTCGAAAAATGCCAAAGAAACACTACCAGAGTCTTACCGTAAACCACACTAAAAACATCAAATTCTCAACTAAAAATAGGTAAAACTACATCATAAACTCTTGAAATAACTTCAAGGAGTTTGTAAGATACTTGTGCCTCCATGGAAGGATATCCATACCGATTTCATCATCGAATTGGATTTGACATAATCCAACCATTCGACATTTGAATCTCCAAGATTGTAAATTCCTACGTGGGTTCGACCATATCTACCGCAATCATTTGCAAAATAGATACAATTAGACTTCACCAATTCCGGAAAGGCGCAATTGGGCCTTTATCAAATCCGGGAAGGTGGAACCCTGGATGCAGAACGCGGCACCATTCCTGAAAAAAACAGCATCTTCTCCCAAACTAGTGATCCTCTTCCACTTGTGTCGTGCCACATCCAATTGAATAACTTTAACATTGGCAATCTCTTGAATCCCATTGGGGTAAGGATCAGCAACCCAACAACTCACTAATAGTAACTCCCCTTCTGATGATTGAACTAAATATGTATATCTGAATGGAACAAATAATTGAGCATCATCTATTCTGAATAGAAGATGGACAACCTCAAGATCGGGTGCTGATTCATCCCAAACACAAACTTTGCCTTCGGAATCGATGGCATAAAACTTCCCGTTGCAATAATTTACATCCATGAATCCGTCATTAGTGTGCAATGCTATCGCGGTCCAACTCGAGTTGCCGGGCCTCCAAAATCCCAACCTTAAACTTAAACTGTGAATTACCATGAGAACAAAATCGGGTGTGTGACATGGATTAGCTGAGAAAACCGCTTTTTGGACTGAGGTACATCTGTAGCATTCAGGAACAGGGAATTTTGTAAGGTTGGGAAGATGGATTAAAGAACGAGAAAAAGGGTTCAACAGATTAACCTCCCCTGAACCGCCGGTGTCAAAGGTTTACAACCACCCGAATCTTGCTTCCAGACACCGTTTACCCTTCGCCTCCGGGAGTGGTAACCTCATAGCAATCTTTCTTCTCGACAGGCTGTAAAATTCGCGTTCATCACTACGGCCATGTCGTTTTTCCGGGAGCATTAGCAACGGGATCGCATGGCAGGAATTTACGAACTTATCTTTACTCGCAGCAGCCCGCCAGGGGCTACAAACCCCTCGGAATGCCATGAAATCTTCCGTTGATGGTATTCGGATTGATATCTCTGCCAACAGCTCAGGCAAAAGACCTGACCAATCTCTCCAAGGCTCCATGAATAGTTTGTCAGATATTAGAGCCCTTAAGTTATATAGACCTAATTTTACCTGATTGTTAGCATTCTATATATGGTGTGATTGGATTAACCGACATAAAAATGGTCAGCTTTCTTCTTCTCCTAGTTTCCACTAGTCGAAGTTAGATTTGAGCACTTTAGAGATTTGATTCAGAACTTAGATTTAAGAAAATTGCATTTGTTGAATTACATATTGATTTGCTATTTCTAAACTTCTTATGATTCCTCACTATTCTTAACGTCCTTCCAAACAGAATGAGAGCAATTTCAAGCCACCCTGCTTCAATCAGAGCATGTGCAAAAGATATTCCCGGCTATGCTTCCGCCCACCACCGCCGCCTTTGGCGGCTTCTTCGGATCATTATTGCCGCCATGATTCCAGGCTCTCAAGTCCGTCATTTCTTCTCTGATTCTTCCTTGAATGTTCTAATCGCGAATGCTAATGGTACATCCTTTTTAAGGACATAGAACTTGTTTTGTCCAGTACAATGATTGTCTTTTTTTGCCGTCCCTTTTATTGTTTGTTTTCTATGCCACTGAAAGCGATTTTGCAGTGGCTGGAAGGCTAAGTCATTCATACTAAACTGTTTTTATTCTAGTTTGATAGGTTATCATACTTGTGCCTCCAAAGACACACTACCAGAGTTCTCAACTAAATTGGTAAAACTACATGATAAAACTTCAAGGAGTTTGTAACATACTTGTGCCTCCATGGAATGGTATCCATACCAATTGCATCGTTGAACGGGATTTGATATGATCGAACCATTCAAAACTTGCATCTTCAAGATTGTAGATTCATGTCGGTTCGACCTTATTTACCGCAATCATTTGCAAAATAGATACAATTGGAACTTATCAAATCCGGGAAGGAGGTGGAACCCGCGATGCAGATTGCAGCACTATTCCCCCCAACCAAAAAAATAGCATCTTTTCCCAAACTAGTGATCTTCTTCCACTTGTATTGTGCCACATCCAATTGAATAACTTCAACATCAGTAATCATGACTTCGTCGTAAAGAACACCGTCCGGCCAAACAACTAATAACTCCCCGTTTGATGATTCCACTAAATATGTTTTTCGAAAATGAGACAGTGGAGGATGATCAACCCTGAACAGAAGGTGGGCAACCTTTAGACTGGAATCCCAAACCCAAACTTGGACTCCGAAATCAATAGCGTAAAACTTATCATTGTAGTACTTAGCATCCGCGAATGCATGACCACCAACATGATCACCACTGTGCCATTCTATACCGGTCCAAGTCGACTCGCTAGGCCTCCAAAAGACCAAGTCCCTGTGAATTACCATGAGAACAACGAAATCAGATGTGTGAGATGGATTAGCTGACAGAACCGCTTTTCTGATGTTTGGAAATTTGTAATATGCATAACCAGGGAAGTTTGTAAGGTTGGAAAGATGGCTTAAAGAACGAGAAAAAGGGTTCAAGAGATTAGCCTCCTCTGAATCGTTGTCAAGGGTGAACAACCACCCGAATCCTGCTCCCAAACACCGGGACTGATAACCTCATAGCAATCTTTCTTCTCGTCAGGCTCTAAAATTTGCGTTCATCGCTACGGCCACATCTTCTTCCCAGGAGCATTAGTAACGGTATCGCGGGGCAGGATTGTACGAACTTATCTTTATTCGCAGCAGCCCGCCAGGGGCTACAAACCCCTCGGAACGCCATGAATTCTTCTATTGATGGTATTCTCATTGATATCTCTGCCAACAGCTCTGGCAAAAGGCCTGACCAATCTCTCCAGGGCTCCATGAATAGTTTAGTCAGCTTGTAGATTGTAAGAAGAAAAAGAATAGAAAAGAAAAACCTTAAAAAAAAAAAAAAGAACGGGAAAGATAATTAGTGCCGAAACGTTTGATAATCAAAGGAAACCCTTCAGTTTTATAGTCTTTTCCTGATTACTACTAGCATTTTATATATGGACATATGCTATGATCTGATTATGAACCGACCTAAACTGTTTATTGGTATTTCAATTTCTCCTTCTTCTATATTTATGGTATGAATGAGTTTCCAACAATTGAAGTTAGACCTGAGCGGGTTGATGCAGAAATTTTGATCATATACAATTGCATTGGTTATATTACATGTTGATTTGTCCTTTCTAAATTTCTTATGATTCCCCTCAAGGTATTCATCGTTACTCTGAACTTCCAAAGAGAGTGAAAGCTATTCTACTCCTACATCTACATGATGATGTCAGTGGATTGTTGAAGGGAAAATATATTTAGAACAGTATTGAAGTTTTGTTTCTTTACTTGATCTCATCGTAATTAACAGATTGACACTGGTACTACAGCAATTCATCAGCAAAACATCAGCAGCGTGATGATAACTTGCACTTGAATAATCAGAAATACATAAAGAGCAATCAAGTCAATTGGAATGACAATATGACGGACAAGGCATTGGGTCGTAAAGTGAAAATATTTCAAACTTCAGATTAGAAGAATATTCCCAAAAGATACAAGAAGTAAAACTGTTCTGCAGATAGATTTACATCTTACAACATCATATTGACTGCTACGTCTTTTAGGTTATTCTGTGAAATACAGTATACGTGCTTCTTGACCATCCATCTTTCAAGAACTTCCCACTCATCAGTTTCAGTAATGGAGAAAACTGCTAAAGCTAACAAATGAAAAAAAGGCACAAGATGATGAGAAGCAAAGAGTAATGACTTTCTATATGCTGTACAAGAATTACAAAACCCCATCCTCATTGGGGAAAACAAACAAAAATTCCTAGTTAGCTTGATTGAGCTCTTCTAGTTCAAATCCAGAGGCTTTTGCAAGCTCTGACAAATCTAACTCTCCACTCAAAACCTGCATTAGGTGACAATAAAATCAACTTATTTTCAAAATTTCAAAAATCTTTTAAAGTATCTAACCACATTGGACGAGACAAAGCTTGCTCACCTCTCCATTAATCACCCATGTAGGGAACCCTTCAATCTTGGCATCTGCACAGGCCTTGGCTATTTTAGTTCCTTTTCTGTATCCATCAGGGAAGCATTCCACATAATCCAATATCTCTGCAGCCTCACGTCCAAACATCTTAGCAACACAGGAAGGAAATGCAAGTTAGTTGCTAATATCAGATAAGAGGAACCAAGCTTTCTATGTGGTTGAGTGCAGATCAAAATGGCAGACATTTTCAAAGTTAAGGACCCAGGTTACAATTGCTGTGTAACGATAATGAGTATGAACTAATAGCCAGAGCACGTAAAGGTCACAATTACGAATACCTCTTTTTGCTCTAGACAGTGTGAACACCAGAAAGCTCCAAACACTTTTGCTCCTATTGAGCGTAAATGCTTTGCGAGCGAGACAGCCCAAGGACTTGATTTTGTCGTGACCTCAGGCTTGACATAGGGTAGTTCGACCTCGGCCAGACTATTCAGGAGTAGAGATCAACGAATATATTAGTTGGCAAAACATAGTTAAATATCCTGATAAGATAACTTGTACGTGTCTGTTTGCATCCAAGTTATCATCAAAACCAATATATGAGATGCTACTCATGGCAGATGAACAAATGCAACAGTTAATTATCAACACAATACATAACGAGGCAACTAGTGTGAATGCTCATGAGCAAAGCCTACTGATCCTCCAACCATCCTATTCTATCAAACAAATGACTCACCTTGTCGAGATAGGCTGGGACATATTGTAAGAGGTACTCAAGGCAGTAACCACAAAAATAGCTACACACAGCTGTAAAACCAGTTGCTTTGATCCGAAATCCTGCAACATTGCAGAATCAACAGAAATGAGTAAACATAGATCTTCAATTAAAACAAGTTATAAACTCTAGGTTATGGAAGAACCTTTATGGTTATGAAGAACAAGCTCAAGGACAGAGCAGCTGAAGCCAGACAATACAAACACGATTCCCCTGAAAACTGTGTGCTAAGAATATACAAAAAGTACGAACTTGCTACCGCCATGGAGGTAGTTGTAACAAGTAAAATTGAACGGGCGTTGGTTTCGTCAATTTCAAAAGGCAGTCTCTTTCCACTTAGATACAGGCCAAGAGTTGCAACTGTGCCATATGAAAGCATACCAATCAAGGGAAGTGGAACACCTAGCAAACCATAGATCACAAAAGGTTTCAACATTGGATCCCTTCAACAAGCAATTAGATGCATATAAAAGTTTTATCAGCTTGCTAGTCACAAAATCAATTCAAGAAAAGTGATGAACACATCGGTAAGTGAACAAATTGTGGCATAAACTTCATTACGAAACCCAGGCAACATTTTTGGAAAATTTCTCAACTAAATTGTTGACAAATAGAACCAGTAACATTGGAAACTCAAAATTTAGTAATGCTTTTTAAAAGAAAAGATCAAGTTTCTATTTTCCTTTACCAAAGACGAGGGAGTAATCACTGTTAAGGATGCTGCCACAAGAGCCACCATTAACAGGGCAAAAAGCTTCGGACTGAGTAAGTTTTAGGAATGTGAGGTAGGAAGTCTCCAGAAACCCCAGACCTCCAAGGACTCCATACCACCGGCGAGTATCGTCAGCAGAAGTCGACTCCGTGATTTCGGACTCAGAATCCTTAAGGATTTCACTCGTGCTCTGCTCCGGCCGGCACTTAACTCTGAATAACAACACTCTCCGACCGCCGCACCGGTTAGTCTGTAATCAAGTATAAAATGAATTGATTGTACTGTACATGAATTTGCAAGCAAGAAGGTAAAGGGAAGAGCGTTTGTACCTTTAATTGGGTGCACGGAGAGGTTAGATAGGTGCGAGGGGCAAAAATCGGAGCTGAGAAGCTGCAGATGAAGCTCGCCGCCGGCGACGACATCGGCTTTCCCTCAGGTGTAACGGTTCAACTGGTTACTCCGATTACACTTAGTTTGATTATTATTTTATTTTATTTTTTATTTTATCTTTATCTTATTTATATATAAATAAATATAGATTTTTGTGGATTTTCCTGATGTTTAGATGCTTTCCCCCATTTTTCTTATTTTCCTTTTTCCATTTTTTTTTTCTCCCAATAACAGGAATTTGCCTTTCTTTAATAGTCTACAAGAACATAAATAATCCCGCCAAGAAAGTTGAATGAAAAATTTAACTTGTCAATAAACATGTTGGAGGCAATGCATTATGTAAACATTTTCAATGATCACATAAATCATAACCCTTTGTGCCCTTTTTTTATTTCATCTGATTTCTCTGTTCTTCTTCTGAAGGGAATCCACCACCTTTGTGTCCTTTATGATCACATAAATCATAACCTTTGTGTTCTTTGGAGGAAAGGATTGAAGTTTGTTTCCTCCTACTGATCTCTTCTAAATTGGCAGATTTACACTGCTTCTAGGACCTCCAACCTCTAGGAAGACCAGATTATTGTTAGCCTTGGCTGGAACACTTCGGTCTGACCTACACTTAACCAAATAGAACCTGCTGTGTACTTTTCATTATTGGTTTCAACAATGCCTGAGACCAAGGTTTCAGGGGACATATAATGACCACAAAATGGAAGAGTTTGTTCCTCTAAGATTGTCTGCATACACTTGCGAATATGATCTTCATATAGGGTAACTGAAAGTGAGAGTGTCAAGGAGCTGGTGCCAACTAAGGTGAGAATTTTGTCATGTTGATGTTATCTAAAGTAATATATATGGCAAGTCAGACATCAGTTTGCTTCAGTTCTATAGACCTCTTATTAATTTTTTTATTTTTTTTTTCTGGTTTGAAAATTGGCAGAAGTAGATAACTGTTGAGAAGAGAAGGAACCAAAAATTAGCCCGGATCCTGTTATTGATGTATTGATGAAGGCATCAACTTTTATCTCAGCTAGAGATTTCCAGTCATCTGGCATTAGCTGAAAATATAAAAATAGAATTCATTTTGTTGAGGTTGTTCATTCACATTATCCTGATACGACCTCTAAATCATTGGCTGTTCAAGGCCAAGAGTTCCATGCTATGTTCTCAAAGTAATCAACTGAATTGCTGAACCCTGTCCAATTTCTTGCATTGTGTAAATGTTTATCCATTTTTGGGATGTATTCAGATATTGGGATGTGCTGATACTCTAGTTGCCCAGTTGGTGATGTGATGATATGCGGGATTTCTGGACGTCAGAGAAAGCGAGTAACTACTGGTAAGAAGACAATGCATGCTGACTTCTTTCTCTTATATTAAACAGACAAGACTACTCATTGTGTTCTTCAGTATGTGGGAGGGAGTATATGTGTATTTTGCTGCTATTAATCATGGAAAATGAGGTTTCCAACCAAACTCATTTTTTCAGTAAGTAATTTATGCTTCTTTCGGAACCATTTTCAAGTATTCTCGGATCTCTAGCTTTTTCATTTGTTTTGTTAAATATCAGGGGAAATGCTGGTTGGTCCATCAAAGGCACTTTTCATATCTACGGGTTTGGATAGTGCAACAACCTTTCAGATTGTGAATGTTATGAAACAAATCAACCACATTCTCTAAGGAACTATTGTAACCTCCCTCCTGCAACCTTTACCTGAGACTTATGACCTATTTGATGATATAGTTCACTTATCAGACGGTCAAATAGTGTATCAAGGTCCCTGTGGCAATGTACTTGAATTCTTTGAGTCCATGGGTTTCAAACGCCGACCGAAAAGGAGTTACTGATATCAGCCTAGAAGTAATAATCTTTATCTCTACTTCTCATTGTTTGTATAGCTTTGCTAATCACAAAGAATGAATCATGCTAGTCATCTTATTACATCTGTCTTTGTGTTTGTTGGCAGTCATTGTCATGACTATGTTTCTGTGACCTGAGATTCACAAAAGAACAGTTACAGATAGTGGAATTTGTATGGAGTGTTCTGTATTTTTCTGCTGCCTCACTTATGTTCTCAGAAATGTCTGAAATGGCACTCAGCATTCCATTTCTAGCTTGCCTAGGGAAACACCATTGGTCTTGTTGGAGAAATCCAAGATACTCAGCAGTGAGACTCTTGTACGCAACTCTCATTGCCCCGACTCTTGGACATCGTATGGGCTAGTTACTTCACAATTTGGAGATGTCAAGGAGGAGCTTGAAACACGTGAAACAGTGGGAGGACTTCTAAGGAATTACTTCGGATTTAGACACGAGTTCTTGGGATACGTTGCACTGATTATCACTGATTTTTCGGGTTCATGTTTGCCTTCTCTATCAGGCAATTCAACTACCAGAAAAGGTGAAGTGTTCCGAACAAAATCAATCTGAGGAAACTCTTCTAAAGAGATATAAATGAATGTGCTTGCCACCTGACTGCAGAGATAGCCTAATGAAATAAATAGATGAAGCTAGTAAATGGCCGAAGTCTTGAAGTAGTGGCTGCTTGTGAGGTCTAATCAAATTGAATTTCAGTAAATCAAATACTCCCCCCGTCCCATAATTATTGTCCAATTTTACTAAAATGAAAGATTTTATTTTTGGTCAAACTTAGCTATATTTTATCTTAAACAACCGGATATACCCCTACATAAGTAATTGTTTAACCACTAAGATTTTATGGATAATGTTTTTTACTAAGGACAAATGTGTAACTTGATCCATAAAAAGTCAAATTGGACAATAATTTTGGGACAAAATTTTTTGGACAAAGTGGACAATAAATATGGGACGGAGGGAGTATTTAATTTAAATGATTGACCAAAGACAAAATGTTCTATTCCATGTCTACTCCATATACATTATGCAGACTTATCAATATTGTATACACGTCGAAGAAGCTCACTCGGTCACCCTCGCACTAAACAGTTGTCCATCCCTTAATGTTGAGGGAACATCAGTGAAGAAAGGCATATTCTTTTGTTGAAGTTCTTCACATTCTTCTGGATCCGCTGTCGTTGGATCAAAAGGTTGGCGATCAGCAAGATTAAGTCCTTGTTTGATGCGGCCTAGTCGCCTCGAGTGTAAAACTTGTTTTGACACAACTGGGAGCCGAATTGACTGGTACTCTTCCAGAGCTGAATGCAGATTTTCTAACCCCCATTTCTGAAGGCATTTGCCTAGAACAGCAGCATCCAGTATTGACATGTTTGTGCTTCTGAGACCGTGGGGGGTTGTAGGATGAGCTGCATCTCCAATTAGAACAACATTGTCCCAGAAAAGTTGTTTCAGAGGGTCAGCATCATAGATCACATTTAGGAATGGTTCCCTTGTTTCCTTCATGATCCTTGCTAACTCTGGGCTCCAAACTTTTTCTGCTTCTTCGTGCATCCTTCGAATCATATCACTGCTAACTTTCATAGTCACAGAGTTTCCCTGTATTGAAATATCATGACAAAAATATTACACATTGCTTCCACATAAGCAGTTCATGACTTCTACGCATTGTTCAGGAACCATCGATCAACTTCACACTGGTGCCTAAAAAAGTAATGCTAGAAATGGCTGATCAAACAACCGGGTTGTGGTTGTCTTAGTCAATGAAGGATGTAAAGGTAACAGTCAGCGATATAAATGTAGGTATAAGTAGAAAAATCTTCTTTGAACTCTTATTGACATCTACCTGGTAAGGAGAAAATATCAGATATACCTATGCACCCGATATTTATTCTAGAATGAGCCAACAAATTTTACCTTAACTTCAGGTTCCGGCTGATTAACATACCAAATCCAATTCATCCGATTGTGTAACAGCTCATAAAACACACTGTGCGATCCTGAACTAAGGTCAAAATATAAACATTTCCCAAGATCCGGATACGCTTTCTTGAGATCTCTAATGGATGCATCATGCTCATCACTTGAAAAATCAAGAACACCCCGCCAGGCACAGTAACCTGAATATCTAGTGATGAAATGCCGTCTGTGTTAAAACAAACTTCACGTACATTGAGCTGCTGAAACCGAAAGAAGATACAACAGCGAATAAATGTAGACCATGTTTATACCTCAGCATAAAATCAGGAAGGAAAGCCTTGCGGATGTTAGAAAGACAGCCGTCAGCAGCAATGAGCAAATCACCAACAATATCTACTGTGTTACCACTTTCAAGCACTCTACATTTAACAAAGACACTAGCTTTGTCATTGGAAACTCCAAATGAGAGGAAAAAGTGCCCCCATAGAACAATATCAGACGGCAGTGAATTATGCAGGATCCTATATAGATCAGCCCAGTGTGCCGCTCGAAAATTAAAGTTAGAATCCCTTGTCAGTGTCCAGCTGATTTTCTTCTCAGCATCTGTTGCTTGATTCTGTAAAGATACCAGCAAGAGAAAGAGAACAAACATTCAGAACCCAAATTTATCAGTCCTCACCAAATGATTACAGAAGAAGGTTATTGTTAATACTCCCAAGTAGCTATTACATTCCAGTTTGAATTTACACTAAAAAGTAAAAATCCAAACTGGACAATCACTTCGGAACAGAGGAAGTACAGAGTACTAAGAAAATCATTGAGCTTGACATAAACTTCTTTTTGTCAAACAATTGAGCTGCAAACTATGAAGTGATGGAATCAATTAACAACATACTTGGTCTATGGTCAGTGGCAAGGTGGAATGGTGGAGAAGTTGAGGTTGCTTGAGCCAGGCCTGAATGATTTTCTGTGATAAAGGATCAAGCCCAAGGCCAGCTCCGGTGAGGCTGCCGGTCGGAGGAGCACAAGATTTCTCCAGCACCACCACATCCCACCCTGCTTCAATCAGAGCATGTGCAGAAGATATACCGGCTATGCTTCCACCCACCACCACCGCCTTTGGCTTCTTCGTCTTCTTGTTATTTTCGCCATTACAGACTCCCAAGTCCATCTCTTCTGATGTGATTTTCCTGCCCTTTTGATATGCTTACTTGCTGATCATAAATGAAAATTGTAAGTTCTTTTATATGATTCCCGGAACTTACTGGTTAGGAACATATCATTTCAGCTCATGATTTTGGGGAATTTCCCTTAGATTTTTATTTGTTTTTTTCGTTCTTGGTTGTCTTTTTGTCTGCCCAGAAGAAGTTAAATGCCATTTCATATTTTCTCATTTTGATTTTTCTCATCCCCGTTTATCAGTAACAACGTCCACGTAAAAATTACCCTCTCCCATTTGTTTTTGTAGTGACTTGTGACGCAATCGTTCCCTCTCAAATTGAGAGTTTTACTAGTTTTTATGTTATCATAGGAAAATTTATTATACTTGCATTGTATGTTTCAAAGTAACTATCATATTTTTTGACGAGCAATGATAGAGATAGTGAAAATTATATAGTGAAAATATAGAGTGACTGATGTGTATATAATAATAGGAACAAAAGAATAATTTTAGAAAGAAAGATAAAATTTCAACGCCAAAGTGATAAATAAATAAAAGGTACACATCAGTCACTATTTCTTTTCATTATAACTTTTACAACCACAAGAGTAATTGTCGAGTGAATTCAACACACTTCTCATCAATTTCTCTCTCTTTTTTCTTTTTTTTATTTCATCCAGACCAACAAAATCAAAGTGTAATGCACATTTTCTACACTCTTTCTGTCTAAAATGATTGTCCAATTTGAACAGACAAAAGAAAAAGTAACTCTTACCACTAGTTGAAGATGGCATATATTTCATGTTTCGCGTCTTTTAAAAGTTCCAATAAAAGTTTTAACGTAAAAATGAAGTCGCACATTTAATGTGTATCGATAAAAAATTTCTTACACATCACCATCTAAATGCAAATAAAAATGAATTAAAAATAAAAGAAAACGACTATCTTAGCCTTCCAAGTTATATTAGTTGTATTAACTAAATTTCGACTTCGTTTTTTCAAGATTAATTGCTTGGCAACTTCATCCTACTAATCCATCCTTTTTTTACTTAAAATTAATTAAAGAAGAAATCTAAATTTGAGGGAGAAATAAAAATACTACATAATTCCCTTCATTTCTGAAATTAAATTTTCTTTTAGAAGAAAATAAATTTTTTTTTTTAAAAAAAGAAATAAAGACTAACCCAAAATTGTAAGCAAAAAGTTGTTATTTATTAAAGTCGAGGGGGGACGCAGGCAATTAACAGAAACTGCAATGCATAAGAAACGGCCTTTCTCCCTGCCCACCGTTTATTTCCACCGCTGCCGCATCCTCCCTCTAAACCGCCGATCTCTTCCCTGAGTTTCACTGAACCCAGCTTTTTCTGATACTACCATTCGTTTGCTAAACCCAATTCAATTTTGAAAAAAGAAATTATTTTTATCTTGAAATAGTTGTGAAGGAACAAAAAGAGGAGAAGCAGACAATGGGGGCTGGAAGAGAAGTGCCCATATCATTGGATGGACTGAGGGATAAGAACATTATGCAACTGAAGAAGCTCAACACTGCCCTTTTCCCTGTCCGATACAACGATAAATACTACGCTGATGCTCTTGTCTCCGGCGAATTCTCCAAGCTTGGTACAATTTCTCATCCGGGTTTTTTTTTTTTTTTTCTGTTTTGTTTTTAGTCTTTTTTTTTTAATTCAATATCAGCAAATTGTGGGCAGTGTTTGGTTATCTAGACTTGCAGTTAAGTTAGTAATTCTTGTTGGTTTTATTGTATTTTTTTCAGTTATTCCTTACTGTTTAATTAGTGAATACAAAATCACGGTGAATCTTTTTATACTTATCTGTTCAATTCTTTTTCCTTGCATTGAAAGGCTTTTCTTTGATATGGGTTCAAGGTCTTAATGTGTTGGCACATCATCATTCTGTTAAAGTTCCTTCTGTCACTTTACATTTCAAATTGAATTTGCACACACTAATGGCTTATATGCTGATCTGTCTGCTGAAATGAGTCGTTAAGTGTTTATGGGGGCTTTTCTTTGATATGGGTTCAAGGTCTTAATGTGTTGGCACATCATCATTCTGTTAAAGTTCCTTCTGTCACTTTACATTTCAAATTGAATTTGCACACACTAATGGCTTATATGCTGATCTGTCTGCTGAAATGAGTCGTTAAGTGTTTATGGGTACTAACTATGCCTAAATTTTGCTAACTTTATATGTCTGCGAGTTATCCCTTTTCATTGTATGAAGAAGCATGCTGGTGTCGGAAGGTTTGTGTTAGAAATCAGTTAGTAATATGTATGATCCATGGGGATTTCTGGGGTCCTGGAGATGGCTGTGTATTAGTCTCTGTTGTTCACGATGACTTTATGGATTACAAATTTGTCTTTTGGGATGTCTTTCTGTGCCCTTTATAGACTACAGAGGTTACCTCTAATTATGGTTTACAGAAGAACCGTGCTAGTTCCTTGGACATAAATGTGATTGTTTCTTCAAATGCTAGACTATGCTTTACAGAAGTACTGTACTAGTTTCTTGGTCATAATTGTGATTGTCATTTGAAATGCTAGAGTATGCCATTATATGTTATCAGCTGTCTTTGTTTCTAAGGCTGTTAATGTCCCTATTACTTCATAAACATGTCTGTGGATGCCAAACAAAATTTTGTATTCACTCTTTGGAAGAGAACCCGAAATGCGGCTTTTATTTATCTTTTAATTTGGTTATTTATATAAGCTCTTTCCCAATTTGAAAAGGCCTTACCCTATTTTACTGATGGTTCCCACCTTCTGGTGTCGTTTACTGTACATATTCAGACTGCTCTATGCATGTTTAATCTTATTGTTTCTGATGGAACTTTGGTAATTTCCTGAATAAATGCTGCTGATTTCTTGCTAGAAGCTTTTTGTGGATGATTCTGATCCATCCCACTTATCTTTTAGATTATGTGCTCCTTTTCGTTTTAACACCAATCTCACATATCTTCATTCTGAGGGATTACTTATTTGTATGCTTTTGGTAGAATCTGAGGATGATTATTAAGTTTTATGGTATGCAATTTGTTACCATCTTACTCTTTAGATCAAATTGCTTCAAGGTCACCAGTGTTTGGAATGTAAAGACAACACAAAGGACGAAAAAGTTTAGGAAATTGAGTAACTTATTTTATAGATCGTCAGAGGAAGTATCAACCTTCAAAGTAAAGGTCATACCTGTTTAGTTGCAGATAACTTAGCTAAACAATTTGGAGAAACAATAAAGGGGGATCATTTATTTATTTATTTTGGTAGATACTGAGGATAATTATTAAGTTCGACAGTATGTAATTGGGCACATCTTACTCTTTAGATCAAATTGCTTCAAGGTCACCCGTGTTTGGAATGTAAAGACAAGATAAAAGACCAAAAAGTTTAGGAAACTGAGTAACTTATATCGTCAGAGAACGTATCCACCTTCAAAGTAAAGGTCATACCTTTTTAGTTGCTGATTACTTATCTAAACAATTTGGGGAAACAATAAAAGAAGGAAAAAAGAAAAATCCAAAACTCAATCTGAGTTCTGATATGTTCACATGTGAAGTGCTCCACTTAATTAGACCTAGGAAATCATTTTGGAGAAATCAAAACACTCACTCTAGATGATTTATTTTTTGTTATTCTGATCATATAAATGATTGGTGCAAGTATTATTTATCTTTATGATATTTAACCCCCACCTTAATCCTTTTGGCCATTCTTTCTTAATGGAAATGTTGGTATTATTCTGTTTGTTCATCAGGATCAAATCGTGAGAGTTTATGCACTTCTGGTGAACCTTGTTTTTGATCTTTACATCTTTTCTGTATTATTATTCTGCAGCTTACTACAGTGATATTTGTGTTGGTTCAATTGCATGCCGGCTTGAGAAAAAGGAAGGAGGTGCTATTTGTGTCTACATCATGACCTTAGGTGTTTTGGCACCATATCGTGGCCTGGGTATAGGTGAGTTATGTTCATATTTTCCTTTTAGTCATTACTCTTGTGTTATGATTCTTTGTATTTGCTCAAATAATATCAAAGTTAACTTTTGAGTCATTTCTCTATAGCCTTCTTTTTCTGTTCTACTTTCGTTTGCGCTCTTAGTTTGAAGACGGTGAATACTCTCCCTGTCTTGAGCAAGAAACTACTTTTTAAGTAGAGATTATATTACTGGAGTTTAAGCCATACAATTAGATTGGGATTGGGAAAAGTACAAGATTTGAGTGTATTCTTAAACTGTTAGGGAAAAGTAATGCTTTAAAAGTACTTTATCTTATGCAATTTGGCCACTGTGAATCTTTCAGGTACAACTCTTTTGAACCATGTGCTGGATATGTGTACCAAGCAGAACATTGGAGAGATTTACTTGCATGTGCAGACCAATAATGACGATGCCATCAATTTCTACAAGAAGTTTGGGTTTGAGATCACTGGTACGATTCAGAATTATTACACAAATATTACTCCACCAGACTGTTACGTTGTGACCAAATTCATCACAACAAAGAAGTGACATCTTAGAACTAAAAGTAAGAACTCCACTGGAGATTTTGATAATGGAGGTACACTCAGTATTTGTGATCTGGAAACGCGATAGAAGTGTTGTGTACCGATACACAGGGTTTGCATTAAAGAAATGTGTGACGTTAGATTTGCCGCAATGGAGTTCATTGATTGTAATGTGTAGACGTAAACACTGCAAACCCATATTCCTGAATCCTGATAACGTGTTTCAACTTTATTATCTTTTGGACAGAAATATGGACATCTTCACGTGTTATTGAATTTGCATGAATGTATTCTCTTCTTGCTACGTTTCTTTGCTGCATGAGAACTTGGATCTTTTCGAACTAAGTCTCCTACTTGGACTAAATTACAGTTTTCAGTTTATAAAAGATTAGATGTTTTTTTTTTTTGAAAAGAAGATTAAATGTTGTTTTGTAGGCAAATTACAGCCCTGGAACTTCCATTCTTCCCTCTTGCTCCCTTATGCTGAACACACTTGAGTTTTCTTAAGTTTGTTACTGATTTCCCTCAATTTTTTTTTGTTTTCTCCTCGTGGATTAATTACACAAAGTTGGTCGTGAAACAATTCAGAATCGTAATCAAAATTACACAAAGTTGGTCGTGAAACAATTCAGAATCGTAATCAAAATGGCGATGAAATTCAAAATGGACTCATTAACGTTTAAAGAAAAATCATTATAAACTGTAAAGAATTACATTGGCAAATCCATATTCCCAATTCTACTATTACGAGGGAGAAAGGTACCCCAAGCTTTCTTCTGTACAATGTACATATCTACGAGCTTTACAATCCATATTGAAAACTGCTTTTCTGAGTATCTAAAAATTTTGTACACAATTGATTCCTTTCGCCGCCACAGAAAGTTGACTTCACAGCAGACTCGACGACTTAATAAGCCAAGCCACCAGAGAAACAATCTGAATCCCCATCATGCAGTAGTGACTCTGTCAACCAATAGCCATCCCATGAACCACCCACTCGCTTTGATAATACAAAAGGTAAACGTCAACTATGAATTCAATGAAATAGAAACAAAACAGAATAGTTGCACAAAAAAACTCCTTACTATCCAAGCCTTAATTACATTGACTTCATTCTAAGTAATCGTCACCACCGAGATTTGGGAAAATTACAAATGTACCTCGGAAAGTCAACACACACAAGACAGAAGTATACACTTTGCATTGAATAGATCATAATTTACTACTCTAGCTTCTCTCAAAGTGTTATAGATTATGGTTGTTTCTTAAGTCATTCCAAAGATTCTGATGGCTGAGGTCACCAAGGGGTTTTTTGTAGTTTCCACAAACATCAATGACCTCAGGGGTTGTAAATGTAATCAACCCAACCATGAAAGGTCTATCTGTTGGAGCCATTGCAATTGCATGCCAACCATTGACCAACAGCCAAAAACATACAAAAAAGGCAAAGCTATTCAAATACAAGACATCAAAAAACCAAAAGAAAAGATGCAATTGTCATTAAGATTACAATGATGCAGCTTAAGATATGGAATAGTGCCTATAGATAAAAATGGACAAAACTGAAAAAAGAAGTGGTAGAGGAAGCTTCTCTACAGAAAAACAACATTCCACAACCTCAAAATTACTGCTGTGCTGTGACTTGTAGACAATTACCATATAATTGCATATGCCTGACTTTCTGCTTTAAAACAACTAACAGAATCTTTCAATACCATCAAACACTTCTTCCATCTTAACTACTGGTAACTTATATTCTATAGGTTCTCTTATTTTCATCATCAAAGGTTTGTGCATAAGAAGTTCGCACCACACTGTATTCCCAAATGTTAGTTATGTCAGGAATCCATTGACCAGTCATTTTCGGATAAGACAATCCAAACCTTCAGTAAAATCACAAAATTCAATGTAAAAATATTGGGAAACCTTCTGAATTAGCAGTCTCCCTTATGAGTACAACAAATCTTAACAGCATAAGAGCAACTAACCCACATCCCACGAGGAAGGATAAAAAAACTATTAGCGACTTCAAAAATAGGCAAAGCAAGGAATTGATTCCTAATTTCGTAAATCAAGTAGATGCATCGAAAAAAAGAGTGCAAAGTGCATTGACTTTCATTTACACAGCCTAAAAAGAAAGGTAGTGAAAGAACAAAAGCCACACAAGAGAACAAAATTAGTCAGGATTGATTATTCTCAAACAAATGATCAATTAAACCAAAGAGCCAAAACGTACTAAAAATCCTTCAGGAATGCATGGGTAGACAGTTATCAGAAAAGAGCTATTGGCTGACCTGAACCATGGTAAATTGGAAGATTTCTTCCTCCTCAGGTCGAGCTCCTCTTACCCAAAGCCTTTGCTTATAGCAGTTCTGTTTCACGAACATTTATGATTTTAGCTGCTGATGGTGATGTCAACTGAAAACTGATATTGAATGGGTGAGAACTCAACTAAGCAAATTATTAGTCTGGCAAAACTATTAAGAGACTCCTTAAAATCAACAAACCTCCTTTGGGTATAGACTGCTCAAGATCTTCCTTTCTTGGTGACCAAGTAAAACTCTGTACGTTGAATGGTGGAATATCCTCCTGAACCGTTCAAACTACAAATACATGAAGGACACAGGAGAAGTTAGCAGATAGGTAGCTTTTGCCTTCATCTGTTCCAAGCTTAACAAAAAAAATCGTTCACAAGCGACAATTAACAGAAAAGTGTATCAAATAAATGAGAAAAAATGTTAATGTAAGAAATAGTTGGAACATGCACGGTAGCATCTTCACCCAGCGTTTTTAGTTACCTGTCCCAAATCAAAGAAGCGCCCAAAATACGTAGACCTTTCAAATGGATCAAATCCAGCGAACTGTAAGAGTTAAATGGATTTAAAAGTCTGACATACTATAAATGCAGAAAGTAGCAAGCAGCGAAGATAAGTAATTACCCTATACATGACCTCGATACCATAGTCTTGGCGTGGTTGGTCATTGTACTTGAGAGCATCCAGTTGGTGCTGGACAGCTTCTTCTGCACTAAACTATAAGAATAAAGTTAAATCAATTTCATGCACCATAAAAGACATTTGTCAACAAGATCATCAGTAATTTTATCGGAAGTTACACTTAATCGGGGACCAAAAGGCCTTTTCCTGCGAGATTCGAGCCTGCAGATGACATACATGATTATGAGTAATTCAAACAAGAATTAGAGAAGCATTAATCTTTAGGCACCACAGTAAGAAAGAAACATTAAAGAAGCCTGGTTAAGAAGAAGAAATATGCTATTTCTAGTATAACACGGGATCAAAAAACATAAATTTCATTATACTGATGTCAAAAAGGAAAATTCAGCATTATTGGTCTTGATTCACCCGTAAGTACAAGACCAAAAGCAAACTATATGATGGCGCTTTAGGGATCTATGTTGCACATGATTTGGAGAAAAAATAATCAACCGAGGAAGTATACAACAAAGAGCCAAATCCTTTAAAAACTAAATCCTGCAAGAAAAGTTCCTATTTTCCTTTCCGACTTTCTGATTTGGATAATTGAGATGAACCACCGTTTACTAACAATCGCCAATGGAGTAAAAAGTATAAAAGTCAAACATCCATCTGGATTAGTTCTTGCCTTTGTTCGTTCCTACCTCAAATAGGTGAATACACATTACATGTAACGATGAGCTTCCAAATCTGAGAGCAGATGACTTCTCATGATATAAATAAAATGCAGGGTATGAGTTTTCAAAATTATTATTATTTGAATTTAGTTATCCCATCAGAGCTGCCTCTGTCCAGAAACTGAACTACTTATAAACAAAGTTCCACAGCATCTGAATTCAGGTTAAGTATATAACAATCTGTTCCAGTTCAGTACCCACTCGCCAAATCCAAAAATGTTGGTGGTTCAATCCAGCGTTCAAAAATTTGTATTAATCGAATAGAGGTATGAATGCATTTCTTATCCAGTAGCTGCCTCTTTCCTAAAATTCAAGCATATCTGTTCCTGCATCAGCTCAAATATGGCCCTTGATTATATTTCAAAGTAAACGGGGAAATGAAGGTTTCAGCAAAATCCCAATTGTCCACTTATCAAACAACACTGTATGGGCCACCATGTTGGAAGCAGAAACTTGAATATCAAAAAGAATCAAAGGGACAATCTTTTCCTACTTCGATCCTCGGAATCTTTTAGTACATCACGAAATTCACTAAGCCCAGATGGAAAGATACATAAAGTACAGATTCCCAGCTGGGAAACGCAGGAATTAATCAAGAAGCTCGCGCGCGCGGGCGCATACACAAACTCAGACAATAAAAAAGAAGAGGAGAAGGGAAATACCAATCAGCAGAGAGGAAGTCAGGAACTTCAGCAGAGGCAGAAATCCGAGGTACCGGAGTTTTGGAAGGCGCGGAGCTGGACTTAGACGACGACGACAACGACAACGTAAGGAATTGAGATACTGGTGATGGTATGAACGTACAAATAGACATCTCGGCCGATGAATGAATGATGATACCCTCCAATTTCTTCTCTCACTGCGTCATACCATGTTCTCAGTTTTACTTATGGGACCATTGCATCTCACCTCATATGCACGTAAAATTTAATAAATTACTTTTAAAAGTTTTTAGTTTGATTTATGGAGCTTTTAATTTTTTTAAAAAAAAATCCAAAATTTTTAAATAAATAAACCCTAACCCCCAAAAAAAATCTTAAGGGTAAAATTATAAGAATAATCTAAATGATTATAAGTGAAGAAAATATTAATAAGAAATATAATATTTAGTTAAGTTATTTTAATGTGTAGAGTAATAAATGGTGCATAATAGTTTATTTGTTATCCAATAAGTATGTGGGCTGCTAATTATACCCCCTAAGTTCTTTAGTTAGCGCCCCCTTCAAATGATTTACCCCTGTCATAAAATTAAAACACATGAACCCTTTTGTTCTTCCTTTCTAAACCCTCACAAACTAAAACAAAAAGAAAAAAAATAAGGGGTCTATGATGAGGGTCAAAATACATATTTAGCAAGCATATTTAACCTCATTCTTACTTGTAAATAAGTCTAATTAGATAGAATTTGTTTAATTTTACTTATGTTTTTGTGTTTTTGGGTGATCAAGGTGCTGAAATTATAAATGGAGCAAAATACAGACTAAAACGGTCAAAAAAGGCAAGGTCTTGGAAGATTGCTGTCACTCGGGCAACTAACCAATACCACTCTCCCAAGTGACTGCTGCTGCTGCTGCTGATGGGACGCGCTACACAAATGCAAGGCTCAAGAATCAGATTTTGTAAACTTTATGGAAGCTTAGAGGGTAAGGAAAAGGGAGCTGATTGGATGTTGCTAAAAAAGTGCAAAGATAATGAGAAAAGGAAGGTGTAGGCTGCAACTTATCAAGTAGCTCAAGGAACAACTTGCCAACTTGCTCAACTTGTCAACTTACAACTTGAGCTCATGGAGATTAAAATAGTAAAAAGTGGCATTCCCCAATCTCTATATAAGAAGAAGATCAGCAAGGGAACCAATGAATCAATCAGAATAGGATAGTAATGAAGAGAGTTAGATATAAACACAAAGGAGTGACTAAGTTAGGAGTGACAGGTAGGGGTGTTCACGGACCGGATTGGTCCGGATTGATAGTAATCCGTAACCAAACCGTTCACTACGGTTTCAAAAATTTTCAAACCATAACTGGACCAATTTGATGTCTAAACCTGACCAATCCAATCCGTTATGAACGGATTGATTTGGGCAGATTGATAGTTTGAGCTTCTATTTGGGCTTTTCTGTTTTGGACTAAAAATTGACCATTTTTTTTTTGTTACTGGACCTTTTTTTGGCCTTTTTTGAGGGCTTGTTTTGGAAAAAAAATGGGAGAAAAAAATTTAGTCATGGGGGACTCGAACTCGCGACGTCAACCAAATTTAAGAGTTTGGGGGAACAACAAATCCAATCAGACAACTTAACAATTTCACTATTGATGTCTCTGCTATCTTTTCTTTAAATTATTTGGGGTTAATTAGAGTTCTCTCGTCCCTGTGGATCGACCCGACATACTGCTACTACAGTATTAAGTTGGTTAATTATTTTGGTGGATTCGACACCTATCAAATTGGCGTCGTTGCCGGGGACAACGATCGATTCTTTTTAACCCTCTGTGATTCTCGTCTTCTTATTTTCTTTGCTGAAATCTGTCTATTGTTTTCTTTTATTGATTTTACTTAGTTGATAGATTAAAAAAAATCCATCCCATATTTCTTCAGGTTACTTTCACGGTTTAATTTCTAGTGTATGACTAGGAGTAATTCTACAGTAAACTTGTTCTTAGACCCAGAAATCAAAGTCACTACAAGGAGGACTAGGGCCTTGCATAACAATTTTGTTGCTACAGTTGAGAAAACAAAGTCTACTTCTGGATCATGGAGGAAGCTATAGCAAGGAACAATCCTGGATCAATCGGAGCTGTAGAACCTCAATCCTGGACCAATATTTCCTGGAGAAATGAACAACTGTTGAGGATAAAAACTGACCGGCCCAACTGATTCCACAGCTTGGGCCTAACTATAAGCCCAAGCTGTCCATTTCTTCCTCTTAAGGGCCCAGCCAGTTCTATTGGGGGTTACTCGTGATTATTTACGCTTTTGCCCCTCCTGACACAGAGGCCCACAGGTATCGTCCCATTGAGACCTATAAATACTCCTTGTAAATTTATTACAAAGGCAATTCTACACTACCGCTTTTCTCTCTAAGTGTGTTAATTGTCTACTTCTCTCTCTAGCACTGACTTAATCTTCGGAGTGCTAACCCCCGTCTTGCAGGTCCCCATTCGAGTTGGACTATTGACTCCACATCTCCGTGATTTACCCTCGACAAGTGGCGACGACTGTGGGGAATTCATTCCCATTTGGCTGAGGGTGAGCCCAAGTGCTCTACGAGAGTTATGGTCTCTACTCAGATGAGGCCCCACAAGGGAACGAGTCGCAGGCCTAGATTGAGGTCGAAGGTAGTTAGAGAAAGTTCCCGCGTATCTCCCAGATCCCAGGGGGATAGCCGGGGCAATGAAGATACCAGAGGAGCTTCTAAGACCAGTGATTGTCAGAGTTGCTCCAGGAGGCATAGCGACCCTCGCAAGGGCCACAGTCTTGATTCAGCCAAACGCGGGAGGAGTCGGTCCCGCCGGACCAGTAAAGAAGTGGAAGTGAGTAAGGAGCCATCCCAGTGTCTTCACCCGTCCCGTTCGCCCGAACAAGGACCCCATGATGATTGTTTCTGGAAGACCTTTGCCGGGAGGTTCCCCGGGTTCGAGGAGCAGTTTCGTAAATTTGAAGATATGTATTATGAAGGGAAGGGCGAAGGCCCAGACGACAGCCTTATGTTCATGGGGGAAGGAAGGGCCTCCTAGGGTCGCGACTGGTCTAGGAAATGGGACCCGAAACCCCAACTAAGACCTGAGCCGCGGGTGGACTGCAAGGAGGTGTCAGATCCCCGGCTCGAGGCTATACTTAACAGTAGGGAATCGCTTGGAAGCCCTTTTGCCGAACATATTAGGTGTTCTCCACTGCCTGCAAACTTGAAGCTACCGATAGATATTCCTAAATACGGAGGTGATACTTGTCCGGTTAGCTTCTTGGCCGATTACACCGCGGCCATGGACTTGCGGGATTCACCCCGGGAGTTCTGCTAAGGCAATGCCCACCTTCCTGACTGGAGCTGCCAAGATTTGGTTCGATAGCCTCCCCCTGGAAGCGTTACTTCCTACTCGGATCTGGGGCAAAAGCTCCATGTTCGGTTCTTTTCCAGCAAGAGAGCCAAGCGCACCATCCACGACTTGTTGTCGGTTCGGCAGCATCGGAACGAGTCATTGGGGCAGTATTATGAACGATTCACAAAAGAGCTCATGATGATACACGAAGTGGATGACCTGGTGGTAAGGGTGGAGTTCGTGAATGGCCTCTCCCCTTTTGGTACGGGTGCAACCCTAAGAGGTAAGCTCACGGCGAAGCCCCCGGCCACCAGCCAGAAGTTATGGGAGATGGTAGAGAAGGAGATTCGGACGGATGAATCCATGAAGAGAGCCAGGGAAGCCTTTGGAGAAGATGAGAAGAAAGCTGGAAAGCCAGAGGCGAAGAAGCTTAACATAGGATCCCCAAAGTTCGAGTCAAAAGCCCCCATCCTTCCAAAACTAGGAAGGAGATTCTACAAATTCATAAGAATGAGTTCAAGCTCCCACCCCCGGGCAAATCTCATGATGAGTCCTCTTCCGAATGGTGTGATTTTCATCGGAGCAAGGGACATGATACCGAGAATGGCTACCGGCTGAAGAAGGAGATCGAAGAGGGACTCAAGGCGGGTAAGTTCCAAGATTGTGTCCAGAAGGGATCCGGGGAGAAAACGGCTGGTCAACCCAGGAACCGACGGTGGAAGAAGAACAAGGGTAAGGTTGTCAATCAGGCCCCCATTAGCGATGAGGTCAAAGCCTAGGACGATGTCAACCCGGCACAAGCACGTCAGATTTTAGCTGCTCCTGTGTGTGCTATATACGGAGCGCCCTTGGGGGTTCAGAGTATTTCTGCCCTTTGCAAAAGTGCGTGTCCTCGTCCGCTGGGTGAATCTGAGGCTGAACGGCTCTGTCCAGAGGAGTTGATTACTTTCTCAGAGCAAGATTTAGTGGGTGGTTCCGAGGATTATTCGGATGCTTTGGTTATGACGGCCATTGTTGCCAACCGAGAAGTTCGGCGCATGTATATTGATAATGGCAGCCCTGTGGATATCATGTATTTTGATTGCTTCCAGAAGTTGGGCCTCAATAAAACCCAACCCCGACCCGCCGCCATGCCCTTGGTTGGCTTCTCTAACCATGTGATAATGACCCTGGGTATGATCAGTTTGGCAGTAACCATAGGGACGTATCACAAGGATTGGGTTATCATGGTCGACTTTGCAGTGGTGGATGTCGTAGCCCCCTTTAACATTGTCATGGGGTGGCCATGGATGAGTCAGGCCAAGGCCATTTATTCTCTGTACCACTTGGTCATGAAGTTTCCAACCGATGCTGGGGTCACAGAAATTCGGGGTGATCAACAGTTGGCACGACAGTGCATGATGATTGCCACCCGAAAGGCGTGCGAATTCCTCTTTAGAGGGGCAACCGTCGGAGCCATCCAAAAGGCTCCAGTTTCTGAGGTGGATGAGGATCAGGAGAACGATGGCTCTCGTCTCTTGGATGATGGGGTCGTGGACGTAGCCCTGAATCCTTTTGTTGAAGGAAGGGTCGTCATCTTGGGAGCTATTCTGCCTCCTAGTCTTCAGGATATGGTGATTGAGTTGTTGAAGCAATTTGAGGACATCTTCGCTTGGAGTCCCAGCGATATGACAGGGATTCCTCCTGAGTTGGGCGTGCATAAGTTCAATGTCAATCCCAGCACGCGGCCCATACAACAAAGGAGGCGGAATATGGCTCCCGAGCGCAGCGCTGCTGTCGATGTTGAAGTTGCTAAGCTGTTGGCTGTGTTCATAATTAAGGAGATCTTCTATCCCACATGGTTGGCCAACCCTGTTATGGTCAAGAAGCTTGACACTTCCTGGAGTATGTGCGTGGATTATAGGGTTCTCAATAAATACTATCCTAAGGATTGTTTTCCCCTTCCAGCAATCGAGCAGAAGGTCGACACTATCTCGGGATATCCCGTACTTAGCTTCTTGGATGCATATAAGGGGTACCACCAAATCCTTATGGACGGGGATGATGCTGAGAAGACCGCTTTTGTCACCGAGAAGGGAGTGTTCTGCTACGTGAAGATGCCCTTCGGACTGAAGAACGCCGGCGCCACTTACCAACGGGTGGCAAACCGTGTCTTCGGGTCTCAGTTGGGCAGGAATGTAGAAGTCTACGTGGACGACATGGTGGTGAAAAGTCGTCGGGTTAACACGGTAGTTGACGATCTTCGGGAAACCTTTCGAACCCTCAGAGCGGCCAACATGAAGTTGAACCCAAAGAAGTGTATGTTCTATGTCGGTCCGGGGAAATTCTTGGGTTATCAAATATCCCGGAGGGGGATCGATGTGGACCCTTCCAAGTTTCAGGCCATCCTGGATATGCAACCTCCTCAGATAGATCAAAGAAGTACAGAAGCTCACAGGGTCTATTGCCGCCCTAGGGCGGTTTTTGTCAAAAGCTGCCGAACGAAGCCTTCCATTCTTCCAGGTCCTCAAAAAGCCCGATACCTTTGGCTGGACCGAGGCCTGTCAAAAAGCTTTCTTAGAGCTCAAAGATCACCTGAAGACTCTCCCGACCTTGAGCACGCCTGACCCGGGGGAGACGCTGATCTTATACCTGGCAGTGGGGGATTCAACCATGAGCGCGGCCTTGGTTCGAGAATGTAAGGAAAAACAGATCCCTATCTACTATGTCAGCAAGGTCCTTCTCCCCGCTGAGTCTCGATACACCTCGGCCGAGAAGTTGATCCTTTGCCTTGTGACCGTAGTCCAAAAGCTGCGTCCCTATTTCCAAGAACACCTAGTGGTAGTTCTTACAGATCAGCCTTTGCAGCAGATCCTCCGAAGGTCTGATATGTCGGGCAGGATAACTAAGTGGGCCGTGGAACTCGTGGAACACGACATAGAATTTCGGCCTCGAACCTCAATCAAGGGTCAAGCCTTGGCCGATTTCCTTGTCGAGGTTCCTCGAGGAGTAGGAGTCGAGGCTACTAGGGAGGAGCCCACCTTTGAAGAACCTCCCCCGAATGGTCCGCGGAAGTTTACCCTGTTCATCGATGGATCCTCCTCCAAAGAAGGTTCTGGCGTGGGTGTGGTTTTAGTTGACCCCCACAGGTCAGAAGTCATTTATGCCATCCGACTGGATTTTCCAACTACGAATAATGAGGCGGAGTATGAGGCGCTGATCGCGGGGCTATCCGTCGCCCGTGCACTCGATGTTCAAGAGATCTCCGTTTATAGCGATTCCCTAGTGGTAGTCAACCACGTTCTTAAACTGTATGACGCTCGAGAGGTAGCTCTCCAGAAGTATCTTCAGAAGGTCAGAGAGTTAGAATGCAACTTCCGTGTTTTCCGAATCCAATATATCCCGGGATCCCAGAACAAGCGGGCTGATGCGTTAAGCAAGTTGACCTCCTTCCACCCCATGTATCTTACTCAACGGATTCATATGGAGGTCAGGTTACGCCCGAGCATTCAAGCCAGCGAGATCTTGCCGATGGCACTGGATGAGGCGTCTTGGATGACACCCTTTGTCCAATATTTACAAGACGGTGTGCTGCCTTCGGATCCGAGGGAAGCTAGGAGAATCCGACTCAAGGCGCCGGGCTATTTGCTGCGAGACAGCATTCTCTACAAGAGGGGGTATTTTACCCCACTGTTGCGCTGTGTCGGACCGCGGGAGGCGGAGTTGCTGATCCGAAGTGTGCACGAAGGCGCCTCTGGGGCTCATTTGGGTTCTCGCAACCTGGCCAAGAAGCTTTTGCGTACTGGTTACAACTGGCCGACCTTGTCCCAGGATTGCCACAATCTTGTCATTCAATGCTCGCAATGCGAAAGGCACGCCCCTATTCCGCTACTTCCCCAGCATGAGATGATCCCAATTGAAAGCCCGTGGCCCTTTTATAAGTGGGGGACAGATATCATTGGCCCTTTCACGGTGGCGCCTCGGTAAACTTAAGTTTGTGATAGTCGCCATCGACTATTTCTCTAAGTGGGTCGAAGCGGAGCCTTTAGCCTCTACCACCGGAACGAAGGTAACCAAGTTCTTCTGGAAGAACATCATCTATCGGTTAGGAATTCCGAAGGTACTGATAACAGAACTTAGTTCGAGTCGGGTGTTTTCAAATCCTGATGCGAGCAGTTCGGCATTGAGCAGCGGTTCTCCTCCGTGGCCCATCCTCAAGCCAATGGGTTGGCTGAAAGTATAAACAAGGCTATCTTGCAGGGCATGAAGACGCGACTTCGGCAAGCTGGAGGCCGATGGCCCGAAGAATTGGCTCACGTCCTCTGGCCTATACGCACTACCATGAGAACGGCCACTGGGGCAACTCCTTTCAGCCTCGTCTACGGCATGGAAGCTGTTCTCCCAGCCAAAATAGAGGTGCCTGGTCCTCGGGTTGTCAACTTTGCGGAAGAAATGAATGAAGATCAGATTTGCCTTTGCCTTGATTTCCTGGATGAGAAGTGGAATCTGGCCAAGGCCCGCGAAGCTAAGTACAAACAACTTATGGCCAAGTACTACAACACCAAGGTCCGGGCTTAGGATCTTGAAGTTAGAGATCTGGTCCTAAGACAAAACGATGCCAGCCATGTTGAACTAACAGGGAAGTTATCTCCAAACTGGAAAGGACCGTACAAGGTGGTGGAAGTTTCGCCCTCGGGAAGTTATCGCTTGCGTACGTGTGATGGCGAGCCTCACAACATTCCCCGATGGTGGAACATCCAGAACCTTAAGAAGTTCCATGTATGAGGGCTGCGACCTTCTTTTGTAATAGTTGTAGCCGAAAGATAAGGATGTAACCACTTTTGCTGTCAATATACGGATTCCTTTCCATATGCTTGAATCTTCCATACAAAGCCCGTCTCGACCCCATTGCCGACGGCACCACGTGGCCTCCGCGGCCTGCGGGACTCCTACGGTCTCCGCGACCTTGGAACCTTTACAAAGTCCGTCTCGATCCCCGTGGGTAACGGCATTGTGTGGCCTCCGCGGCCTGCGGGACTCCTACAGTTTCTGCGACCTTGGAGCCTTTACGAAGCCCGTCTCGACCCCCGTGGCCAACGGCACCGCATGGCCTCCGCGGCCTGTGGGACTCCTAGGGTCTTCGCGACCTTGGAGCTTTTACAAAACCCGTCTCGACTCCTGTGGCCGACGGCACCGCGTGGCCTCCACGACTTTGGAGCTTTTACAAAGCCTGTCTCCGCGACCTTGGAGCTTTTACAAAGCCCGTCTCAACTCCTACGGTCTCCGCGACCTTGGAACTTTTACAAAGCCTATCTCAACCCCTGAGGCCGACGACACCGCGTGGCCTCCACGGCCTGCGGGACTCCTACGGTCTCTGCGACCTTGGAGCTTTTACAAAGTCCGTCTCGACCCCGGGGGCCGACGCCACCGCGTGGCCTCCGCGGCCTGCGGGACTCCTACGGTCTCCGCGACCTTGGAGCCTTTACAAAGCCTGCCTCGACCCCCATGACCGATGACAGCTCGTGGCTCCCACGGCCTGCGGAACTCCTACTGCCTCCGTGACCTCGGAGTCTAAACAAACTCAGGTCGACCCTCGGTAAGGTAAGATCCCTCCAAATCGTTTCAATCTTATTAGTACAGGATTTATAGTTTCAAATATAAAAACCGGGGGAAAGTACTCATACCACTACTCTCAGATTGTCGGGAAGAACATCACCATCGAACCAGCCTGGCATAGAATTTTATATACAAGCATAGATCTTCACAAATAATAAGATAGATAATGATGAAAGCAGGAAAAGGAGGGAAATGGGAAAGTGGGGTCGGTTTTCAAAAATACGAATTGATTAACTATGTTTGTATCTTCGAGGTGATGGCCCTCGGATATTTACACTTCACAAAAATCATATCGAAAACAGCCTAACTAAACGGGTCCCTAGTGCGACCCTTGACCTAATTCGTGAAACGGGGCATCATTTTCATATATCAGATGCTTGGCCTCACGAGTGGGGGAAGCGGGATCGTCTCGCATAGAAGGGTAGGGGTCGGGCCACAACGCCCCAATATCATACTTCTTTCCCGTTTCGACAATAAACAAAATCGTGCTCTCTAATGCTGCCTGAAGCTGATCAGCGTACCCCCGAAGGGCCTCTATTTTGTCAGAGGATCGATCCCACCTTATGGCGACTAAGGCGTAGGCTTTCCAAAGATGTACCAAGACACTCTCGAAATAGTTGCGGGGAATGAAGTTCTCAGGGTCGGGTTTAGGCAAACCGTCGTCCTTCTTTTTCTTCCGGATCTTAGCCTCGAACTTCCGAAGACGGTTGTTGGATAACATCTCTAACTGTATGGAGTACTTCATGTGGCCTTCCCAGTAGGCCTCCGTGTCCCTCCACAACTTGTCCAACCGATCATTTTCGGCCTTCACCTCTATAATGGCCCTGCGGGCTTCGCCTAATTTCGACGCCCTATACGCTTCCAAGGCCTCTTTGAGCTGGCCCTCCAGACTAGATAGCCTTCCTCGGCTTCGGTCGGAAGGCGGATCCACTAAGGCTCCTCTGACGACCGCGTAAAGGGGAAAGGTTGTCGGGTCGAAGTGGGGGTCGGGTAAGTGCAGGTCGATCCATGGGATTCCGGATGTTTCCCACTTACCCGGAGCTGCAGGTACACCTTGGGAGGTCCCCTCGGGCGGATTGGGTAAATTCAAGGCCGCGTCCTTCCCTTGAACACAGGAAGCGCGTGTAAGCTAGGGAGGTAGGAGACGCGGACTATGTATCTATTATTGATATAAAAAGAAAATAGGAGACATAATGAAAACTTTTTAAGTAGACTAAATCGAAGAATAAAAACTTGGTATTTCATTAAAATTAAAATTGATTTGAGTTCAAATCAATAGGAGCGTTATAATGGGAAAAAGGCAGTCACTAACATAAGGCCTAACCCTACGCATTATTCACCTTATCCCCGTTGTTGGTATTGGAATCGGTCGAAGTGCCGCCCTCGCCTTGGCTCCCGGAATTATTCCCCTTGGGGGGCGTCTCAACTTCTACCGCCTCTGGCTCCTCATCCAGCCCTTGCGGTGTCCCCAGGGGCATCTGGATCCCCTTTGGCATCTTGAAGACGAACGAAAGGCTGCCGAGAATATCAGCTATGTCCTCGGGCTTGGAAACGGTGGCGCATGCTTTTGTGATCTGCTGCATTATGGGAAGCAAGGCGAAGTTCATATCACGGAAGTGCTTTCCGCCTTGCACCGCAGCCTTACCGCGGATGTCCTCCCTTTCATCGTCCTATCGGCGTACTTATCGAGGATTGGTTGGATATCCTCGTTCTTTTTTCTGGCCGCCTCTATCTCCAAGACGACCTTTTGGGCCCCTTTTCTATCGTGGGTCCATGACATTGTTGATAACAAGGGCGAACTCGGATGACCCCAAGTAAGTCAGACTTGGGAATGGTCGTCGCCCGGAGGCCCTCGATTTGAAGGTTGTGGGCTGCCGTCACGTCTTCCAATTGCCCCTTCATTGTTGAGAGGTCCTCCTCCAGCCGCCTCTTCTCTTTCCCCAAGGCCTGAAGCCGCGTCTCGGCATCCATCGCTTTGGATGCCTTGTTGCTGGCCTTCTTCCTGGCCAAGGCTACCTGTCGCTCCAGGTTCGTGCACACTATCACGAAGGAGCCTATTGCCTGAACGGCTTGTCCGACGAAGAGGATTTTGATTAGGATGGGGTTATCTCGGTTACATCTAGCTTAAAGATGAAGGAAGGGGACTTACTTGCTTCATGCCGTCCTCCAATTGGGGCGCATCCATTGCAGGCACGTCTGCGCATTCGACCCGCGGGGGATCAAACGTCAGCAGGGCATGACCCTCTGGTATACTCTCGAAGCGGCCCATCTCTTGCCCTCGATTTTCGTTCCCCTCCTTCAATAGTTCATCAGTGGAGGGTATTTCGTGGAGTAGGGGCAGGCTATATGACAGGGGGTTGGCCTCTATCACCTCATGTGCCGCCCGTTTTTTCTTCTAATGGGCCGTGGCTTGGACCGGGAGAATCCTCTTCCTCGACCCTTCTGCGTGGGCCCTCGTCAACTGACTGGCAGATGCTTGTCCCAGTGCCTACTGAGGGGTTTCTTGCAGACTCTTCTCAGGGAATGGTTCCTCTTCGTCTGAATCATTAAAAGTCGAGCATTTACCCATCAGGTTAGCAAATATACCTACCAATAGAAAAATAGCCAAAGTTAGTCTTCGGATAAAATATCTTGGTTACGGGAGCTGATCGTGTTGCTCAATGACGCGATTTTCCTATATTTATAAGTCTTCTTCCACCCGACCAACTTCCCCAGGTCTGCTTTCCTGGCCTCCATTTCCTTATTGTCCCTTTTGGTCCACGGGTCTAAGCTAACTTTCCCCCCCTCGTCCGGCTTCCACGAATAAAGGTCGACCAAATTCGAGTCCACATAAAAGAAGCCAGACCTCCAGTGCTTAGAACTTTTGTTCTTAGCAACCAATTCCTTAGGGGGGCCATTGGGGTTTTTAGTGAAGCTAAACCACCCGGGGAAACTCTTCCCACATCGGACGAGCTTATAGAAGCACCGAAACAGGAAGATATCCGGTTTTACCTTCGTCTTGTTACATACATGGACAAAGGCTAACACTATGGTTATAAGATTGGGGGTATACTAGGCTAGAGGTCTGCCGTAGGCTTCTACTATTGTTTGATACATAGGCATAAGGGGGAAATGCAACCCATACACCAAAAACTTCTCGTAAATAGTAATTTTCCCTGGAGGAGGAGTATTGGCTCTCTCAAAACTCTCTGGCAAGATGGGGTGGATGGCCGTAAGGCTATAGTAGTTTTCTAGATCGTTTAATCTATCTTGGTTCAACAAGCATTGAACGTCTTCTACTCTGACTACTTCCTTAGCCATACCGGAAAACGAATCTAAGGAAGGGGAAAAGACTTACATGTTGGTGGTCGATCTGAAGCCGCGATTGGTAGCCGCCGGCCGTAGTTTTGATAACTGAACGTTATCGCTATTCCGATTTGCAAAAAGGAGAAGGAAAAAGTGTTGTTTTTTCTTAGGTCTGGACAAAAAAGGGAGGAAAATGGTTTCAAGTTCCCTGTGGGGGGTTTATATACTCCAAGGGAACTGAACAGTCCCCTCGATTCTCCACCAGGCGCCATTATTATAGCGCGGTCTCCCAGGTAATCCCACGCGTCCAACAGGTTTAGGCGGGAAGAATCCAGGATCATTGGATCTTGGGTGCTCTAAAGAAGGAATGTTCTGGAAAATGGGCTGGTCCGTTGGGCCCGGAATTCCTTTGTCAAGCCCAATCCGACTTTGCTAAACTGGGCTTGACAGGGGCACTTGTTGAGGGTCAAAACTGACTAGCCCAACTGATTCCACAGCTTGGGCCTAACTATAAGCCCAAGCTATCCATTTCTTCCTCTTAAGGGCCCAGCCGGTTCTATTGGGGGTTACTCGTGATTATTTATGCTTTTGCCCCTCCTGACACATGGGCCCACAAGTATCGTCCCATTGAGACCTATAAATACTCCTTGTACATTTATTATAAAGGCAATTCCACACTACCGTTTCTCTCTCTAAGTGTGTTAATTGTCTGCTTCTATCTCTAGCACTGACTTAATCTTCAGAGTGCAAACCCCCGTCTTTCAGGTCCCCATTCGAGTTGGACTGTTGACTCCACGCCTCCGTGATTTACCCTCGACAACTTCCTCAACAGAATATTCTAGAAGTAGAGCCGTTTGATGTATGGGGGATTGACTTTATGGGTCCCTTTGGCGGTAGATTATGTGTCTAAATGGGTAGAAGCTGTGCCTTGCCAGAAAAGTGATGCCAAGACTGTGGTAAAATTCTTGAGGAAGAACATTTTTAGCAGGTTTGGAACTCTACGCTTGATCATCACTGATGAGGGCTCCCACTTCTGCAACAAAAGCTTCACAGCCCTGATGAAGAAGTTTCGAATTCAGCACAGAATGTCTACTTCCTACCATCCACAGACCAATGGCCAAGCTGAGATTTCCAACAGGGAAACCAAGAGGATTTTGGAGAAGGTTGTCAGTGTCAACAGAAAAGATTGGGCAGCAAGATTAGATGAGGCTTTGTGGGCTTACAGAACTGCCTACAAGACTCCTATAGGCCCGTCACCATTCAGGCTTGTCTATGGGAAGGCTTGTCACTTACCTGTTGAGTTGGAGCATAAAGCCTACTGGGCCATAAAAGAGCTGAATTTTCATAAGGGATTTGTCAAGGACAAAAGACTGCTGCAACTCTGTGAAATGGAAGAATTTAGGAATGAGGCTGATGAATCTGCCAAGCTGTACAAAGAAAAGACCAAAGCCTATCATGATAAGAAACTAGTGAAGAAAGAATTGAAGGAAGGTCAGTTAGTGTTGCTGTACAATTCCAAGCTGAAACTTTTTCCAGGGAAGTTGAAGTCCAGATGGTCTAGTCCATTCAGAATCAGGAAAATTCTCAGCCAAGGAGCTATAGAATTGGAGAACATAGAGAATGGCAGAACATTTCTGGTGAATGGACAGAGGTTGAAACATTACAGAGGATTGCATAATGAGGAGGTTATTCGAGAAACTCATGTCTTGAGCCTTATGGAACCCCACTATACCACTGCACATGTTGCAAGCTTATTCAAGAAACTTATGCGTTGCAAGCTTCACATGTTGTTTGTGAGTTTGAATTCTGTTCGTTCCAGGTTTTGGGGAGTTTGTGTCTATTTTCATTATTTTGTGTCTTTCTAAGAGTCATGACAAGTTTGTTCTTTTTTTTTCAAAACAAAAAAATGTTTTCTATGAGTCCTCTACTGGCTTTGGTTTTGTTTGTAGTGTCTTTCCAAGCTTTTATTTGTTGTGTCTTTCCAAGCCAGTTGAAATGTTGTATATCAGTGTTCGGAATTGTCAATGGTCTAGGATGAATCAGAGAGTGCAGAAATTTTTCAATTACACATGTGATTCACCTTTAGACAGAGTATGCAGTTCATTACCATTTCTACGAGCACACCATATCACTTGCCAGAGCGTATGCTTTGAGCTTAAATTTTAAAATCTTGAATGCTTAATTGCATTGTTGTGATCTTATACTGGAGTCCACTTGTCTAAAGCCTCGGGGGATTGTAATTCTGAGTGAAGACTAAGGCAGCCCTTCGCATCATGGGAGACTCTATAAGAGTCCATGTTTGTCTGTAAAAGTCTAAAAAAATCCTTGGGAAAAAGGGGGTGTTGGCGGTTGAAACTGAGTTTAAAAGAAAAATATGCAATGAGGGAAGAAAGGTAGCATGTCCAATGAGGCTGTGAAAGCCCTGGGAGGCGAGGCTTGCCAAATAAAGAGAGGAGTGTCCTCAGGCCTGGTGAAAAATAAAAAAAATGCTTAGAATACCAATAGTGCTGAAAAAATGTGCTTGGTATAGGCCTGAGTGGGAAAGATCCTGAAGAAAAGCCATATGGACAAGAAGGAAAAGGTATAAGGGAGAAAAAGATGTAGTCATGATGCTTGCAGTAATGTTAGAAAGTCCTTAGAATATGAAAATCTCAGTGAGAATACCCTAGTTGAAGACATGCATGAAATGGGTACTGATCACAAGAATGTCCATTTGAATTTAAATGAATCTAATCTTAGAATGGTCAGTAGTAGAAGCTACATTTCTATCAGTGATATGGTACACACACACACACTGGATTGCATTGTTTTATTCTGTCTGAAAGGTGATGATCTGTGGTGCAAATGTATAAGATCTGTTTCTGAGACAAAATTTGACAGTTCTAATTCTGTTTTCTTCTTGGTTTTGTGTTTGTTCTGCCCAAACTGACACCTTCATCACTCTGGGAAGTGAGTTTTTCACTCGCCCAAGTGAAGACTCTTTTACATCTTTCTTTGTTTTGTTCTGTTAGTTTTTGTTTTGATGTTTTGTTCTACAGCATTGAGGACACTGCTGTGTTTAAATTTGGGGGAGTGTTAGGTTGTATATACATGGTCAATATTTGTGTATTTGGAGTCTTTTTAACAGTTTATTAGGTTGTTTTTAAATTAAAAAAAAAAAAAAAAAAAAAAATCATGTGTCCTTGTGTGTTTTCTCTTTTTCCTATCTTACTTCTTCTATCTATGTCTGTCTTTATTTTTTCCTTCTATTTTGCTGTTATAGTCAGAGTCCGTAGGAATGAGTCTATATTTGTTTGCTTGAGGACAAACAATTCTCCATGTTTGAGGTTTGTATGCTTGAGGACAAGCAAATCTTCAAGTTTGGAGGACTGATGAGGGGTTAAAATATACATATTTAGAAAGCATATATAGCCTCATTCTTACTTGTAAAATAGTCTAATTAGATAGAATTTGCTTAGTTTTACTTACGTTTTGTGTTTTTAGGTGATCAAGGGTTGAAATTATAAATGGAGCAAAATTTGGGCTAAAATGGTCAAAAAGGGCAAGGTCTTGGAAGTTGGCTGTCACTCCGCCAAGTGAACAACGCCACTCCCCCAAGTGACTGCTGCTGCTGCTGCTGATGGGACGCGCCGCACAAATGCAAGGCTCAAGAATCAGATTTTGGAAACTTTATGGAAGCTTGGAGGCTAAGGAAAGGACTTAGCCGCAAAATAGTTGGACACTCCACCCAAAAATTCAATCAACTCTTGGAATGGACTCAGACATGCAATTCTTACCAAGTTTGTCCCACCTGTCAAAGCTGCTCCTTTAAGATCAGCTATCATGACTTTTCAGCAGCATGGGACAGAGACTCATTATGAGCTTTAGGAGAAATTCAAGGAATTGATGAGGAAATATCCTCAACATGGTGTAGACAAGCCTATGCAGTTGTGTATTTTCTATAATGCATTGCAACAAGCCTCCAGAGAATCACTTGATTCATCTTCTGGAGGAGCATTCATGATGAAACTTGTAGAAGAAGCAATGCAGCCGTTGGAAAATATGTGTGCTAATCATTTCAGATGGCAGAAGGAGCCCAGAGCTACAACTAAGAAAGCAGGAGTGTTGGAGCTCGATGCTACAACTCACTTGCAAGCCCAGATGCAGCCATCACCAGTGAAATAACCAAGATAAGAGCTGAAATGAACAAGCCAAAAGCTGTTGTCTCTGAGATTTGCACAGGATCTCATAACAGGTCCACTTGTCAAGCCATATTAGAAGAAGTTCAGTTTATGAGACAAGGGAATGACAGAGGACGATTCAACAATTACAACAATTGGAGGCCTCAGCAGAGCAGCAACTGGACTAATCAGCAATCAAACTATCAAAGACTAGCTCAACCACCTGGTATTTCAGAATCAACCATTCAGAGGCAAGGAGGAGGATTGGATCAAGGTGGGAAATGTTCTTGCTAGTCTTGATGCCACTATAAAAGACATGCAGAATCAGGTAGCACAAATGGCAAGAAAAATACCAGATAGACCTGCTGGATCACTTCCAAGTGACACACTGGAGATTCCTAAAAGGAGAAAAGCAGACCATACAGTTCAGAACCAAAAGATGCAGCTCAAGGATGTGATGCAACTCAAGGAGGCAGAATAGAAGCACCATTGAGTCTGGCATGAGACTTTAAACTAATGCGCTGCTTGGGAGGCAACCCAAGGTAAGTTCTTTTTGTTCTTCTTAATTTTGGTTCAATTAGTATTTTGTTATTGAATCAATCCGTTAGTGGCAATCAGAAAGGGTGGAATAGCCCTTATCAGAAATTTTCAGGTGGAATTGTGTGGATGGTTTACCTGAAATGTCTTGCCGACTATGATATAGTCAGAGCGGTAACATTTATGTTTAAAAATCTACACAAAGCAATGGATAAAGATCTTTCGTCTCAATTGGGCGAGTGATAAACTCACTTTCGCGACTGAGATGGCTAATCAAAGGGAACTTGCAAGCCTGCACCTTGCATTTTGATTAAGGGAAAGGGAGACAGAGACCAGAAACTCACTTTGGGAGAGTGTAATATATCACTCTCGGAGGTGAGAACATTGACTCGGGATGAGGAAAGTCAACGTCCACATAATAAGTCTGGTCAAAGACTACCGAAGAAGAAAAGGGGTGAATTACTTTTGAAGACCCTTTGATGTGATTGACGGGCAGAGAAGGTCAGGAATAAACTCTTCTCCATAAAACTGCGGCCCACGACCCTCATAGCTATTAAAACCCTCGCCACATTTATGATTATTCCCTTCCATCCTCAAAAACCACTCCCAAAAGAATATCAAAAGTTCAACCCCAGAAACCTGCTCAAAACCATAACTTCACAATGGTGAGGGAAAGGCAGAGGGCAAGAAGAAGTGTAGTACTGATACAAGGTGCAGTAATGACACCACCAAATCTGCAGGACCGGCCGTCTAGAGGGGAGCGCTGCCCACCGAAACATCATCCAAAACATAGCAACATCTTGGTTAATGACCAATCAGGTGGCGGCAGAATTCTTCCAGAAAAACTGGGAGAGGCAGGCAATTGTGGAACGAGGCATGGTGGGACAGCCAGATCCAAATTCTTACATAGCACTTTATCATTGGGAAGGATTATGCACTGTCACAATCCGACCCAACCTTAGCACAGTGTGAGAATTTTACAGTAATCTCAGAGGAGACCCAGGGGATGAAATCACAGTAAGAGGTTGAGTTGTTGACATCAATATAGAAGCTATTAAGGAGGTACTTCATCTCCCAGAAGCAGATTTCAACTATGCGGATGGAGCTTACCAGGCAATAGACGACATCCTAGAGGAGGAATTGCCATATGCATTATGTTCAAGACCTGCAGATGTGAAATGGTCAAGACGCAATGGCACACTTTAGGACTTCCCGGCCTTAGATCTAAAGCCAGAGTATAAGCAATGGTATAATATGATATGTACCACCATTATGCCAATGAGGCATTACAAAAAGGTGCCCTATGAGATGGCTCTCATGCTCTTTGCCCAGGTCCTTAACATCCCCATTGATGTAGCTGCGGTCATCAGACAACAGATGAACATCTGTGTCACAAATCCAAGGGAGAAAGACTTGTTCTTCCCAGTGTTGGCCACTAGATTGATTTAGAGGGCCAACGTGCAGTTCCTGCACACTGACGTTAGGGGAGATATACCACCTCCATGGCAGCTGGAAGGACCTCCACAGCCATTTTCAGTACCTATGATTACCCAGGGAAGTACTCTATTTTCTTTTTCTTTTTCTTTTCTTTTGTTTTCTGTTTTTGATTTTTTTCTGTTTTATTGTGTTTGTTTGTGTGTCTTAGGAGTCCTTAGGATAGATAGAGTTCACTTTGTGTGATGATTTTTGCTGTTTATAGTTGAATTGCATGCTAAGTGTTTGTGTTTGTTGTTCCCCTATTTTCTATGTTTGTAAGCATTAAGGATATTGCTTATTTTAAGTTTGGGGGAGGGATTAGTCTAAATGGGTATGCTATGTTTTGACAGGATCAAATTTTGAAAAAACAAATTTGAGTTTGTGTGCAATTGTGAACAAAGTGATGTATATACAGTGTCAAAGGTCTATGATGATTCAAAAAAGTGCGGAAAATTTTGAAATTTTGAACACTTGTTGATTCACTTGAAGTCATTCCATAGTTCTTCACTTTCACAAGCACACTATATCACTGGAGTCAACTTGTTGGAAACCTGAGGGGATTGTAATTCTGAGTGAAGATTGAGGGAGCCCTTCGCATCATGATAGAATCTATGAGAGCCCATTGTGGTCTGTAAAAAAACATAAAACCTTGGGAAAAGGAGATGGTAGGCGGTTGAAACTGAGCTGAAAAGAAATATATATATATATATATATACATATATATATATATATATATATATGCAATGAGGGAAGTTAGAAAGACTGTCCAATGAGGCAGTAATACCCTTGAGTTCTTAGGTTTGGCAAATAAATAGAAGAGAGTCCTCAGGTCTGATGAGAAAATATGAATAATTAGATTACCCTAAGTTGCTGAGCCACTATCATGATATAAAACAAGTGAAAAAAATGCTCTGGGTAGGGGCCTGGGTGGGAAAGATCCAGAAGAAAAGCCATATGGACAATGAGAAAAAGGGTGGAGGGAGAAATAAGATGCAGCCAATGAAGCTTGCAGTTATATGAGGAAGTCCTGAGAATCTAAAAATCCCAGTGAGAATACTCTAGTTGATGGCATGCAGGAAATGGGTACTGATCACAATGATGTACATTTGTTCTTAAACTGGTTAATTCTTAGAATAGATCAAAGGTAACAACTTGAATTTTGGCTGTGACACATGCACACACACACACACACAGACTAAAGAACTGTGATGCTGCCTTTCTGTGATAAACAATGGTGTATAATCTGTCTAATAAGGGACTTGAATCTGAGACTAGCATTGATACAATGCTGCATTTAATCTTGTTCATTTAGACACATTCAAGGCAAGCAACTATGTGCAGACAATGAAGAAAGCATTGGTCACTTATTTTTCCATTGTCCATATTCAGGAACTCCTGAACTATATCAAGACATGGTTGGCTGTAAATGTATCGATAAGTTGTCCAAGAACAAGGGTGAACAATCCAACTAAATTTTGGCGAGGCAAGAAAGTTGGACAGAAACTGTTTTTTTGCTGTTTTGAATGCTGCAGTCTATCATATTTAGATAGAACTGAACAATAAAAAGTTTAGACAAGAATCCAAGTATGCACTTGCAAGATTTGAGTAATTGAAAGAAGAAATATGCAGAAAGATTCAGATTTATTGTCAAAAGGGTAATGGAAATGATATTCGGTATTTTAGATCAATTGGTGTTATTTTCTGAAATTGTAATAGACTGAATTATATTGTACATAAACTGGGAGGTTATACATAATACAATTTACCTTTTCCCCAAGAAAAGTAGTTTCCTGGTTTCATTGTTTTTAAACTTTTAATCTGCGGGATCGGAATTACACAATTTGATTTTTCAGAAAAAAAAACCTAACTTATCAAATGGAAGAAGGATTGCTAACCCGTATGCTCTTGTTTGGCCGGCATTTGCTTGGAGAAGAAGGTGGTGGAGGCTTTTTTTATGAATAAAAAGAATCCCACTTTTTTAGATTTGAAAAAATGAATTATTTAATGAACAAGAGAGAGGATCCGTTAAAAATCTGCCAAAACCAGTTAAATTTGCTGAATAGTAAATAGGTTGGGACTAAATTGACTAAATGAAATAACTAATGATGACATTGTATTGATGCTACATATCTAGGTTAAATTAAGTGCTTTTCAATCAATTTTTGTTTCTTAAAGATTAGTCATTTGCAAAGATAAAAATGTATTTGAAAAGGTATTTTTTAAAACTTTATAATTGGAAGTAATGCTCTAAAACTGGTACAATAGAACGTTGCTAAATTAATAATCTACACATTAATAATTTTCTCATGTCCCCTAACTTAGGAGCAATACAAAAGTGAGCAAAATCGATAAAATAATAATGCTATAGAAAATTTTTTATATATCTATTTGTCCCGACAATACTATAAATTGTGAAAAAATAACAACTATAAGTATTTAGTATCGAGAATAGTTTCAATACTATTGAATTTTGTTTTTTTAGTCTCAGGAGATAACATGACAATGTATATATTTTAGTATCGAGAATAAATAATAGAGTGTAAGATTCCATCAATTATCTCAGCAACCTCTCTCCTCCTGCTCCTCCCCTACGCTTCAATCACGATCAAATTTCCAGCCACTATGGCCGGAGAGCTACCCTGGGAAGCCCCCACTAGGCTTCCCCGCACCTTTGCTAGTTGTTTTTGCAAGCCACCGGATGTTGTTTCTTCTTAGCAGTCGCTTATCAAGCCGGTTTCTTTCATTAATGGAACTCTGGTCCTTGAATACGAAGATGATGAATACGAGCATTTGATTGCTCCTCATCAAATGAGTTTGGTTGGCAAGTTTGCATACGGAAGACCGAAAATGAAGGAAATACATAAGGAATTCAAGAAATTTGGGTTTAATGGAGCATACACCCTAGGGTTGATGAACCCTAGGCATATTTTGATTCAATATGAATGCGAAGACGACTATCAATATTGTTGGATGCAAATGTTCTGGAATGTAGCTGGGTTTTCCATGAGAATTCTGAAGTGGAAACCGGGTTTCAAGTTTGAAGAGGATCTGCCAATAGTACCAATTTGGGTTTCAGTTTGTGATCTCCCCATTGAATTCTTAAACCCGGAGGTTATCTTCTCAATGGCTACGGTGATCGGAAAGCCGCTGAAGGTTGATGCCCCAACATTGAACATGACTCGGCCTTCGGTAGCTAGATTTTGTGTGGAGGTAGATTTGACAAAAGAGCTTCCAAAATTCGTCAAAATCGGTAAACGAGGAAGGAAGCATGAGCAATTCTTCACATATGAAAATGTTCCCTTCTATTGTTCTAAATGCTTCAAGATTGGTCACAAAGTCGAGGATTGCAAGAAAGGTTTGCTGTTGAAGAAGGGGATGAAGGGCAAACAGCAATCGCAGGATCATGGAAACAAGCCATCGAAACCAGCGCAGCCGCAAGCTCCCCCGTCGCGCGCTTGGGTTTCGAAAAAGCCAATGGAGATTGTCCAGAAGAACAGCAATTCTGCTGTAGTTTGTTCTTCGTCAGGTTTGACGAAGAAGGAGAAGGCAGCTACAGTCGTTGATGTTCGCGATTCCCCCCAAGCTCACTCCAAGTGTCATAGCAAGGAGGTATTGCAGAAACACCTCGCAGGCCGCGACCAAGCCTGCGGAAACCCTAGCTCCGTGAGCTGCGAGGCCGGTTTGAATGATGTAGCGCCACCTCCATCTCGACCAGAATTTCTTGGAATCTCTGTCGAAGAACATGAACCCCTTCCAGTAATAACGCTTCAAACCTCTCCCCAACAAGTGGTGTTACAATTGGAGTCCATGCAGACGCAAAAAACCCTAGAGGCGCGGAGTGATAACCGCTTTGCTTTGTTGAGTACGATTGATGAGGCCGATTGTGAGGATGTAGAAGAGGAAAAAGATACTCATATTGAAAATGTATATGTTGAAAATATTGAAAACACCACCTCTGTTGAAGTGGAATATGCTTTGCAATGGTTGGACAGTGAAGACCCTTTGTGTATTGAGAATGCTTCGGACGATGGAACTATTGGTATTAATTCTGATTTCTTGGAGTCTGACATTGGAAATCATGCCTGCTGATCAGAGGGGGATATGTAAAATGTACTAATTAATGATACAGATAAGGGTTTATTTCATGAAGATGTCAAGGTGTCACGTAAAAGAGGCTCAAAATCAAAAGCCGAAAAGGCGGAGCTGCTCAAAGGGGTGATCACTAGACGATCACCTAGGTTGCAGTAATGTGTTCCTTTTCCCCTTAATTTTTCCACGTTAAATCGACTTATTTGGAATATTAGAGGAATTAAAAATCAAGCGTCTCAACAGCGTTTGAAAATCTTGATAAAGATGTATAAGGTTTCGGTTTTGTTTATCATGGAACCTATGGTTTTTTGGAGCCAGATTGATGTTGTTAGAAGGGAGCTTGGCTTTGATTATGCTTTTTCTTCTGAAAATAGCAAGATTTGGGTATTTAGTAGGCATGGCTTTATGCTCACTTTGTTGGAGGATCTGGATCAAATCCTCCATTTTGAAGTTACTAATGCTTTGGCGAATGGTACTTTTTATCTTTCAACTGTATATGCTAAGTCAACTAAAGTGGAGAGGCGTTTATTGTGGCAGCACATGATAGCATTTAGACAGCACCACCCTTCGGCTCCGTGGATGATTGGAGGAGACTTTAATGTCATTCGCACTTGGATGAATATTCTGGAACTTCGGTTCAGGACTTGGCAGCCATCTCAGAATTTAATGAATGCATTCTTGAATGCAAACTTGATGATATTTAGGTGATTGGTGAAGAGTTTACATGGGGGAACTCGCCAAACTGGTTGGGTTAGTAAGAAGCTTGATAGAGTCTTGATAACTCCAGAGTGGCAAGAGTTGTTCCCGGTTTCTTCACTTGAGAATTTAAATCGCACCACCTCTGATCATTGCCCAATGCTCCATTTGTTCAATGTCCAAGTGACCAGCAAACCAAGGATTTTCAGATTTCAAAAAATGTGGTTGAGGAGGCCGGAGTTTCTTGCTATGGTTAAACAAAACTGGGACCATCCATATGACGCTTTTGGTATGTTGAGGTTCTCACTCAAGTTGCGCCGGTTGAAGGCTAAATTAAAAGAGTGGAATAAAGAAACCTTTGGAGATGTTTTTGCTAATTTAAAGGCGGCTGAGAAGAAAGTCCAAGATCTTGAAGGAGTATACGATTCAACGGGTGTAATTCAGGATAGAGTTCGGCTGAATGCTGCTAAGGCTAATTTACTTATGAAGATCAAGGAGCATGATGATTTTTGGTCTCAAAAAATGAAAATAAAATGGATGAAGGAAGGGGACTCTAACACCTCTTTCTTTCATGCATCTTTAAAAGAGAGGAGAGGACGGCAAGGGATCTTCAAAATTCAAGCTGAAAATGGGGATATGTTGACACGGCCGCTGGATATTGAACAAGAGGTGATTTCCTTCTTCTCGGCCTTGTTGAATAACAATGATGTTGATCCGCTTAGTGATGAAAAGCAAGAGATGTTTGTTCATCATATTCCGCGTCTACTTGATAACGGTGATGGGAATGATTTATTGAGGCCTGTATTACTTGAGGAAGTCAAGGAAGCTGTTTTCAATCTTAGTGAAGATAGCGCTCTCGGTGTGGATTGCTTTGGAGGATCTTTTTATAAAAGTTTTTAGGGATTTGTTGCGAATGATTTGTGGCAAGCTTGCCAAGATTCATGTTGGGTGTCTCTATCCCTAGGTCAATCTCAAGCACTTTGATCACTCTTATTCCAAAGAAGGTTGTGGTTACTTCTTTTGCGGATTATAGGCCTATTAGCCTCTGTAACTTCTTGGACAAGGTTTTTACTAAAATCTTGACGGAAAGAATCAAGATAGTACTGCCAAGTGCGAATGATTTGTGGCAAGCTTGCCAAGAATTCATGTTGGGTATCTCTATCCCTAGGTCAATCTCAAGCACTTTGATCACTCTTATTCCAAAGAAGGTTGTGGTTACTTCTTTTGCGGATTATAGGCCTAGTAGCCTCTGTAACTTCTTGGACAAGGTTTTTACTAAAATCTTGACGGAAAGAATCAAGATAGTACTACCAAGAATCATCTCTGAGGAGCAATCCGTCTTTTTGCATGGGAGGGATATCATGGATAATGTGTTGCTAGCTCATGATCTTTGCCAATTCTTGGGGCGCAAAGCTGAAGGTGGGAATTTTGTGCTTAAGCTTGATATGATGAAAGCATTCGATAGAGTAAGGTGGACTTTTTTGGAAAAAGTGATGGTGAAGTTTGGGTTCCCTACGCATTTTGTTGCTTTGGTAATGAATAACTTGAGGGATGCTTGGTTTTCGGTTATGATAAATGGAAGTCCGGCTGGCTTTTTTAAGTCTTCTCGAGGTATCAAGCAAGGAGACCCTTTGTCCCCTTATGTCTTCATTCTTGTTTCAGAAGCAATGACAAGACGCCTTAAATCCCTAGTTGCGGAAGGTAGAGTGGCTGCCTATGGTACTCCGGTTGGTTCCTTGCCGGTAACTCATCTTGCCTTTGCGGATGATGTAATCGTTTTCTCAAGGGGTCTAAAGAGATCATTGAAGGAGTTAAATAGTTTTCTCATGGACTATGAGATAGCTTCGAGTCAAAAGGTGAGTCGATCAAAGAGCTCTTTTGTGGTTGCGGAGAATTGCAATGCAAGAAGGGTGGTTATAATTCAAAGGGAGCTTGGTATTCAGCGTGAAACATTTCCTTTTACTTACCTTGGCTGCAAGTTATATCTTGGCCGAAGGAGAGCTTCCACTTTCCAATTCTTATTGGATCATCTAGATCGAAGACTCCTTAGTTGGGAAAACAAGATGCTTAGTTAAGGAGGATGCTTGGTATTGATCAAACATGTTTTATCATCCATTCCAGTCCATGTATTCTTGGCCCTCCCTCCTCCTCGGGCGGTCATTCAAGAGATGGAAAAAAAGTGTTAAAAATTTCTGTGGCAGGGTATGAATGAAGAGTCTAGACGCCATTGGAGATCGTGGAATAGAATTACCTTCCCGATTAATGAAAATGGCTTGGGGATTCATGATTTTTCGGAGTTCATTGATGCCTTGACTGTCAAATTATGGTGGAAATTGAAGAACAAAACCGGTATATGGAGTAGATTCCTTCTCTCTTTATCTACTACATCTAAAAATAAGACCTCTTGGAAGAGAATTTCTAAAGTGGAGAATAGGGCTGTTGTGCACACAAAAGTCATTGTCCGTAGAGGAAACCGCTCTTTTTGGTTTGATAACTGGTCGCCACATGGAGTTCTTTGGGACATTCAAGGACTGGAGCCACCTTTCCCGGACCTAAGCATCAGGGAATTCTTCCAAACCGGCAGCATTACGCCCCATTGTTGCAGCCAGCTCTTGCGGATGATGTCCTCCATTTCCTTATGGTTTTTGAGCAAGATTTCATTGAGAGGGATGATCTATTTGTTTGGAAGCATATGCCCACATGAGTCTTTTCGGTTAAATCCGCCTATGAAGCTTTGAGGAGCCGTGGAGTGGAGGAAAATCGGGCAAAAAATTATTGGAATTCTTTAACACCTTTGCGTGTTTCTATATTCTTGTGAAAATTGGGAAACAATCTTCTTCCATTTTCGGAAGTCATAGCGCGCATGGGAATTTATTGCTTTCCGGCCATATGTTTGTTTTGAAAGAGCCATGATGATGGAATATCTCATTGCTTTTCTGGATGTAATTTTACAAGGGTTGTTTGGCGGCATTTTTCTTCTCTAATGAGAGTTCAAATCCAAGGTGCGACATCTTTATCTTCTTTGTTAGGTCGATGCTGGAGTGATGGTGATCTCAAATCGGCTTATGGTGCATTGCGGAAGGTCCTACCTTCTATTCTCCTTTGGGAGTTATGGAAACTAAGGAACAAGGTCTTTTTTGAAGACTAAGCCGACTCAAGCTTCTATAATTCATGCCATTATAGAGCAGGTACGTTGTTTGATGATGATTCATGATCTTCAAATTCGGAATGAGGAGGAGGATGCCTTTTTTCAAAAAGACTTCCAGGTAACTTTACGGTGAGTTGGCCGGCCTCGTGTTTTGCATATTATGTGGCAGCACCCACCTCTTAATCTTATATCCTGAGCACTGATGGCTCTTCTAGTCTTGGTGAGGCAGGATATGGTTTTGTTATTAGGGGTGGAGGAGGCTCCTTTATGTATGGGGAAGGTAGATATCTTGGAGGAGGTGATAGTTTTTAGCGGAAATCTCTGGCATTCTCTTTGGTCTAACGAAGTGTGAGCAATTACACCTTTCTAATGTGGAGATCCAGACGGATAATCAAGTCTTGGCTTTGACTTTAGCTAAGAATTCAGGTTTTCCTTGGAGATACTTTTTGTACTTACAGGAAATGTCATCCATTATTCGAAGGAATGGATTTCGGATTACTCATGTGTTTAGAGAAGTGAACTCTATAGTGGACTGGTTTGCTAAAGAAGCGCCTTCAGGGACATCCCAAACTCATTCTTCTATAGATAGTTTGACAAGTTATGTAAGAGGATTATTGATTTTAGATCAAGAATCCTTTCCCTATATTCAAAGTAGAAGCTCTTGATGTACTAGTGGCTAGTCTATATGCTACCACTTCTCTATTTTTGAATGAATAACATTCTGGGGAGGGACGAAACTAGGGAACTAGATGGTATTTATGTCCATCCCTTGGGTATACCCCTTGGGTGCATAGTACCATCTAGGGCTGTCTAATTTATAAAATAGCTCTTGGGTAGACCCCTTGAGTATTTTATGAGTTAGTTGGGACCTAAAAATAGTTCCAAATCCCCATTTTTTTCTTTTAAAAAATATATATAATATAGAAAATAGTTTCAATACTTCTTTGATTCTGATGGTGCAAATATACGAAAAATTAGAGAATTTTGTAATGTTCGTTTTTGCTTCAAAAACTCTTTAAATTATTTTATTAACTCTTTTTTTTGGCAACACCAGGGCAATACCGGGCGGGGATGGTGCCCGATTTATTAATTTACAGAAAAGAAATATTTGGCAATACTTAAAACTTACCAAGATACATCTACTCAAAGACTATAATGCAGATTTAATGAGATTACAAATGAGGAACATTAACTACTTAGCTTTAGTTTCAATCCTTATGATCACTCCTATCGACTACGTATATAAGGAAAGGATTTTTGGTCCAAGATCAAAAGACCCTTCACTCGGCTTGGCAGAGCACTAATGCTATCATAAATCTTTGTGACCCCGAAAGAAGTTATTTTAGATAAAGCATCCGCCATCAAATTAGTTTCTTTGTAGATATGAGATACAGTAAAGGGTGGCCTCTTCATCACTGAAATGATATCTTTCAACTCAAAGCAATACCGCCATGGTAAATTCTCCTCATTTTTGAGCATATTCGCCACCATCATACTGTCTATCTGGATATTCACTTGCTTAAGATCCAACTCATCACATTTTCGGACTCCTTTTAAAACTCCTTTGATTTAGCCGTTAGGCTTAAACCAGTGCTAAAAAATTTGATTCCGCATAGGTAAAGTCTCCATTTGTTAAAACAAATCCTGAATTTCTGGAGTTCCTAGAGCTGAACCATCCGAATTAAACACAAAAATTGTTAAAATTGGGAGGAATCTATCTAACTTGTTGAGATATTCTTTAATCCTTGAAAAACAATTTGACACCAAAGATTTCTTCTATTTTCGTACATTTAGCCATCAAAGCAACCTTTAGATCCCGAACAGACGACATGGAGGTGAGATGATCATTTACTACTTGGATCACTTCTAATGTAGTGAAGACTAATCCTTGAAAGATAAACTTATTTCTTGCTTTCCATAATTCTAATAAAATAAAGAGCGACACAACCATGATAACCGTTTTGATGGCAGAAGAAAAAATTTTGTAAGTCCACCATAATTTAATGAAAAACCATAAGCTGGAAGCAATTGGCAGATTTAAACCAAGTTTTGCAGAAAAGGTTTTCCAAATAGCCCTCACCTTATCACACTCATAGAATACATGTTGAATTTTATCATTATCCTGAAGACAGAAAGGGCATAAAGATGGTAATGCATTGAAACCAAAATGTTAATTACCTCTGAAAAATGCACGATTGTAAAGCTTCCATTAAATATTGAAACTAATAGTGGAATTGAACAATTCCAGATTTTCTTCATCATTTCATTGTCCTCGCTTACCCGTCGCAACACACTATGAGCTTATGTTATTGTAAATTCACCTTGAGATGTTGGCTGCCAGACCACAACATCATCATCAACATGGATTTCCACATTCAATTCCAGCAAGATATTGACCACATGATCAGATAAGTGATCATAAAGATAAACCTCGTATTCTTGTCTATTGCCACAAACTTGGCGGATCGTTATATCCGAATATTGTGGTTCCTTGTTTGAGATGTCCCATAAAACTCCAAAATGTGACTAGTTCGAGAACCAGAAAGAGTTGTTACCTCAACATATAAGAATTTTGCAAAAACAAGTTGCTTTGTTCCAAACCTCCCGAATTCTACACCACGATGTGTTTTGCTTCGCCTTGAAGGTGAGTGAGTGAAGAAAGGTTGTGTCATGACCCAAACTAGGGCCTAGTTGACATGCCACATGTACAAAAAAGAACTTTTTATATTGTTATACAAGTAAGGCACTTACTTCTTCTAAATTGTACAGGTCACTAAAGTTTTTCTCAATCGACTAACATTTTTTATTTTAAATTACATTCTACCATATGTTACAGCTGCTACTAAACTATTCTAATATTTCTGAAAATTTTCTTCTAACTCTCTCTTGTATATGACAAGGTCTACCATTTTTCATCATCATACTTCTTCCATCACTACCATCATCGCTGCCACTCAAATTATCTAATGGGGGGTCAGTACATGCATATTCAAATACTTACATAAATATAAAAATATTTCACAGAAATATGATCATTTCAAATAAACATTTCATACTTTTCTTCATTTCAAAATTGAGGCATAGCTATATACTTTATTGAGGTAACCTGTGCACAGTTCCGGATTTAAGCCCTCCGAAAATTGAGACACTTTAACTTTAAGGCTTTCCAGCCCATCAGTTACTTTGGGGTTTGGGCTTTCCAGCTTTTTCACCCCTTTTTCATTCGCATTACGATTTGGGCTTTCTAACTTTTTCATCCACTTTTGCATTTTACTTAAGATTTAGGCTTTCCAGATTTTTCATCCACTTTTACATTCATTTTTTTGATCACTACCACAATATCGTACGTGCATAAGTCTCAATCTTAAATTATAAATCATAGAACATTTATCACATTCCGTGCCTATAAAGAAAACATGTAGTTCACATAAGCATTTAAACAAGCATGTACTTCATGCGAGGGAATGCACCTTAACTTAAGCAGCTTCCATCCCTTCGGACCAATTATGATTCTTTCCTTCACCTAACGTCATACATACGTCTCGTTTAATATATAATTCCAAAATTTATTTACTACCTATCCTATATTAATCTTAAATAATTTTCTACACATTTTACTAAATAGATTCATCCTTTATTATTTAATGTGACTAGTCGACTTTCCAAAATAAATTGTAATGCTCTGAAATTCATAAAATTGATTCTCTGCATACTAATCATGTTATAAGAGTAAATATTAATATTTCTCTAATTTTACTAACCCTATGATTAATAAAAATTATCTAAACCTACTATTACATAAAATTAAGTTAATAGTAACTAGTAACTTACACAATTCATTATTAAAATTGTACATATCTATAAATTACTAAATGTTAATAGTAAATTAAAAACGTTATATATTTTATGAAATAAAACAATATTCTTAGACTTCTAACTAATATTTAAGGAATAAAAATTAAATAACGTATATAAAGAAAAGACTAGAAATTACCTCTTTAGACGAATATTTTTGGACTAGAAGAGATCCCAAATGAATGTGGATTCTCTTAAAGGTATTTGGGCCTTTTAATTAAATCCTTGGCCATGGCTTCCTCCTTAAGTGAAGTCTAATACCTTTTTATTACTTTTATGTGATTAAACTCTAAAGGGAGCCTCTTATTTATAGTGTGAGACTAGCTCTCCCTTTTAAGCGTCTGGCGATGTGGGACAAGAGAGTTCTACAATAATCCATCACCAAAAATCTGGTGGGTTCATTTTTGAGAGTTTTAAATTATTTGTCTCATCTAGTAATTTTATTTTATCTTACATTTTCTTCATAGTTCTCAAATTACACCCATTTTTTATTCCGTAATTATTAACTAGCCCCCTACTTTTTTATCCACTTTAAATTCAACCCAATACTTTGAAATCTCCCCTAAAATTGTATTATCTGACCAAAAATATCCATATATAACACTTCTCAAACTCTGGTTTATTTTAAAAGTTTGTCTAATCCTCATAGTTAATTTTAGATTCAGTAAAAGGAATTCAACGTACTAAATGATAACTCCCTTACAGTTTCTCTTTTAAATTATTTGATAAAATTATTTTCGAAATTCTTCCGGGCATTACAGGTTGACCAAAGTTCCATCTTGTTCTCCAATTTCCACCATAATTTCGCGGAAAAGGCTTCAATTATATCTCTGAACTTCCTCAACCCTAAACCATTCTCAATCGTACGAAAGGTGAGTTTATTCCATGATTGCCAATGTCTTCTATGCCCATCTTCTATATCATCCCAAAGAAACCGCTGACGAACATTCTACAATTTTTCAGATATTGGGCTCAACCCAATACTTCTAAATGGGCCTAAGTCAACCAAAATTATTGGGCCAAATTACTTACTTTGATTCAATAATATTTTAGTTGTGTAGACACAATAAATCAAAACCATATTTCTTGAAATAAAATCACAGACTAAAAGTAAAAACAAAAAGCTGGAATTGAAGTCGAGAATTCGCGCAATAACTATGGGTATTTTGTACTATAGTTAGAATAACATAGCTCTGTAGAATAGGGGCAGTGTGTCATGAATTGGGGATTTAATTACCTCAATTCTTTAGTTAAGGGGTGTAAATATAGTTTCTGAAAGATGGTAGGATATAAATAGTGTTTAAGGGTTAGAAAAAGATTATCGAAAATTTTAGAATTGAACTGGAATTTCCAATTTCATCTTCCTTCTCCGACTTCTCTTTCCCGTAACCCTAATTTCCTTCAATCCTTAGTCTATTTCTCCGATTCTCTTTTTCGGCCACCCCTCCGGGGCCCCGGGTCGTGACTATTGGTATCAGAGTGGTCCTTCCTCAGCCTTCGCTATATCATTTTCACTGATTCGTTCATTCCTTTTCTTTCCCTTCTACTCTCGAATCCTCCGAACTCTGAAATCTCCTATCTTCCTCCTCTTTGTCTGAAATCTGTGTGATTTCTTCATTTCCCAGTATTGCACCAAACCCTTATCCATTCGCCTCTGTTTTGCATGGAATTCATGATTCCAGAATTTTCTAGGGTCGAAACTTATTTAAATCTTCCACCCTCCGAAATCCTTCCACCAGATCCGACGCCATACAGTCTTCTGAAGCCATCGTTGACCGGAATCCCCATATTCGCCGGTGAATATGTCACCAAATGGTTAGAAGTGATGGAGCAATTTTTCTATTACATTTTCATACCTTCAAAGATGAGATTATTCACGGCAAATTTCTACTTAGCCGGAGAACCCTTACGGTTCCTTTATGGCTTGCTCTCTGCTTCCCTACTGTCTACTTGGGACGAGTTCGCCGAAAAATTGAAGCTTAGGTTTGGGAATTGCATTCGGCCAACCCTAAAGATTAATGTCTGGGAGGCTTCAGAGGAGGATGCGCCAGCCACAGAGCTTGAAGACTTTTCAGTCGTGAAAGAAGACCGATCACCAGTGGAGGAAATTTCTGGACACAATGTGGATGATGAATCGTCGGAATCCTTGGCAACAAGTATCTCTGAAGCTTTGAACCCTGAATCGGAAGGTAAACCTTCAAATTTTCATGATATTTTGGATGTTGCAATTGAAAGTTGCTATGAAGAGATTATTTCTTGTGAAAAATGATTCTGTAAAATCAGGTGTTAAGCGTGATGATTATGATCCTGATGAGTTACTGTCGGTAGATGTATCGTTACTGTCGGGTGTTAAGTGTTACTCGTGTGATTGCTATTGGAAATGAATTTACTGATGTGGGGAAGTTTGGATTACTAGTAAATGGTTTTAAAGGAGGAAAAATATTCTTTGATTGGGATGGTAACTCCTCGTATGAAACTGAGCTAAGTGTTGATGATACTTTAATTTTGGATGAAAAGATTACCGCCTGTAAAGAAATGGTTCCTAAGGTGGTTAACTGTGCAAAATTAAATGATAAAATGGAGAACATTGTTGATGAGTTAGTATTTTACTGTGTTGAGATTGTTCCAAATGAGAATTTAAACGTTACTGGTGTGGTTTTAAATGATTTGAATGGCCTTTATATGGATGCAGAGGAAATTTCTATTGATGTTGGAATGGGAATATGTCTAAACCCTTCCATAAACAAAAGACTTGGCTTGAGTTTATTTGCCATTGAACCGGGTGGATTAGTACATCACTCGAGTGCTAAGAGTTCATTTGAGGTTGGATTTAGAGATTGTGTGACTTTGATTAATACCATGAGAATGTTTAACAAAAAAATGGTTATGTTAATTTTAGTAGCAAAGCAGGGGTGTTCTAACTAATTGGACTCCAGATTATGGGAAGGAGGATAAATTTGTTGAGCTCAACAGTAAGAGGGATAGTGAAGTTAAAACTGAAAATGAGTATATGTACATGTTGAGTTTTGAGTGGGACTTATTATCCGAGACTTCTTACTATTGATCATGGTGGAAAGGATCCACATCATTTACGTAGTAGTACTCTGAAGTATGATTTGATAAATATTTTGAAAAAAGATGAACATATTGGAATTATTGAAAGCAATTATGTTGTGAAATGGCCTGATAAGGTGGGGAATCCCTTGGCTAGTGGTGATTCTTTGGTTTCGAATGACATGTTTACTGAATCTGTGGAGTATAAAGCCATCAACATGAATTCTGAATATGTGATCGTTGAAGCTGATTCGATTGGAAATGATGAGATTAGTTTTACTCAAATGTGCTATACTATTGTTAACGATTATATAAATGAAGTTGTAGCTGAAATTAATGACGACGTTGGAATCCTTGATAGGATGGTTGACTCCTTGTTGGTTTATAATGAAGAAACATAAGGTAATCAAGTGACTAGTGTTGATATTGGGGTTAAATGGCAATGCATGTGTGAATATCTCATGATTGCCAGTGATTTGTTGTCAAATGGTATGTTTAATTCGGTTATCAGTTTTGTATTAGGAGCCAACCCACCAATTAAAATCATGGAGAGGTATTACAAACAATTGTGGAAGCATCTGGGGGTGGAAAAGGTGCTCCTTCTTCCTACTGGTATGTATCTTATTCGATTTGCTTCTATAGATGATGGGGATGAAACTTTAAACATATGGGGGTAAACCCGGTTGTTTTGAAGCCCTGGGATGTGGAAAAAGATGTTAATTACAAAGATATCAAACATGTGCATGTGTGGTTGCAATTTTCCGGCCTTGAATTGAAATTTTGGAATCCTAGTACGTTGGGTAGAATTGGAAGCACTTTGGGTACTCCTATAGCAGCTGATGAACCTACTATGTATAAGGAGAGAGTGGCTTATGCGAAGGTACTGGTGGATGTTGAAATACAGGATCTGCCACCTCTGACAGCACATTTCATTGATGACGTGGGTGTGGTTAGGGAGCAAGCGGTGTATTACGAATGGCGGCCTACGAAATGTAGTCACTGTTCTAATTATGATCATGGTGGAGGATTGCAAGAAAAAGCAACAAGCAAAAAAGGCAAAACAGGTGGTCCATGAAATGACTCGTAATAAGGAGAATGAGAGGTCTGAATGGAGGATTGTTGCAAGGGGGAAGCAAGTGATGAAACCTATTACTGTTATGGAGCAGCCTTTGGAAACAGGAAGACAGGAAGATCACAGTAAGACAGAAGAACAGCCAAAAACCCCAGTTGCAGTTGTTAGCAATGGGTTTGCAATGTTGGATCAATTGAAAGATAAGAGGGGTCAGAACTTAATGAAGGAAACAGTAGTGGATCAACAAGGGAATCAGCAAGCAGCAGTGGAAGTAGTTAAGGGGACAATCAAGCAAATTGACCCTGGTATCCATGTATAAGCTCCTACACTGGAATATAAGGGGTTTGAACAGTCCCCTGAAACAAAAGGAGGTTAGTAGAATCTGTTCAAAATTTAATGCTTGTTTTATTTGTTTAGTAGAATCAAACTTGTTACGGAAAAGGCATTGGAGTTAAAAAATAAGTTTTGGCCTGGTTATGGAATATATTCAAATGCACTTGGGTAACCAAACGGTAGAATTTGCTTAATTTGGGATCTTAGTATAGTGGAGATCAATATTTTGAGCACCTCCCAACAATTTGTGCACTGTTTAATTAAGAGAAAGCTAGATGGTAAATGTATATATATTATGGCACTCTATGGATCTAACTAGCCTGATGAAAGGGATGAACTATGGAACAGTTGATTGCCATATCTGGAAATATACAGGGACAATGGATTGCAGTAGGGGACTATAACAATGTGCTACATACGGAAGAAAGGATGGGTGGGAACAGAGTAACAGTTAAGGAGACACAAGGGTTCCAACGGTGTGTCCATGAGTGTGAACTGCAGGACCTTAAACAACAAGGTCAGAGGTTCACTTGGACTAACAAGCAAGTTGGAGCTGATAGAATATGGTCCAAAATAGATCGTGTATTGGTCAATGGTGAGTGGATTCTGAGTTACCCTAATTCACTAGCTACAGTTGTGAATGAAGGTATCTCAGACCACTGTCCAATTATCGTTCAGTTAGAAGGGGAGATGATGAAAAAAACTAAGCCTTTTAATTTTTTTAATATATGATGTCAGGCGGAAAGTTTTGTTGAGATTGTAAAAGGTAGTTAGACACAGGAGATTCAAGGAACGGAAATGTTTCAAGTAGCTAAGAAACTCAAAAGACTCAAGCTAGTTCTCAAAAAGCTGAAAAAAGAAAAGTTTGTTGAGATTCAAATACAACAAAAGCACTAGGAAGAGTAGCTGAAGCAAACGCAAGATAAGTTACATGCTAGCCCCAATGATGTAGACTTACAGAAGCTAGAAAGGGAACATTATTGGCAGTATGTTGAGATCAACAAGGCAGTGGAGAGCTTCCTTCACCAAAAAGCCAAGGAGAACTGGATCAAACTTGGGGACATAAATAGTGCATTTTTTCATGCAAGAATGAAATTTAGGAATACGCATAATCGTATATGTTCAATTGTGAGTGAAAATGGGCAGCTGATAACAGACTGGGGCATTATTATCAAGTACTTTACTGATTTTTTTTCAGAGGCAGTTGGGTCAAAACAGTAGTAGACGAAGACCGAGAAATGAGGTTTTTAGTTGGGGGCAAAAACTTGACTAGGAGAAACAGATGCTACTACTCAAAGCAGTTAAACCACAGGAAGTCAAAGAAGCTATCTGGACCATTCATAATGGAAAAAGTCTAGGACTGGATGGGTTTGGAAGTGGGTTTTTGAAAGGAGCTTGGCTTGTTGTGGGGACTGATGTTACTAAGGCTGTGATGGAGTTTTTTGAGAATGGGCAAATGCTGAAGCAGAAAAACTCCACAACCCTAGTTTTGCTACCAAAAACAAAATCTCCTCAAAATGCTGGTGAATGCAGGCCAATAGCCTGCTGCAATGTGGTATATAAGGTAATTTCTAAATTATTTTGTGATAATTTGAAAATTGTTTTGCCTGATTTAATAGATGCAAACCAAAGTGCATTTGTTCAGGGTAGACTTATATTGCATAGTATACTCCTTACCTAGGAGCTTGTTAGACTGTATGGGAGGAGTAATATTAGTGGGAGATGCATCTTTAAAATAGATATTAAAAAGGCGTATGATTCCTTGGAATGGGATTTCATAGAAGAAATGTTAGATGGTTATAACATCCCTAGATTATTTAGTAATCTGGTCATGGAATGTGTAAGGACCACTACGTATACATTAGAGTTAAATGGCAAAAACTGTGATTTTTTTGAGGGAAGAAGAGGCCTTAGACAGGGAGACCTTTGTCACCACTGTTGTTTGTTATGGCACTGGAATACTTGACCCGTCTGATGAAAGAAGCTGCTATGGATCCAAAGTTCAAGTTCCACCCCCAGTGTAGATGTTTAAAGCTCACAAACATCTGTTTTGCTGACGATTTGATGGTATTTTGCAAGTCTGATAGCTATACTATCAAGAAGGTTATGCAGGTGTTGGAGGCTTTTGCAGATACTACGGGCCTTAGACCTTACTCATCCAAGTCAGCTGTGTACTTTGGAGGAGTTTCAGAAACTACGAAACAAGACATACTCAGCTTATCAGGCTTTGGTGAGGGAAGGTTTCCAATGAAGTATTTGGGTGTTCCCCTATCACCCAGGAAATGGAACCAGAATGAGTGTGAGACACTTGTGCAGAAAATGGTGGCGAGAATTAGATGCTAGAGAACCAGGCATCTAAGCTATGTGGGGAGGCTTCAACTAATAAATTATACTCATGGCCATGAACATATATTGGGTACAGGCTTTCATACTGCCCAAAAGTATTACTCAGTAAATTACCAGAGTGTGTCGTGAGTTTCTATGGGGTATCAAAGAAAATGGGAGGAAAATGCCAGTGGTCAGTTGGAATGTAATCTGTAGATCAAAGAAAGGAGGGATAGGAATCAAGGATGCACAAAGATGGAATGAAGCTGCATTGTTTAAACAGGTTTGGAATTTAGCCTGTAAATCTGATCATCTTTAGGTGAAATGGATGCATGAAGTCTACATAAGGGATGGTGACCTATGGAGCTTATCACAGAAGTAGGACTCCAGTTGACACTGGAAACAGTTGGTAAAGATCAAGGAGAAAATGAAAGCAGCAGCGGTGGATGGAAAATGGACACCCTCAGCTTCTGGAAAATACACTATTAGCTCTGGTTATAGCTAGATAATGGAGAAACTGGCAGATGAGCTGCAGCTAATTTCATATGGTCTAGGTTTAATGTACCTAGACATGCTTTCATTTCTCGGCTCTGTTGAAAGAAACGACTCCTAACTAAGGATAGGCTAAACAAAATGCTGGTGCAAGTTGATCCTACCTATGTATTATGAAGGGTGGATCAACAATTGCTGTGAATGTTATTTACACTGCTGTAAAGCTGAAAGTGACTGCTGAAATTTTCATAGAGAAAGCAACATCAAATTCCTGTGTTTTGTTGAAGTCAAATGCACTTGAAATTATAGCACTAGATCTGCCCGGACTTATGCAGAAGCGGACCAGTCATCTTCTCAGGACCATAACTTGATATTCGTAGCTCCAAATGAAGAGTTCTTGATATCATTGCAAAGCTGAAAGATAGATCTACGACTTTCATGTACAATACGTCTCCAAACTCAAACTATAAAGAAGTTCTTTTTAATTATGCTATTTGTTTGATCAAAATTATTGCTCATCATCACTATTCTTCATAATCATCAGTAATCATCAGAGATTTTTCTATATAACAGAATTATTCCGTCAGATTATTTATAGGGTGCATCCCGCATCGCCCGACGAATGCTCAAGCACTAATATATTACTAATAATGTATACCTAGGGAATAATTAATTGATTCTTCCTTTATTCTAATGAAACGCATTTTTAATAATTTTCTTTTCTTGTTAATCTTGTACGATGAGGCTGTATGCATTCCCAAAACGTTCCCTTTGCCGTTTAAATGAACTGACCATAACCTATATAAAATGCTCAGATTGAAATTCGCGCAGCTTAACGACAACTCGTCGCCGACGTCACATAACTGATGAAACGCCATTTCCCTCCATTTCATGTAATCGCCGCCGCCGGCTCCGCTTCTTCCACCGCCATCAGCTCTTCATCTCCAATAATGTCTTATCGAAACTCGGTGAGCTAGCTTCTCTGCCTTTTCCTTCTTTGGTCTAAAAAGAGCACCGGTTATTGGATTACATTAGTTCCGTGTTTGGAAGTTCATAATCGTGTTAATTGATTACAGTACAGAGGTGGCCGAGGATGGGGACGTGGTCGCCGGAGTTACTCGGACCGTCCAGTGGGTGAAGGTGAAGACCATCCTCATCAGTTCGTCGCCGGCGATTCTCATTTCCGGCAGGTCCATAACGCCAATCAAGGGTTTCGGCCGCCGTATGGGATGAAAAACTTTTCAGACTCCCAATCTTCTACAACTAATAATACTTACCGGCCGAAGAATTACAACCCTAGACCGCAGCCAGCACCGTTTAGGAAACCTTATGGACCTTATCCGCGGCCACCACCATCCCAACATCAGCAACCTTATAGGCAGCCTATGCCGCAAAATGGCGTAAACCAGCATCCTTACAGGCAGCCTCTGCCTCAGTATGGTGCCAACAAGCAGTTTCGACCGGAGTGGCAGCCGCTGCAGCAGCAACAGCAGCGACAACAACAGCAGCAGCAGTTTAAACCAGGCCCCCCAAGAGGCTGGGACTATCGGAAGTGGGAGTTTGCAAAACCGGAGCCGCCTCTTGAATGGGGTACATTCTTGCTCCATCCCCTTTCTTCCATGTCTGAGGTGCTCTTGAAGAGTTTTTAGATGCATTTTGAAGGTTGTCAATAAGTCCAGTTGTTGGAAATTTCCATTTATAGGAGTATATTTTCTCTTCTTGTTGCTTAGCATAATTTTTGAAATGCGTATATGTAGCTATATTTCAATGACATTAGTTTTCTCCATTTCAATCAGATACACTGCACAAGAAATTGATGCGGTTTTTTATTTGGTCAGTATTTATTCCTATCATTTGGAATGTATGCCTTATTGTTAAATCTTCCTTGCCTGAAGGTTAATCCGATGAGAAAGTACATGAGGTTCCCATTCTACTTCTCAAATGTCCTCTGTCCAAATAATTTGATCAGAATCATTTTTAAGTTCTACCTATATGGTGTGTGCTGTGCTTAATTTAGCAGTCTGCAATCTTTGAGTAATCAAGTACACCATAAGTATGTGTGTTGGAACTTATTGACACTGTCTAGTAATGCTTATGGCGCACACCAAACAACCGTCATTCTAACTTTAACATTAAAGTAACTAAGTTCTTGAACAAAAGGCCACTTTTTTTCTTTTTTCTTTTTTGAGTATTTCTGTTTTAAAATGGATTAAAATTAATAATTTCTATATTCATGCCTTCTTAGTTCTTTCTTAGTTCTTTGGGCTCTGTAACATGCTTAGTTCTTTGAACCCTAAGACACGCATTATATTTATTTCTTGCTAGGCTTGATCTTTGTCCTTAGTTGTCATCCAATTCTTATATAATTTATTTCATCTATTAAGTCTTAAATTAGATAAAAATTACTCTTTCAGAGCGATTTACGGTTCTATCTTACAACATACTTGCTGATTACCTGGCTGCGGCTCATCGTCAGCAGCTTTACTTTCACATACCTGGCTACATGATGGACTGGGAGTGGCGTAAGAGAAACATTGCCTTTGAGATTGGGTTGTGGTCAGCTGATATACTTTGTTTGCAGGTAATTCTAAAGCATTCGTTATCATTGGTGATACACTTTCTTAAAGGATATATGATTGGCTTTTAGAAGAGCATAAATCCTCCAAGTGATTCAATCATAGTGCCATAGTTTGATGAGTGAACATTCTACTTGGACTCTCTGGAAGTAAATGTTTTTGGCATTTGAGTCTGCTTGTTTAACATTTTTAATGAAATAAGAGATTTGGCTTGTTACTTGATTTTATTGATGTCCGTTCCATCTTCTTCCTGTAACATGTTTTTTAAAGGACTAAGTTGTGAGTAGTTTATTGGTAAAACTGAATGATCCTGGGAAGTGGATTCCAGATAAAGACATAATCTCTTGAGTTTTGTACTAATTGGGATAAGTAATGGAGTTAGCTGTGCAAATCATTGAACTACTTCTAGTATGAAAAGTATGAAAACTAGTTCTAGCTTACTGTTGTACAGTTCTCTCGAAATACTATAGGAATAACGGTTAACAATTGATTGAATTGATATTTGAGAACTGATTGCGTAGGTTCAAGTGTAGGTTCAAATGATTGTGGTAATTGTTTGACTGAAACACACAGTAAGGTTTTTTTTATAGGTCTGGAAATGGGGGTTATCTGAGGATTTATGGCTTCCTTGAGATGACTCAATGCCTCTTTTTTTTTTTTTTTTAAACAAAACATCATTCAATATGCTAAAATTTCATGCAAAAGTTGAGTTGGATGGGCAATTTGGTTTCGTCATGTATAAATCTGGTATTTAGCATACCCTACTGTGAGTTATCTTTTCAGAGGCTGGATGGTTAAAGTAGCCTTCTTCTTTGTCAAATAGACTTGATTGTGTTAAATATCCTGAATTGTGTTACAGTTACTAGACATTTTTTTCTACTATCTTGTTTCTTGTTAACCTCATAAGAATTGTAATTGTCAAATTAATGACTATTAGAGGATTGAATGTGTCATTCAAGAGACATGTTGATATTTATTATTTATCTCTGGAAACTAAAACTCTTGTTACCTTTTCTTTTCAAGGAGAGGTCTTACTCCATTCCAAGCTTCATTTATCCTCTAAATGAATGCTGAATATTCTCTCTTTCATTGATTTTTTTACTCCTTTACCTTGTCTTTTTACTAATGCTTGTGACTGCTTGTGGAGAAATTCTGCTATTTGGCGCAAATGCTTCTTCACTGCAAATGTTTGCACGTGACTCTGTTCTTCTGACATTTTCAGTGACGCAAACCTCATTCCTTATGTTAGAACTCTTATTTCTCCATTTTGTAATGTCAGGAGGTCGACAGATTCCAAGATTTGAAGGAAGAATTGGGCCTTCGTGGATATAGTGGCATTTGGAAGGTGATTATTAGAAGTTTCTTTAGTACATGCTTGTTATCTTTGTTACTTGTCTTTAACATCAAATTTGGACATTTACACTGTGCTTTGTGCTCATGCATTCCCCAGACTGATGCATCAAATAATAAAAGAGGCTCCTTTTTGTAGTACTTTTTTTGCTTTTGCATGTTGAAGATATAGTGCCTATTGCCTTGTTAGAGATTGAATGGTGCTCAATTAAGTCGGTTTCCTATATTTCATATTATTGTAGAATAGCAGTAGATCTTTTTTAGTATTCAGACTGAAAAACTGAGGCATATAATCATTCCGATCCTTGAACTATTTTCTCCATGTAAATTAAGTATTGAACCAATATCATCTTAGTTCCCAGGGCATCTGACAGAGTGCCTATTGATTATCAAATCTATGCGTAGCCTATAATGATTCAGACTGATGGTGATTAATGTTGGTAATAATTAACTGAAGCATATCCAGATTCAACCTTGAATTATCAAAAACTGACTTTATCAGAGTATCTGTTCATCCATTTTATGATAAGTGTACTCTTCCTATCAAAGTACCTTCTCGTTGCTGATAATTGATTCTAAGGATTTCCAAATAGATTGGTGTAGCATCTTGCTGTTTTAGTTTTGAAAAAATTGTTAAGAAAACAACTCTGCGTTCAAACATTTCAAGTTGCTAAGAAACAACTAATTGTTCTAAAATTTCATGTGAAGGGTTTTTTCTGTTTTTGCAGTTCTGATTGGATTGGACAAAAGCCTCTTTTGGAATAGCTTTTCACAGTCAAATTCGTAACTTGCCTTATTGAAAGAAAAGACTAACTGTGGTATGTGAATAGTGCTATAGGAACACCAAGAAAATGAGTATATCTTAGCATGCGACTATTGGTGAGAGGTCCTTAGCTTAGATGTTCTTGGTTCTTCCCAGGAATTTTTGTTTTACATGCATTTCAGTCTTCAGACAAAGAGAAGCCTTGGAATAGGTGTGGGACAGTTGCCATGTGACCATCATGGGTTGGAATGACGGAAACTCCTTCTTAGAAAATAAGGTTAGACCATGTATATTAAGTCTGAATAGCCCAGCCATCCCTTGGAGCCTGCATATGCGGGAATAGACCAAAACACCCTTTATGCATTTTAGATGTTCTATTTGCATTCAGTGGATTTCCTCGATGTTAAACTGCCATTTTCTCTTTCAGTTGTTTTGGATCATCTAATTGGTCGTATGCAAACTTAAAGTTGCCCTGGATTCCATGTTTGTGGTGGCTGAAGTCTAGAGGATTATGCATAATATGTCCCATTACAGCACAGCTGATTTGACATTGAGCAGATGAGGGTCATGCGTAGTTTAACCTTTCCATTGACTTCTAGTTGTCAATTTTTCTTATTGCTTTAACATTGTTTTGTGCATTTTCTATTATTTACCTGTCAGAAGGAACACATGCCATTTTGTTTGAAAACACAATTGTAATAGTGGTCAACTCGTATGCTGTTTTTTTTTTAGATGCGAACTGGTGATCCTATTGATGGTTGTGCAATTTTCTGGCGGGACTCAAGGTAATATTCTTTACCTCTTATCTACTTATTTTCAAATGTTTAACCTCGCTAGACTGAGTCAATGAGGGGTTTCAGATACTATCTGCTTTGACATCAATAAATCTCTGCCTCTACCATCTAAAATATTTCCAGCTTCCTCGAGATATACCTCTTTCAGGTGTCTACACCTATTATGCATCTGGGTTGCGCGATATAGCTGGATTTTGTTGTCACATATATTATTATGACTTCATCAAAGTTTCTCACCCTCTAAAAGGTGCTTCAACTTGACATGTCAGATTCAAGTTGCTGCATGAAGAATCCATAGAATTCAACAGGCTTGGTCTTCGAGATAATGTTGCACAGATATGCGTCCTTGAGGTATGTGAGCTTCTGAGATGCTAAGTTGGGACCACAGACGTACATGAATATGAAGTTTTTTTTCAGTCGCTGATTAACTTTATTGGTCCTTTTGAGCAGTCTTTGTATCTATGCAATGATAGTGATGCAGCAGTTTCTGCACCAAGGTATGCTTATATTTTTCTCAAATCTGTTATCCTTGGTGTAAGATTTTTCTGATAGAACTCAAATGTTCAGATTCTTTCACTTGAGCTTTGTTGGGTTTTCTGCTTGCTAAGCTTTTCTCCTTTGTTGTCTTCCATGGCTATGTATTCCATCAGGAGTTTGATTGGTTTTCTTTAACTGCTGTTTCTGTGTTTTCCCATTATATTTGATGAACCTCATCATTCTTTTTTGCAGCCTAAAAAGAGGAAAGCGAGTTGTGGTTTGCAACATTCATGTGCTTTTTAACCCTAAAAGGGGGGATATTAAGCTTGGTCAGGTGATCTTCAGTCTTCTGTCCTTGGGATTCTCATGTATTTTATACTTTCAGGTCTTCAATAAATGTCCTATATTTTGCTCCTTTTTTAATTTGCTTGGCAATCTTCTAATTAGACATGGTGCATGTTATATCGACTCCGAAGAAGAACATGAACACTTTTAATCTTTGGCTTCCTAAATGGATATTGTAATACATTATGGATATTGTAATCATGTTGAAGGCCAGCTTTACGTGGTGTTTTACAGAATCTAGTTTGATTTAACTCTGTTTAAGTTATGGATGGTTTTCTTTTTTCTAGCAACTATTTCTCAATTTTGATTTGTTTGCCTTAGGTCATTATACTTCTAAGAGAACTTGATGCGAATCCATACTCAGACATAAATCTCCTTCAATTAGCTTGAAAAGAATGAGGGTCTGAAATAAATTACTATCTACTGATAAAACCTATGTTGTGTATGCAAATGCTGTTTAATGCTGTTTAAAGTACTCTAAAATTCAGAATCAACCTAAATTTCATGATTTCTTACATTTTTTTTCCTGTTAATTAATGCCTAAGCAGGTAAGGGTGCTTCTGAGTCGCGCTCATAGCGTCGCGAAGCTTTGGGATGATGCTCCTGTTGTTGTTTGTGGGGATTTTAACAGCACTCCAAAGGTGTGATAGATCTCACTTCCTACTTGGGGTTTCAAGTATTTTTGACAGTGAAATGATCTCACTAAGCCTGTACCCAGAAGTTTCGCTTTCTGTCTTGGGCATTTAATGACTCTCTCTTTATTGCTTGCTTTTTCAACAGAGTCCATTGTACAGCTTCATTACCGAACAAAAGGTAGATTGCATATCCTTTGTATTATTTATTCAGTATCAGTGTTTGCGACTTCCTATGCTTCCATTCTTTAGTTCTCTGTTCTGCACTCTTTCCTTTTGACTTCCTGTGATATTCGGAGAGTCAGAATGGCTAATTCTTTCTGTTGTTTCTGCAGCTAGATCTCTCAGAACTGCCTCGAAATCAGGTTTCTGGACAAACTCCAGCAGAAACTCGTCCATGGAAGCCATCTAATCCTCATCCTGGGTATGAATGAGGGGTACTTCATTAAGTTTTGATCTTTATAACTCATATGTTTTTTGTGAGATTGAACTACCTTAATCTCTTAGGTCTTTGTCCGCCGAAAATTCTTCTCAAGTTTCACCCACAGCAATCCATGAATTAGGGACAGAGAACAGTGAGTCTGTATCTGTACAGAAGCAAGATTCTGCTATTGATAGTTCCGGAAATAAAACTTCTGGGGATGCTACCATATCGATTTCTTTTTCGCATGTGTTGAGAGAAGGTGTGAAATCCATGAACTTAGGAAGTGAAGAACTTGATAAACAACTAAGAGAAAATGATACTGAAATTGTAGGAGGATGCAACTTTGAAAATGAATCCACAATAACTGCATCTTGTAACGACTTGGAGGACACTCCTGTTGCATTGCAAGATGTAGCTGCATCCTCGGGCAGTCTTTTTATGGATGGAAATCACGATTCCCGTTTGTTGGATGTAAAGACGGAGAGCTGCTCTTCGAAAGAGATCCTTGAAGGCAGAAATGGTAATGACAAACCTAGTTTTCGGCCTGAGGAGGTCGAGTCAATTGAAGAATGTGCTAGCTTAGAGGGCCAAGCGGTCTGTCCTCCTGAAAGTGAGATGCTGAATGACATTCCTGATGTAGATCCTGACAATCTAGTTGTCGATCAGTATAAATATGATTCATCAGCTTGGACTCCAGCGGAAATAGAAGCTGCGACCGGTAGTTCATGTTGCATGATAGCGGAACACCCTTTGAAGTTACATAGCGCATATGGAGAAGTTCAGGTATATTTATGACGATGGCCTTATTTACTTTCATGCTTATTCATGCTGATTTCTACTTTTAATGATGATAAGGAACAGTTTTCTGTAGAGTATTACCAAAATTTTAGGTCTGATCTTGCAGGATTGTTATGGAACAAGAGATTCAACTGGAGAACCTTCTGTAACCAGCTACCATAAACGTTTCTTTGGCACTGTGGATTACATATGGTGAGCATCTTCTGTTTTCTTCATGTCAGCTAACATCTAGTCAGAGAAAACTGATATGAAAGTCGTCTTTCAGGACCTTTTGAGGACTTGAATAATTTAAGGGAACAACCCCTACTTTCGTCTACATTTTTGGGACTTATGGGTTTACTTTTCTTTGTTTTTTAAACCCTTGGGAGATTGTTAGCTTAATTTTCTTCTGTAGAAGGATTTTTTTTAAGAAAATCCTTTTCGTGAGTTTTGTCACCCATCCTTCATCCTTGTGATGTCATGGATTGCATGGTCTAGTCAATCTTCCTCTTTCTCATCCCTCGAAGCAAAATTGTCACTTTTGACATTCTGTGTTTTACTTTCATCCGCATTGTTTGTTACTATTTGGAGTTCTAGTTCACTGTGGTCTGACTGATGCAATGTTATGGAATGTATGTGATCCGCAGGCGATCTGAAGGCCTTCAAACTTCCAGGGTACTTGCTACTCTTCCAAAGCATGCCATGATGTGGACGCAAGGCTTTCCAACAAAGGTACAATTCTGAAAAGAAAATCCTTCTCACCATTTACTTAGCAGATAGAAATTTTCATTACTTTTTTTTCTTCCTTATATAGCTTCAAGATTATCTGAACATTGTTGAAAACAATAGATTTGGAATGACATATCGCGCACTATGTGTTGTTAAGAGGGCTGATTAATGGACAAAGTATGGGTTAAATGAAAATGATGTTAGGCAAACCAACCTGTTGCGCTGTCAAGGCTGCTTATTAAATTCTTCATAACCAATGCTCTAGTATATGTATATATATTTCTGAGCATCTTGCTGATTGATTGGGTGTGGTTTTCAGAAGTGGGGAAGTGACCATATTGCGTTGGTTTCTGAACTGGCATTTAGAGACAATATTTCCTGCCCAACTAGTGAAGTAAAGTTGGAGGATGGTTCATAACGTTTGATAATTCAGCAAGTGCACCTTCTGTACTCTATTTTTTTTTTTTTCGGTATTCCTTTGTTTTTAATTCAGCACTTTGTGAACTAAATCTTTTTCATTCGTTTAGTTCAATTTTTCGTTGCTTTAGCTTGATGTTCGAGTTCATACGAAGTTTTGTTAAAGGTCATGAACTTGGTAGAAAATGTGGTTTATTTTAAAAGAACTTCCATTCGGGAAACTGCTTGCTGTTTTTGTTTTTTTTTTTTTGGGGGATGTGAGGGTGCGATTGCAAGTAGTTATTTTAAAACAGCTGAAAATTCATTAATTAAATGTTTGTAGAAACAACAGATAAAAAAAATATTCATCGCGGTAGAACAAATCACTTTGTTCAATCATAAAGTTATCATTCTGCACAAAGAGAATGAACGAAAAGTAACAACTGATACTCCATCGTCAGAATTAATTGTCCAGTTTGTGTTATCACTTTTAATATAAAATTATACTGGACATGAAAATTTAAGTCGAATAATAATTTTACTACTAAATGAGTAGACATATTTGTAGACGATAATTGACGTAGACTAATCTTGAATAGGACGTTTTTGAAAAATTGAATTTCAACATTTCTCAAGTAGAAAAATAACAATAACATTGTACTCTAACTTCAAATACAAATAAAAATTGATCCAAGATTTATTTGATTTTAATATTATACTTTTTCCATCTCACAAAAATAAGCTACTTGATAGTGTGTAAACAATGCAAATATACAAAAGAAGAGTATTTTGTTTGAAGGGGAAGAGTATCATGTACGCTCGTACCAAATCATGATTGAGCGGACGACAAGAGTGGCGAGCAGGTCGTCCAAACATTACATCATGTTTTAATGTGGGCAGACGTAAATTATTTTTAATTTCTTGCAGGAACATTACTATTCATCATGGACTCACGGATTCTTGGGTGGGTCCAACAAAAATATTCAGCTCCAACGTAAAAAGAGCTTTAACGCAAATTAGACTGACATTGTCGCCACATGCACTCAGGGACTCAGGAGAGAATCAATCAATCCTGAAAAGTTAGGCAAAAAAAGGAAAAATAAGACAGAATTCCCATTTCAAATCCAATTCCTCTCTGCCCTGCTCTGCATTTCAGTTTCCCCCTTCTCCAGTACATTGGTTTCTCCGGCTTCCCTCTTCTGCATTGGAAGTAACGGAGGTAAAGTCTCTGAATCTAATCCTTGTATAGTGTTCAAAAATTTGAACTTTTCGGTAATTCATTTCGTGGATGTTGGCTTTTTCGTGGTCGGATTTCGCCCCTTTGTTCTGTTTTTGTTGAATGACAATCTATTGTTTCGTATTTTCATACCGCTGATCCTGTTGGGGTTTGAAATTGCAGGGCTTTTCTGGGGTTTTACTGGATTTTCATTTTGCTGCATTTCCCGGTTTCTCGTTGAGGTACTTTGAGAAAAAGTTTTGATTTTTGAGCCCAGATACCCCTAGATCAAGAGGGTCTTGGTTGACCCTTTTCTGTTTAGTATTTACTCGGAATGTTTGAGTGGTCAACACATCAGAGGTCTTTAACTTCTATGATTGATCACATTGTCTGCTTATTCTAGAGAATTGAATTTCCGACCTACGCAGAATTCGATTTGCTAAGTTGGTTAAGTATGAGTGAACCGAAACCAAATAGTACCCCTTTGATTACGCCTGCGACTTCTCGAAAGCTTCCTGATTTTAAACAATCTGTTAAGCTGAAATATGTGAAGCTTGGGTACCATTATCTCACCACCCATGGAATGTTCTTGTTTTTATCTCCTCTAGTTGTGGTTGTAGCAGCTCAGCTGTCTACATTGTCGCTCCCGGACCTGTATGCTCTTTGGGAGCATCTCAAGTTCAATCTCATTTCTGTTATTGTCTGTTCAACTCTCTTGGTGTTCCTCTCAACTGTCTATTTCCTTACCCGCCCTCGTGGTGTTTATCTTGTCAACTTCTCGTGCTATAAGCCTGAGGATGCTCGGAAATGTACTAGACAGATGTTCATGGAAAGGTCTCAGATGACAGGCACATTTACACAGGAAAATCTTGAGTTCCAAAGGAAAATTCTAGAGAGGTCAGGTCTAGGAGAGTCAACTTATCTCCCTGAGGCTGTCTTGAGAGTTCCCCCAAATCCGTGTATGGCGGAAGCTCGAAAAGAGGCTGAAACAGTTATGTTTGGTGCGATTGATCAACTTCTTGCTAAAACTTCTTTGAATCCCAAAGACATTGGTATCCTAATTGTGAATTGTAGTTTGTTTAATCCGACTCCATCTTTGTCTGCAATGGTTGTTAACCACTACAAGCTTAGAGGGAACATAATTAGTTATAATCTAGGTGGCATGGGGTGTAGCGCTGGTTTAATCTCAATTGATCTTGCTAAAGATCTTCTTCAAGTCCACCCCAACACTTATGCTCTTGTCATCAGCATGGAGAACATTACTTTGAATTGGTATTTTGGAAATGAAAGATCGATGCTTGTCTCAAACTGCTTATTCCGAATGGGAGGTGCTGCAATTTTGCTTTCCAATAAAAGATCTGATCGAAGAAGATCAAAGTATCAATTGGTGCATACTGTCAGAACCCACAAAGGTTCTGATGATAAATGCTTTTCCTGTGTTACCCAAATGGAGGATCCCAATGGGAAAATTGGCGTTTCCTTGTCCAAGGATTTGATGGCTGTAGCTGGTGATGCTCTGAAAACCAACATAACGACTTTGGGTCCTCTGGTGCTGCCCATGTCTGAACAGTTGCTCTTCTTTGCCACACTGGTTGGGAAAAAGTTTCTGAAGATGAAGATAAAACCTTATATCCCTGATTTTAGGTTGGCTTTCGAGCATTTCTGCATTCATGCTGGTGGAAGAGCTGTACTAGATGAACTAGAGAAGAATCTCCAGCTATCAGATTGGCACATGGAGCCCTCCAGGATGACACTCTACCGATTTGGCAATACCTCAAGTAGCTCCCTTTGGTATGAGCTTTCATACTCAGAAGCCAAGGGGAGAATTAAGAAGGGAGACAGAACATGGCAGATTGCATTTGGCTCTGGCTTCAAGTGTAATAGTGCAGTTTGGAAGGCTTTAAGGACCATCAACCCTGCTAAGGAGCAGAACCCTTGGATGGATGAGATCAATATGTTTCCAGTGGAAGTTCCAAAGATTGCATCACTTAAATGAAGGGACCATTCCATTACCTATCAACTGTTAGCTGAGCATGTGAAATTTTTCTTAGTGACAAACGCATGATTTTGTGGGGTGAAAATGTTGCTGCATAGAATTGATTTAGATTATCTTGACTTGTTTGCCTTGATTTCCCTTTTGGTGCTGTAGGATGGTCGTCATGATTTGTGAGAAGCCACTGTACTTTGTAGCTTAGATGGAGATCGTCTAATTTTAGTTCAAGAGTTGAATAACATTTGCGAGTTTTAGCTTTTGCTCAACTATGCTAGTACCAGTTTTGGCTCAAGGGTCCAGTGCATCTACAGTTTAGTTTACTTAATTCCTTCTAAAAGAGAGAGATTGATGGTGCCTCTCTTAGTTTCATGTCAGTTTCCTTCTGTTGTCGAGCAAGATTATTCTGCTGATGGACTATGCATATAGACATGTGTCGTACATACCAGTTGTTTCTTAACTAAAATACCTTAGGAGGGAAACGGCTCGTATGGAATGAAATCTTTTCCTTAGGTTGTGTTGGTATCTGGTCATTGAAGTATTTTTCTTTCCAGTTGTTTCTGAAAACACGTCTACGCACATTTGTTGATCCTTTATATTTCTAGAATTGGTGATGTCTAGGGTAGCAACACTTGTTTGTGAGGGCATGGATTTCGGCATAGATCTTCTATGGTAATAGTTAAGGATGAATAAACTGAAGAATTCATTTCCTTCTCACATTTTCATGGATCTTTTGAGGCAACAAGATTGAGTTAGCGCGCTGCAGCGGAGGGCTGTTCAAGACCAACTACTTGAACCTCAAAAAGCCAGGTGTTGAGGATGAAAGTGCAGAACTTATATCCTATTTTCAATTCTCTCATGTATTATGATGGGATGAAGAGACGAATAACATATTACAAATTCCAATCGTGAGACTGATTTAAATATCTTCTTCGTGTGGATTACTTTTACTAAAATAATTTACTCCATCGCTAATTGACAAGTTTTTATTTTTATTTTTTTTTTCTTTTCCTGTTCTCTGTTATCTACTTGATACGATAATCCACTGAAACCATAAACGAAAGTCAGCTCCTATATATTCTTTCCAATGGATATCAAAAAGCAAATTAAAAGCCAGCAAATGCAAAAACAAGCGTTCGTCATTATTTCTCAAAAATTTGTTTGCCCATTAATAAATGCATAAATTACCTGACAGTCAGCTTCAACTAAATCATTTTTTTTATTAAAAAAAAAAAAAGAAGAAGAAAATACAGGATCCTCCGTCTGGTGTTAAAAATTTGCGTGATGTTGTAGGATTGACTCATCCCGCACCTCTTTAGCAGATTATTTTTAATTTAGATTTGGCCAAAGAAATAGTTTTCAATCTCTGTGGTTTAAATTGAAGCGGCAAAGTTTTGTTTGTGTGGCTTCTTTTCCATGGGAAAGCAAGGGTTTGTTTGTATTGGTCAGGAGATGAAGTGCTCAATTTCTCCCGCTATCCCGACTACAACGAACGTCACAATCATTTTGAAATAGAAAAATTATTTGGATAAAGATTTATTTCAGTGCGAATGACGCACCCGAAGACACTAGTGTAAAATTGTGTTGCATACATTTAAAAATAAGATATTCATAGTCAGATTCGGATACTAAATGCATAACATATTTTCAAAAATTAGAACATATATAACCAGATTGGTATTTAGTGCATAAATTGATGTGTACTTAAAGTAATCGTATGATTAGACTTACATTTGATTTGAAAGTCTTTCTCTCTCTCCCTCTTTTAATTTTCTATTTTTTTAATTGGGGTTTGACGATGTATTATGTTTATACTAGAATTTTGTCACATACCAGATCTCTACACCTACCCAACTTTCGTGATTCTGTTACTTTTTTAAAATTAATTAAATAGAATCAACGGTAATTAGTATTTTTAGTATAATTTGGACATGGGATCAATATGGTTATCCCATTTCCATTTTGTAACTTCAGCGAAGCTGGCTATGATCGATCTCATTTACTGGAAAGAATTCAAGGTTTAGAAAACATAAATTGCTTATTATTATTGCTTTCCCCGTATGTAGTCCAAGATTTATTTATTATAAGTATAAGAAACCAGTGTACAGTTTTTTTTTTTTTTTCCTTCCAAAATTTAATAATCAAACTCTCTTTAGTTTAATTTATTCTTTTTATTCTTTTATATATTGTTTGATATGTATTTCTCTTGGCATCCGTGAATGTGTGGAGGAAAAAAAAAAAATCAACACTGGCAAAATGCAAAATCAGATAAAGGCACGACAAGTTTAATTAGCCCATAAATATTATTACTATTTTTTTTTCTTTTTCCTCTTTGTGAAAAATGCTGGAAGACAAATGGATAACAAGATCAGCTCCTATATTCTGTCCGACGTATTACAAAATGCAGACTTCAAACCCTGCAATGAACAAAATGAGTTTCATCAACAAAATTTTTCGAAACCACTATTCCCATTAAACATATACTGATATACTACACATTGTCTCCGTTTCAAAATAGAATTCATGTTTATTGAAAAAAAAAAAACGACTCTTACTCTTTAGGGATGTAGACGTTAAGTTGTTACTGATAGATTAATCAGCTATATTAAAAGAAAGGGCGTATAAAAATACCAATTAGGACAAGGTAATCGATCAACATGCAACTGGTAAACTAGTAGTACTAATAGAAACCGTCTTTACCTTCAACAACTAAAAAATGTAATTTGGAATGGATTCATGCCGTAATTGACTGACTGATTAAATGATATGTTTTCAAAGGTAGAAGAAAGTTGATAGTGATTCTAGTGGACCATGATTTATATTTATGTTTGTGAAAAGATGAACTTAACAATCACGTTCTTAAAAGATTTATTTATTATGAGTCTCCATTTAATACGAACACTTTTGATTTTCTAATGACTTTTTGTATGGTTTCATGTAGTTTCACGGTACCTTTTATATTTTGCCACTTTTATTCATGTTTAGTAGGTTATGAAAAGGATTTATATAATTTTAGTATTTTGTATAGTAATTTACTAATTTGAAAATGTTAAGATGAATTCACATAGAATATATTAAACCGTAGGATCGATATGTAGTGATTGTCGATATTCCTCTAAAAAATTTGTATTCAACATTTAAGTGGGAGGTCTGGATATACAATAATAATATTTGTCAAAGTAGATTCAGCTCCCATCTCAAAACAACTGGCAATGAATATAGTGAATGAAAAAAATTTATAAACAGGTTTCAAACTTCACGCACGGGTGATGTGAGATTCTTTTTCCAACAACATTTGGATGAGATGTTGATAAGTTTTATGAAATGCGCAAAAATTAAAACAAAATACAATCAACGACCAGGTGCCCACGTTGTTAGTAAGGTCAACTTGCAACTAAATCAGAATTGATAGCAATTATCAGAGTAATTTAACATCAGGCTAATTTGTTTAACACTACGTACAATAGCTGATTTTTTTTTTTCTAAAAAAGGTTGTTAGAAAACAGTAAATGACAATTATACCGTCACAATCATTGATTCACTGAGGTTGTTCCCTTCGACGTGCACACTTTGTATTGATTGACTAATTTGCACCGTCCTCAAGATAAATGTCCCACAAACATTATTCTAATACTCTCTCCATTCTAAAATAAGTATTGTTTTAGGAAAATGGAGAAGTTTCAAAATAAGTGTCCGTTTTCAGATTCCAATGCATTTTTTCTTAAAAATTTCCAAACATACTCTAAAAAAAAATACTATTATTGGCGAGCATTTATTTTAATTGGGTTGGTTGAGAATATTCTAATAATTTAATTACCATATTTAATGTTTTCTTAAATTATGTGAAAACTCTAGAATGACACTTATTTTGGAACGGAGGGAGTACTACCAAAAACAAACTTAATAAATGACTCTACATAGTTAGTCCACTAAACGGGCCCATCAAAAATCTTTAGTATTTCTATGAACTTAACCGTACCCAACAAAACTGGTTCAATCATTTAATCACTCAGACTACAGAATTTCTACACCTTTCGTTAGGATATACTCCCTCCATTGTTCTACACCTTTCCATCTTTATTTAGAAATTAGAACTTTTGATGGTTCAAGACATATTTCCGTTGTTTGGTGAACCAAATTAATTTGATCAAGGAATTCTATAGTATACTCTTGATTATTACTACTTTCTAACCCTCCCCAACAAAAAATGACCTTGTTAAACGAAAAACAATGTAAGTAATTAAAGTTCATTTTGAAAGGGAAAAAAGAAAAACAAATGTTTATAAAAATATAAATGTTTCAATGGGTGATATATCAAATGCAAAATCAGTAAGAACTTACTGGATGAAATCAATATTGATGAAGGAAGCAGAAGGATTTGCAACGGCAGCATAAGCAGTATTGGAGAGAACGAGATTAGTGTCAGCCCTAGAAGGCTTCGAAACGGAGGTCAAGGCCCGGTCAACGACGATCACTTGAATCTGTTGGCCTTGAACACAAGCTCCGGCCACTGCTGAATTGATGCATTTCAACAAATACTGCCTCCCACAAGCCGCCCCATTGTCCCATACCTTTTCTCCGGCAGCCGCAAACAGGTTGCTCGCCGGGAATTGTGAACGGTCACCACCAAAACAAGCCGTTGCTGTGTACAAATTAACACACAATCAAAACCAACTAGAAATATATAGGCATGCAAAAAAGAATAGGGAACCAAAAAGAAAACAAGTCCTTAATTCGTCCAGAGAAAATATCTGACAGTTCAATGAAGTAAACTATTTTCTGAATTACGAAAATAAATGTGTGTAACATGTATATATATATATATATATATATATATATATATATAGATAGATAGATGCGTAAAATAAAAAGGATCGTTCTTTCTACTTACGAGAATAAGGAGGGTTATATTTGCTGGCAGTGCCGATGTCCGCCTCCGATGGACGGAAGAGAAAGGCAAATGAGAGAATGGCGATGAGGAGGAGATGGATACGTTGAGGCTTTGGTTTTGACATCCTACAATGATCAAATAGTTAGTTTGGTCAAAATGAATGTGCTTAATTATTTGATGTATTATTGAATCGATCTAGTTGAGTGGTATAACGTGTGTGTTATATATATATATATATGTATATATATATATACATTTATATATATACATATATATATATATATATATATATATATATATAATACACGCACCACATATAAAAGTCAACTCCGGTATGGGCCAGTTCTTATTTAGAGAATTAAAATTTTAAGATTTTCTTTCTTGTGAAACTTAAAATACAAAAAGACTTTTCCTTCTCATTCTTCTTTCCCGCTTATATATATTGCTTTTCACATCTTAAATATGTTACTATTGGAACTAAATAAAATGGCTATTTTTAGTATTAAATGTTTTGAAGGTATAAATATTGGAAGTATCAAAACCTAGAAACAAAAAGTATGACTTCGGAAGCTGGAGTGTATTTTTGGATATATATATATATATATATATATATATATATATATATATGTATGTGGTACTTGTTCTTCTGCTCAATGTAAAGTACCGTTGAAACAGTTTATGGTTTTTAATTTTTTCGATTCCAAAAGAAAATTTGAACACCGAATTTTCAAGTTCAAGTTTGACAGTTAGGAAAAAAAAAGGTCAGATTCTAGAAACTCTTTCCATGTCATTAATTGTGTCTTAACTCGTAAGAGCTGAGACTAGAATTAGGTTTAAAGTTGATATAACAATAACGCGTTTTTTCAGTTAAACTGACAGAATCTAGAAACAAAACTTTAATAAATCTAATTATAATCAGTTCTCGAAAACAATAATAATCAGGATTTTCTTTTTTCTTTTTCTTTTTCTTTTTCTTGATAACCAAATGGTTAAATCCATTTCTACGGCATCGGTTGGTATGATCAAATAACTAACCAAATTGACTCTATTTTACAAGTAAACCACATCTTATATATAATATATACATTATATTAAATCTCATACTTGTTATTCAATTTGTTTTTCTTTCTTTCTTTCTTTTTTAATGTATTCATCCAACTACTGATTTGTGGATTCCTCTGGTTCTGTTTGTAAAGTACTACAAAATTTCGGTATTACTTTCAGTTAACTATTCTAGCTAGTACTCGCCTATCCTGCAGTCTCCTATTATTTTTTTCTTAATTACTAACACAATTGAATATATTTTTTGAACGCTAAGCAGAGTAAGGTTATCCAATTATATATAAAAATATTTTTGAATTTCACTTTTAGTATAATTTGAACTATAAATCAATGTTCGAAGTGAATAATCATTTTGGAATGGAAAGATCCTTTCACCACCAATAATCGTGCATGTTACTATATATCCATCATGGCACCTCATCTAAGAGGAATATGTTGATGCTTTGAATGAAGGTATCCTCTCAATCAATGTTTGCAGGATCGTGATCCTACGTAGGATTGAAATGTTGTCATAGAATCGGATCGTAAATAGGATCGGTATGATCGAAATAGTAAGATCGTAAAATTAACTATACATGTTATAATAATTAATTACTTAGATAATTAGGTTTCAATTATCTTTACATAAAATATTTAACATTTAAACTAAAAGAAATGTGTAAATTCAATTTTCTTATATGAATTTTTAGATAATTTTTTAATAAAAACTCTTATCTTATAGTTCTTCTTTTCATTTTATTAGAAAAACTTTTTAAAATATATTTTTCTTAGCAATAAAAGTCTCAATTGAATGTGAACCAAAACAAATAAGAGAAAAGAAAAATTTCAGTAAGTTCAGTTAACTTTTTGTAATTAATGAATAGTAAAATCGAAGCGATCCTACGATCTTGTACGATCCTGTACGATTCTGACTGATACTGACCGATTCTACTCCGATCCCATTGTAAAATTCGAGTTTGATTGATTTATGTACATGGGATCGTAGAGTCGCGAGTTTGCAAACTATGTTCGCAATAATAACATAACCTCGCGGCTCACACCATTGACTCAGTTTAGTTTTTAAATTTTACATTTTTCATATAATATTCAATCTGATTTTTTTTTTTAAAAAAAAAGAAATTGATAATTGCCACCCAAAGGAAAACCGCCTAGGACCCTGTAATACAGATTTAGTTTTAGTTCATTGCTCGACTCGAAATTTAACAATTGAGAACCAATGTTAACAAATCATTGAAGAATATAGTATTCTATTTAGGACTGATTATACGTGATGACCCTTTTCTGTTAACTTTTTAATATGCACAGTATCAAAATCAGAAAATCAAATAATTCCTCCAACCTCGTATGCACTTATAATTAATTATTAGCACGTAATTCCAAGGATTCGTTTGCAGCGTTTGACTTGGGGCGCAGTATCCCTCCCAAACGATGGATCACCACATATATGCATGTTAGTAAATGTCTTCTATCAGAGCTAAGCTATCTGAAAAAGGGATCGTATATATAGCACAGCCACACAATGAATTATTCTTCTAGACAAATTCTGTAAACAGCCATTATCCTAGATTGATTGCCGTGTTTTACAATTAGGTTTGGGACGGATGTTGAATATTTCTCATCTTTTGTGGAGTATTCAATTAATTCCATGGCGCACCCCCGGATCTTTTAACCACCGCTTGGATAAGCAAACTTTTGGAGAATTAAACGAATTGTTCTAGGAAACAAATCCGCTTCATCTCTTCATTACGACATTATTATGCTTATTCTTTACTAACTTTCTTTTTTCCCCTCCCAAAATTGTTCCTTTTTATTAATATTGTATTTACTTCCACAGTACTATGTTGATAAAAAAGGAAGAATGAAAATGAATTATTTTTGAGGAATTGGAGAAGTAATTAATACACAAGAGTTGCACCAACGGAAATAAAAAAAGAGGTCAAAATCATAATTTAATATTAAAGAAAAAGATCATAATGAGTGTTTTCAGAATTTAACTAATCACCTTTAATATTTCTTCTAATTATCTTAGGTAACCTAATTACGAAATGGGATACAATGTTCATGGCTTTTCTGGTTTGGATGTCACTAATTAAGGATTACAAATCAAGGTTGTTATAATATTTCATCTGTTCCAAAATAAATTAAACAACTATTTTGCTTGGATTTTCGTTTTAGTGAAATTTATAATAAAAATGATCATTCAAACTATATGTAATTATTTCGAGATTGAGGGATTATGTTTATATTTAGCCGTTTGGTATGTTGGATTTGGATTCAGGGAAACAGATTCAGTGCTCTACTGCTGTTTGGTTAGGTGGAAACAGAATCTGGGGAATCGCTTGAATCCAAAAGATTGATCCTACCCTTCCGGTCGCTGGCCACTCGTACTTAACTCCTGGATCATTAGATCTGAAGATATTCTTTGAGCGGCGGTGATTTTTTAATGGTTTGGATGGTGTGGTTTCAATTCGGATTCTTTGCTCTTTATTTCCAAGACTAATAGCAATGGTGGTTCGTTCTACGAACAATGGAGTGCGATCGGAAATCTTTGATATTTGGGGATATTCGTATTTCTTTTTCCTAGAAATTTTGTGATGTAATATTTTTGATGTTTTGGGCATGAGATTTGAGCTGAAAATTGAGTTAGAAAAATGGTGCTACTAGTGGTGGTTTTTGGTGAGGAAAGTGGTGGGCGGCGGAGAAAGGGGTTTTTCTTTTTTTAATTAAACTAGGTGTTAGACCCGTCCGATGGACGGGGAAAGCATACACATTTAGATATTTTTACATAAATTTTGTATTTTTATAAAATATGTAATGACTTCAGTTTTAAACATGATTACCTCTGGATTTACAGGAATTTATTTTTTTTAAACGACATTTTAAATTCACTGGTAATAAGGTTTATGCAGATCTCTTTAAAATTTGTTAGGATTTGGTACTCTCTCCAATCAATCTCTGTGTTAGGATTTGGTTCATGAAAATAAGGGTTTGGTTTTTATTATTTTGTTTTTTTAAAATTATTTTAGTTGTTTTTTTTTTGGTTTTATTATTTTATTTTATGCATTTTTAAGTCTAAGAAATTAAGAAAATGCCACACAGGATTAAATCCGATGTGGCATGTGCTCCTTGCTTTTAGTTTTCTCTCTCTAGTTTTTGCCTTAGTATAGTATATAGATAGATTAAAAAGGTTAATTGAAATTTATCTGTTTTTTCCTCTCAAAAAAATCAAATTAATCAAATTACAGAAGTTATAATCGAGGTAATAATCTATATGCTGAACCAAATAGCACTATTGAATTCATGAATCCATATGCTAATCCGGCATCATTCGAATCCGTTTTCTAATCCGTTTCCATATGATAAAAACAAACGCCTCATTACATCATACTGGCGCAGGGAAGTCATAAACAGATTACGTATAAGAAGGGGAATACGAGTACAACATTTTGACATTATGGAATTCGCAACGCCCTCTCTTTGCTCCTCTCTTTCATAAATGTCAAAACTCTAATACACTACTATTTTTTTTTTCTTTTTCTGATTAAATAGTACACTATTTAGAAAAGGGACAATCCAGGGTCAATAATTCTAGAATTCATCGACGGGCATTGTGGGCTACTAGAATATGTGGAATTTTCGTTTTGATGCAAAAAACTCTTTTTTTCTTACTACATGAAAACAAAAGCTTAATTAAAACGACAAACTATCATACATGGTGACTGGTGGTTAATATCAATTACATTATGCATGCGGATGAGAGTGGAACATATCGTCCCAAAACCTCATGCATATTTCCATATGTATGACCTAAGGGGACGCTTAATCAAATGACAATTATCTGGAGGACTAATGGGGAAAGACTGATGCCTTTAGAGATGCAAGATTGCGGATTTAGGAACGAATTTTATGGCTATAAAGAACATAATCTGGATTTATATATAATTATCGTTCTCAGCTTCCCAACCTAGGACTTCACATCATCTACATCTCTCATAATTAACCCCTTATGAACAATTCCAAATACTGACTATCAAGCAAAATATTTTTATCGTTACGTTGCATTTCCCATAAGGGCTTAGATAGTCAATAATTTTTTTTTTCTTTTTTTTGGTACAATAGTCAATAAATTTTTAAGTTCGCATTGTCTACTGATCCCTAATGTGACCCTTCCTGTAGGGTTTCAGGAAATCGATCCATCAATTTGCTTTCCTTCTCATCTGCTCTGATCGATCTTCAAGTTGTTTTTTTTTTTTTTTGAAAACCGTACTTGGGATCGATCTTGAAGTTAATTAATAATTTCGTTGATTTTTGTCTCTTATACCAGCACAAATGCATGCAAACTTGAAGACTAAATATTGTATCAAACAACTTACGATGAAATCACCAAAAAAAAAAAAATAATAATAATAATAATAGTACTCCACCAAAGGCTAACACAAACAAGAAGTTATTATTATATGCTCACAAAGAAAAAAATAACATAAAAAAATCACAAGTTACTTAAATGTTTTTAAAGGAAAGAACAGCTGGCCAAGAAATGGATAAATGAAATCACAAGTTACTTAATGGTTTTTAAAAACCCTAACTGTAGGGATATGAGCCTCTCATATAGCACTATCAACCATACCTGTAGGGATTTCAATAAGCCCTATAGTACTTCTGGAACCTTCTTACATACCGTTTTTGAGTGCCTTAAGAAACTATTTTTGTAGTAGTGGAACTCCGGTAGGATTTACTGTGAAATAGAGCCTCGGGGTCTCCGAAGGTAGATATTCCGATGCTTAAGTCAGAAAATAGGGTTAATGAGATATCTGTATTATGCAAATTGGTGCTAGAAATAGTGTACTGTAATTATGGAATAATTCCCTATTAATAGGTCTGGAAGATCTCTGAGTCCTACTAGATTTGGTGTTATTTAACCGCTTTAGCAGAGTCGATTGGGCCCTTTACTCGGCGGATGGACCGGTCTAGTATCGGTGGTGGATATGGACTCGTCCTAGTGAGAGGACTATTTGGGGATGAATATAGTGATGGTTTTGTTCATGGGATCCGAGAGTTAATGGGATCGTGAATGAGAATCAATTGAGTTTAAGTAGGAGTTTCGTGAGGTGAAATTTGTAACTGATCATATGGCGTTATTAACGTCTAAGGTTAAAACTAGTTGAAGTGATATAAATATTAGGGAAGTAACCATTGAATAGTACTTGATCTGTTAAAAAAAATAGTCTATATTGTTGTATTGCTGAACAACAATGTAGTTATTTTTTTTGGGGCATAGATAATTTATATATTTATTTTTATGTAATCCGCGGTAGAAGCTGTTAGGAGTAGGTCCTCCTTTCCACGCGTACGTATTTTGAATTAGATTTGTATGCATTGAGTTGCATAGATTGGTTTTTTTTTTTTTCATATTGCATAGATTGTTTTAAATCAAAATAGAAATAGAAATATAAAATAGTAGATTAAAAAGAAAAACTGAGGTGTAGATGGAAACCACTTCATAATTAATCCAAAATGCAGAATGGGAAAAATTTTATTTGAGCCTGACATATGGTGTATGCTTGGAAAAAGTGAATTTATAGACTCGGCCAAATTAAGATTAATCCATAATGAAACCCCCTCTCTCCGCCCCCCCAAAAAAAAAAAAAAAAGATTAATCCATATCAGCCCATCCAAGGCTCCAACCAGGAGAACTAACTTATGCTTATTAATTGTTTTTGACTTATATAAACCCCGGGCAAACGAATTTAATCGAACAATTGACTATCTCTTGTCTGGCTAAATTAGTTTTACAACGTTTGAATATATTTCATCTAAAAAGATTAGATGCCAAAAGGACAAGTTCACCAACTCAGATGAGGTTGAACTTAGAAGTTTGAATATATATATATATATATATATATATATATATATATATATATATATAAGTCAGAAGTCAGAATCCCTCTTTATATCACCTTCCCAAATCTGCCCTCTTCTTTCTTCGATTTATGGTCAACTCGCGGCAAGTTTTGATTCGAAACCAACAACTATCCAAAAGGTCAAGTTATAGTACTATCTCCGTATAAAAAAATAGTCTATATAAAGTTTTTATATTTGTAAAATTTTTAGTACAATTATAAAATTTAAAGTGGACTATTTTTTTTTTGGGACGGGAAGAGTAAGTTGGTCATCACTTAATTGAACAAATTTTGAGTTTCAACCTGTTCATAGATAAACTAGTTCGCTCAAATTAAACATTTTAACCGCGGCAAAAATTGATACACCCAGTCGAATGGTCATTCCTTATTAGCCTTGGTGCAGATATTCACCTTCTCGTAAAAACTTAAAGTTCGTTACCATATTTATCTTATTAAAGTGAAATTTGTTGGAGAAATAATGCCCCGTATTGAGAAGAAAATTCTTGGTTGAGTGGGTTTAATTATATTATCTTTTAAATTTGTGTCACAATATTGTTTGCCAGACCATCAAAATTTAATCCCAATACGTCATTTTTATTAAGTAGTGCCTAGAAAAAGTAACACACGACATAATTAGTACTCCTCCATCCTACAAAAATAGTTCCGTTTAATAAAAAAGTTTATCCTAAAAAAATAATCCAGTCTCAAAAAAGTTAAAATTAATTGAATTGAAATAAATTAAATTTCCAAAAGAGTACTGGTAACGAAAATAAGATCGTCCAATTGTTTTGATTTTCATTTTTTTTAAGTTTTCTCTTATTTTTTCAAATGATTATATCTTTTAATACATGGATAATTAAAAAATATATTATATATTAAATTAATCTACGTAACGAGATCTTTAATCAATATCCTATGTCAATATTTTTTGAGATAAAACTTTTGATCAAATTTAAGTTGTAAAATAAATGCATATATAGTTAACTTTTATAGAAATAACTAAAAAGGTAATTAGTAGAAGTTAGGGGCATAAAACGAGTTGTATATTTGGTGCATTGACCAAATTAAAAAAGTTGTATATTTTCAAACTGGACTATTTTTTTGGGACGGAAGGAGTATATCCTAATCCCATCCCCCGTAATGTAGTTTCATTTTAGCCATGTATCGCGTTGATCTTCATTGTAAAAGAGCAAAAAAAAAAAAAAAGACAAAAAAAATCATTGAGATACCATTTATTGGTTGTTGATTATCAACTTTTTTTTCCCTAATAAAATAGATTATGAAAATGAGGTATAAGTGCGATTTTTCTTTGGCAATAGTTCCTTGTTTAATAAGTCACCTCCGGAATCCACCCTCAATGTCCATTTATATTTTCCTTCTCAAAGTACCTCATACCAAAGCTCTCTTTTTCTACTCTTTCAAGACCATTTTTGTTTTGATTTCCTAATATTTTGTTGTATATATCCCTAATTCTGTGAGAATAGAGAACGGATAAATAATTGCCTCTAAATTAAATAAAGGCAGATATGCACATTGGACAACTTAAAATTTGCCCATAAGTACTTGACATTTTTTTTTTCTCTGGTCTCTGTTATGGCAAAGGAGACATATCAACTGAACCATACATATATAAGAAGTCAGCTCCAATATTTTGGCCAATGGATTACACAATGCAACTTTAAACCCTGGAAATGAAGAAAAGGATTAATTCTTGTCAGTACTGTAGTAAACTTACTATTGAGAAAATTGTAACTCCTTATTAATCAATAAAAAATCTTGAACTAAAAAAACGAAATTCAACTAGTATTCTCACTCTATAAAATGATAACTAGCTAATAAAGGGCTAATGTACAGGGAAGCTTAAAACAAAAAACTATTTTAATCATTGTAACAACTTTTTTTTCTTGATCTACGTATATAAAACAACAATTTATTATTAAAGTGAGACTGGATATTGTAAGAGATGGTTGATATCATTTCAAAATGAAAAGATGCAACGACTTGTCATATGTTTTTATCGCATTGCATCATTCATAACATCATTCATAACATCATTTTATTCAAAGATTTTACTAAATAAAAAATTCACCATTCAACATGAATTATGGATGCCTGAATTTTAAAAAACAAAGTTTAAGGAAAAAATATATCAAGGTCAATACAAAATAAAATTGACAACCAGGCCAGGTTGGAAGTAATGTCCTCTTGCAATTGTAATGAGATTACTTTTATATCATCCGGTTATGAACGATGGCTGATTTCATATTGTTCAAAAAAGGGTATTATTTTCTTAAGGCGAATTCTTAGATAAGAAAATAATGTCAATTGCACCATCACTATCATTGATTCATAGGTTGTATCTCTTCGTCGACGTCCACCCTCGTCATGATAAATGACCAGTAAATTAATTATCTTAATAAACTAAGAGGAGATTATTTAAAAATTTTGTTTACAAAGATTCATCAATCATCAATCTCTATGTAAAATAAAAGTCGATATTCATTATTGGAAACAAATGAAGTATGTGACAAAAGGGAGGGAAAAAAAAAAAAAAAACAAATATTATAGTATCATACGGTTGCTTAGGAACTACCAAAAGAGGCTCTCATGCATGCACGCTCCAATTGCTACAAGCCAAGGAGAACAAGTCTATTTTAACATCCCCTATAAAGAATCTTTGATGATTTACATGTAGAAAACCCACACAGAAGGGAATATCATGTTTCCTCGTAACTGATAACCTGAACCTTAGCTTCATAACTTTCTTAACAGTTCCGTTCTAAAATAATTATCCTCTGTTAATTATTTGTATACTCACTATTTTATTATGAATCACACGTATACAGATCTTATCAACAAAGTAATAAAAAAAAAATTATGAGAGAACTAAAAAGTAAGAACCTACTGAATGAAGTCAATGTTGATGAAGGGAGCAGAAGGATTGGCAACGGCAGCATAAGCAGTATTGGAGAGAACGAGATTAGTGCCAGCTCTAGAAGGCTTCGAAACGGAAGTCAAAGCCCGGTCAACGACGATCACTTGAATCTGTGGTTGGCCTTGAACACAAGCTCCTGCCACCGCTGAATTTATGCATTTCAACAAATACTGCCTCCCACAAGCCGCCCCATTGTCCCATACCTTTTCTCCGGCCGCTGCGAACAGGTTGCTTGCCGGGAATTGTGAACGGTCACCACCAAAACAAGCCGTTGCTGTGATTACAAAACAAATTTAATTCGCGTATCCAAAAAAATCGTGAAAAAAAGTCCTTAATTAAATTAGTCCTCAAAAGTTGTATCAAAATTTTTTCCTGTTCAATACACTTTATCAAATGATTAAGTAATATTTCAGAACAGAGAAAATATATGTAACAAGCTGGCGAAAAAAAATACGAAAACATCTACTTACGAGAATAAGGAGGATTGTATAGGCTGGCAGTGCCGATATCTGCCCGAGAAGGATGGAAGAGCAAGGCAAAGGAGAGAATGCCGAGGATAAACAAGTGGAGGAGCCGGAGACGTTGAGGTTGCGGTGTTGACATCCTAATGATCAAAGAGGTTGGTCAAAAGTCGAAACTAATATGTACATAATTATTGTGCCCGAGTTGGATGGTAAGAGAGAGTAGTTACTTTACTTATATAGGAAGTATATACATGCAGCACATGTCAAAGTCAACTAAGGCCTTGCCTGTATTTTTTTTAAAAAAAAAAAATTTAAGGCATGGAATAAATTTCTTTAGTCAGAGATTCTCATTTCTGTCACCCTTTCTCCTTTTTCTAGGAATCATCAGTGTTTAATATTTGTTCATTTTGTTAAACTTTTTCGTTTCTCAAAAATATTCCAGTTTAATTCCCCCCCCCCCTCCCCCCCTTTTATAAGAATCATTAGCGTTTATTGATTTTCATTTGTTAAACTCCCTCATTCTTGTACTCTTTTCATCTCGAATAACAGCTTATAGTAAAACCTCTCTAAATTAATCATCTATTAATCAATAACTTCTATTAAATAATATTTTTCTCAGGTCCTAACTTAGGAGCAGTACAAAAAATGAAAAAACTCGATTAATTTATAAGATAATAATTCTCCTATATAGTTATAGGTCTCCACAATTTCATAAATTAATAAATACCCAAAACAAAAAAAATTATACTTGAAGAATAACTTAGATTTTAACTTAAGTATTTTTCTTTATATTTGCAATTATCATGTTTTTGTTCCATTAAAAAAATTATAATATTATGGCTAGGGCTGCAATGGACTTTTTTTATATAAAAATAATAAATTTTTGTATTTTCTTACTAATAAGATTGGTAAAACTCTTTAAATTAATTAAATATTAATTTATCGATAAATTAATAATTATTAGTTTATCGATAAATTAATAACTCTATAAATTAATAACTTTTTGGAGGCCCAAGCGTATTAATTTTGAGAGATTTTACTGTACTTTGGACTGTTTTTTGGAGACATAAGAAATGAGATTTTTTTTTATCAACAAACTAAACTATTTTTTCGGAATGAAAGTAGTAGTTCTTTCAGCAAGAGATAGGGAAGAAATACCATTTTTTTGGTTCATCAAAACCTAAGATTAAATTTTGAGAAGAAAAAAGAAAAAGGGAAAAAGTGAACAGTGAATTTCAGTTCAAGTTCGACAAAGTTTGGAATAAAAGTCACTTGTTCAAAAGTTTTAAGAACTATAAATCCCAATTTTTTTCAATAAATATGAAGAGAATGTACAACAACAACAACATATCTAGTGTATTCCCAACTTGGTTGCATTTCGGGGGGTCAAGGTATACGCAGTCTTACTCCTATATTTCAATACAAAGAGGCTGTTTAAGTAGTACGACCCAAAATGCATTGGTGCATTGATATATTGATTTCCGGCAATTTCACCAAATTAAGTAGCGTTGAAATTTAAATGAGTCATTTTGATCTAATCCATTATTATGAAGAGAATGTAAAGAAATAAAAAAAAAAAAAATTCCTCCAAATAAAAATTATTCCTTACGTTTCAGAATAAACATTTTAGGGAGAATTTCTATTAAAAGCATTGGAAATATAGTAATTATTATAAAGGGTATTAGTTACATATTCCATTTTTCAATTGTTCTTAATTATATTACTTATCAAAACGACTACATTATCCCTATTTCTGTTCTTTTACCCGTTTCCATCATCTTGGTTCCATCTTTTTCACTTAAGAATCATCCATATTGAGGAAAACAACAATAAAAAAAACTTCCTCTCCCGACTAATTTGATATACTTCTGAATCCGATTATTCTATTTTCTTATTATTGTTCAGATCAATCTTCCAGCACAATTGATATTCATCTATTCTACCTATTGGCTACCGTCATTTTTTTTCTTAAGCTTTTCATCTTTCGAGGGGAATAATTAGAAGATCTTTTGAACCCATATGTATTAGAAAATTTTGCAAGGAATGTATGAGTATGTTTCGGCTGATGACAAGAATAACTGAAAATTAAAACTTTTGGAAGAGAAATTGGCATCGATATGTTGTAAGGCTTAATATCCTAATACGGGAAGTAATGAAAAATTCAAGTTTGCATTGCACTTTAATTATATTCTGTTGATGGGTTACCAAAAAGAGTTATTTTTTATTTTTTATTTTAATGGGGGAGGGAATAAAAAGCCACGAAAACAAATGAACTTGATGTTGCTTGGGTAAGTAAGGTTATAATAGTCAATTTCCAGGTGAAAAATATTAGAAGCAATTTCAAAATTCATGAAAATGAATAAAAAAAAGCCCATGTCCTTTTTAATAATTATCAATCTTCAAATGCTCTTATTGAAAATTCTCCCAGAATTTTATTTATTAAACTGCTACCGCAAACATAACTTTCAATAAACCTAGTATCAACATATGTCTCTGGGACGATCAGACGAACTAATTAACTCAACTGCCTACTTATCCACACAAGGCAGGTCTTATTTTAACCTTCCTAAAACTTTTATTCATTTTTCAAAAGACATCTATAGCTTTATTGACAAACCCATGAGAAAAGGTTACTATATACATATATCTTTTGTCCTAAAATTATTATTTATTTGAGTTTTCATTTCTTGTTCAATTGGTACTCTTGGGACAAAGAGATTATTATTTGATCCGGATATCTAAGTTGCACACATAATGCTCTTTTATTAATGAGGAAACTTATGAAGTTTGTTTGTGATGTTCAACTTCTCAGGACGCACGTATTATGAATTGTCTTTTTAGACGTTAAAAAGGTAACCTAAGGCACAATACAACTTATTATTCTTGTTCTAGATATGAGCTTCTGGATTTGTTGAATATGATTTCTCATAATTCAGTTAATTATAAGTCCGTTGTGCATGCATATACATCTTTTAACTACCTCGTGGTTAGGCAAATTACCAAGCTAGCTACATGGAAACTGGTATAAATCTTTTTCTAGAAAACAAATTGTTCTATCAGTATACGTTAATTTTATATATTCCTCTAAATTCATAAAAACAAAATCATTTAGTTAAATCAAGTGAACTATTTTTCCACGGCAGAAATAATAGCAGTTATACAACCACAAACCAATGATAAAACAGAATAAAAATTATAACCAAAAAAAAAAAAGAAGAATCATTTATCACGAGCCTATTATTTGCAATCGCATGGATTAATCAAAATGGAAAATTGATATGTTTCGTGGGTTTTAATTTCTTCTTTGGATGTTATTGAAGCAAAAGAGAAGGAATTTAGTTGTATCCTATAAATAGCAGCCTATCATAATGGAAGTTGTAAAAAGATTAATATGCATCGGAATATGTCAATAAACATTTATATATTCTTGTCAAAATTCCATACACTAAAATATCCAATTCTTTTTTCTTTTAAGTAAAAAGTTTGAGATTAGAAAAGGGTATAATCCAATTGTCAATCCATCGGTATGAAAGATGGCTGGTCAACGAAGCGGCTGCCGACTTCTGGTTTTACACGCTCCTAATATTTGTAGGCTAATTAATCTTAAAACATCATTTTGATTTATGCAGCCTTTGTATTTTGTAATTTTTTGTTGGGGGTTGTAATGAAAACGAAAGCTTTTTTTTTTTTTTTTTTTTCATATTTGCAGAGTGTCCATTGTCGGTACCAGTGACTAATCTTTTTACTGAAAACGAAAACTTTAAAACTCAAAAGTAGCTTCTTCATCTTCTTCTGGTTTTCTTTTTTCTTCCTTTTAATTAACTTTGATTACCCAAATTACTACATCGCCTAAGGTTAATTCTAGATTTTTGCGTCTCCTGAACATCATTCCTAGTAACTTATTCTGCTATTGAAGAACACCATTTTACATTATATTTTTAAAATTGCTATTTTTTCTTTTTCTTTTCTTTTTGGTGGTGTAACTAATCTATTTCTTGTCCTTTTCTTTTTAACAAATATAAATATGCATCTAGATACGTCTTTCCAAAATTAAACGGGTCATAATACCTCTATTAAATATATAGGGGGATAAAAGTGTGAGTGGCACATGGCATTCCATGTGAAAAATATTGAAGAAGTCATCGGGAAGATTGATAGACGGCTACTTATTCCCATAGAGACCGGCGAAGGAAGTGATCATACAGCATACAAACATGCAAAATGGCAACAATATTCAAACAGAATCTCAGCAAACCGCTAGCGATCGATTTATATACAATGCATCTAATCTAACTGCATGTTATGGCTACCTACTTACCTAGTTACAGGATGGACACAATGTTAGTATTTTTTTTGTCCCAAAATTAGTGTTTAGTTTGAAATTTCACTTTTAATAAAATTTGAACTAAAATGAAAATTTAAACTGGACAATAATTATGAGACGGGGAGAGTACCAAACACAATTATTTTTTCCGTCCCAAATAAAATAAATCCAACTAATTTGTTGATCGTGAGAGCGAGGAAATATTGAAGTGTGACTTGATTACATTCTTATTAACGGAAGAAATGGTTACGTTTTTTTTTTTCCCCCACCCTACACTTGAGATGTCTGAGAGACTCGAGACAACCAAAACATGATGCCGATGATAGACAATCAGGAGGAAAGTGTAGGGGAGCTTGGGGGGTTTAGTATTTTGGGATAGTTGTGAATTTGTTAGTCGGGAGGCATACTTTTTGTGAGTCTAAGTTTGCGATAAGTTATCTGAGATTTTTATATACCCTACATTTATGAGTAGTTTATAGACTAGACGATTTATAGTTTATGATAAAGTTACGGTTAGAGTATGATACATACTCTATATTTTCTCGAACACAAAATAGTACTCCATCTGTCTCAAAATTATTATCTAATTTAAGATTTCACTTTTAATACAATTTGAACTAGAAATGAAAACTCAAACTGGACAATAATTATGGGACAGAGAGTATCTAACTTTGAAAAGCTCTATCTCCTTCATTACACCAAACCTGGTATCCCTTTTAGCTTTTCAGCAAACCATACATCTTTTAATAATACCTTCAAAACCATTCCAACACATGGAAACCGGGACAATTATAGGGGAATGCAAATTAAGTTGATGTGAAACTTTGAAAGTACTAAATCCAGAAAAGGTCAATCGGATCTAGAACCCCGCACACTCTGTAGGATGTAGTATCTAGATTCTTCTTGATTTCCGACATTAATTGGAGTTTGAATATTCGTCTTTAATCTGCCCTCTTTATGCCAGTGTATTAACCGACTTCAGGTCAAATCAGAGATATATATATATATATATATATATATATATATATATATTTATAGCGACTTCTTTAAGGTTAGAGATCAAACTCTATTAGTTTATAGGGTGAGATGAAGATTTAAGGTGGAGATTTAAAGGTACAATAAGAAAGCAAAATAACTTGGTCTGGTTTTAGTGCTAGTAATGTGCCACTAATTAAGCTGGATGTGTTACTTAAAGCGTAGTTTTAGTTCTCCCATAAGGGGCATATCCACTAGAAAATGTACCTACCTAGCCGATTAATTTATAAGGTAAAGAACGTTAACAATAGTGTAACATTTTTTATAAATACTAATATCAGAAAAATAGTTCATAGCACAATAAAATGAATCATTTTCTGAGACGGGGAGAACCTAAAACAAGTGTTAAAGAATCATCTGATATTTCAGTATTTTGCTTTCACTTTTACAGTACAAATTTTTTAAAGGTAAAAAAATAAAATGAGATAAAGGAAAGCTACAGAAATGCAATGAATGAATTTCAAGGGAGAATGACATATTGTGTGTAAGCTTGGAAGAATCAATCTCCTACAATTTGCAATCCACGATAACTAATTTGATAACCATTAGTTTGGTTTTGACTTCTGCACATTGGAAAGCAAAAATTTTATCATACGATCGACTCTAATTTTAAATGGTTTAATTGCATAGATCATTTTCTTCTTCTTCTTCTCCTTTTTTTTTTTTAATTCAATTTTGCTTCTCGGAGTTTAAAGTTTCAGTCTCATGTTAACCTGGAATATGTAGCCATTTCATACATGCCATTCCCTAAAATTAACTTAAAATATTTCAGTTAAAGTTTTAATTAATGAAATAATTACTTTTAATTTTTTATCCGATGTCTTTAAGAATAAAAATTTTCCAAACTTGCCCTTTATAAAGTCAAAGGCATTTTACTGTCTCTCCCTAATCACTGCCTTAATTTTAATATCATCTTCCTTCAGACGCTCCAAAAATTTTCCCACGTAACTAGCATCAAAATTTCCCCCAAAAATATCAACCATCCGTCCCCCCAAAAATCAGGTTTTAGCAATGTTACAAACAACAAGCGTCCTCAATCAGTATTTGATTCTTTTTCCCGAGAGTAATATATTCAGTAACTAAGACAAATATGTAGTAACATAGCATTTCTAATTGATTGACACCATTTATTTTGTTTAAAATATGATCAACTCTTTTCTAATGTATGGATTTTATGTTGTAAACATGAAATCATATTTAGGGATTTGGTTTGCAGATGCTATGTTTTTTCTTACCAAGAAATAACATATTATATGTGTATTATACCTAACATGTATAAACAGATTGCAGTAAGTCTCAAGTGTCAATGATATAGCATCTATCAAGTGTTGATTAATTAGTGATAATTAGTGTTAATAGTTCTTCTCTTGGAAGCATATGTTCACCCTCTATTTCTTCTCTATTTCTTCTATTGGTTTGCAATGATTAGATAACCCACTACCTGGGGTAAGACCATAGTTAGAGCACGATATCATCAGGGTCTGTAATCCACGAAACGTTTTAATTTAATTTTTGTGAGATTTTAGCCTTCTTCTTTATACAAAAAAAAAAAAAAAAATCCACTAAAGAGGAAAGGGGCCAAAAAATAAGAAGTACTTGCTTACATTTAAATTTCAAATCACCACCCACTGGTGACTCAGAGCAAATATTTCATGGATGAAACTGTGTAATTTTTTCCAAACAATGAAGATGCAACTAAAATTCATGTTTGCGTCATTATTTGGAGGTGCTATATCATTTAATTTGTTAAAATGATTTGGTATTTACATGGGAGTAGTTGTCTCTCAAGAAGAGAGAAATAAGGACTTTGAATTCTTTTTCAGAAAAAAGAATGACTTTGAATTTATAAGGGGCAATCCTGGAAAATAAGAAAAAATTTGCATTGGATACTAAAAACTGTTATGGCAAAATCACCAGCTTAAAATTTACAGGGAGCCAAAAAACAAAAAACAATGTGATTATTTCTTTATATTTTTAATCTTTTTTCATATTTTAGTAATATCTCAATTTTTACTGACTATTTCATGATTAATTAATATTAGTGAATATTGTATTGCTTAAAACTTTTCAAATTTTTTTTTATAAAAACTTAATAGTTAAACTCCATTAATTATTTAAAATAAATAATTTTGAATTTTATCCTGTTTATAATAATTAAAGTTCATTAAAATTTACTAGTATTTAACGAATAAAAACCCCTCATCTTCTGTCGAATGTATTTTACATTTGTTGCATATTTTTGTGCAGTGCACAAGGTAAATATTAGTATGTTGGTTTATAGAGTTTTTCCTTTAACAGAGGACTAGGGGTGGGGGGATTTTAAATTCATTAAATAAACATAAAATAATTTTTTTTTTGTTAAAAAGAGTAGCTTAGTGTAAGGTAGAATTATTCCTGAACTATTTTCAAAATACATCTAATAATTACAGCCTGGGCTGAATTATTATAATCCCTATGCTAAAAAATCATATAACTCACCATATCTTATAGTCTAGTAATCGACATACGGAGATCTCATTATTTTTTTCAACCTTAGGGTTATTTGTTTCCATAATGAAGAATAATCTAGGAAACCAAGCAAAATACGGTGAACTAGGTTTATGCCATAAAATACATCTAAACAGTTTTCAAATATCCCCAAACTCGAAAGCCCTTGTTTTGGACTGAGACCGTGATGGTTTATGCGATAAATCCAATCAAACCCGACTCAAAAATAGCAGGCCTTCGTAGCCTTATTTAACATTTTCATTCGTGCGACATCAAATATCTCTCAATTGGTATCTTACAAAGAAAATTAAGCAAAAAATCAACACAAAATCCAAACCGATAAAGCATACATCAACATGATTTGCAGGAACAAAACAAAATTAAAGAGAGAAGCGCCATAAACTTGCGACACATACCTTAGGAAATCTTTGATAAAAGACAGCAATAACGTCCAATTACCTGCATGTACGAGATTCATCAATTATACGCATTTCAACATTCATCAAAGGAGTCAATTGAGGGAATAATAAAAATAATTATTTTGAAAGAAATCAATGCTATTGTTCCGACCTAATTGATTTAAGCACGCAAGAGGCAGAAAGTTTTGGGGGAGAAAATCATAAAATGGATGTTTTAGGAACCGGAAAATATCAAATATGCTGGTTTTATTTAAACCACAAGTCTATAATAACATTGCAATTTCTCAAGGTGTGAAGGCTTTGTGTTGGTCCCTTCGAAGGAAAGGGAAGGAGGGGATATTTCTTAGCCAAAAACCAATGAAAAGTGATAGGAAAAGATGGAGAAAAATGGGAGACTTACAAGAGAATACTTTCTTTTCTTGCTCTGGAGGAGAAAAATTTTCTAGAAAAATAGAAAACGAATCATTAGAAATTATGAAGAGGATTATTACAAGAAAGATTTGGCTTTTACACAATTGATTTTCTTTCCCTCAGATGAAGTCAATCAAATCTTTGTTTTTTTTTTCCTTTTTCTTTTTTTTTTGGTAAATACCGAAGAAGATGGATAACGCATTAAACACAAAAGCTAAAACTAAAATAAAAATTTCCAACAATGTCATTATTTTAGAAGTTTGGCTGTAAATTGCACCGTAAAAATTAGAGTCTTGCTGCCACCGTGGCTCCTGTTAGACCCCTTTTCGTTTACTATGAACATGAGGTTAATCGGCGTAGAATCTTTTTCAATAAAAAAATTCTACCAGCCCACACTAAGTATTGATCAAAACAACAGAACTAACAAAAATAATACTTAGGTTATTAATATAATAGTTACTTAGAATTTAATCGAATCAAAAACTAAGCAAACAAAAACACACATATCTCAGACCAAAATCCCAAATCTCCCTCAAGCTTTTATTCAACTCAGTTAGAATAATAAGGATTGTATTTCATTGTGTTATAATGTACAATATACAAGGGTATATATAGACAATAATAAACCCTATACAAATATTACTACCGTAAATATAATTATTAGAATACGCCCCCACAAACTGAAGGCGGACAAGAGAGAAGCCAATGTTTGTCCCGGAAATGAAGGAATAAATCCTTGGACAAAGGCTTGGTCAGAATGTCAGCAATCTGATCAGCAGCAGACACAGAGCGAACCGAAACAAACTTTCGTTGAACATGATCAGCGGGATCAGCATGTCTGGTACAGGCATGAAACACCAGATTAGTAGCAAGAAAAACAGAACTACTGTTGTCACACCAAACAGAGGGAGAATGAGGCAACGAAACATCCAATTCAGACAACAAATGACAAACCCAATGCAGCTCAACACAGACATTAGCAATCGCACGAAACTCAGCCTTAGTATACAAACGAGCCACAGTGAGTTGCTTCCGAGATGCCCAGGCAAGGAGATTAGGGCCCAAATATCGGAGAAATCCAGTAGTGGAATGACGATCATCTGGACAACCAGCCCAATCAGTATCACTAAAAGCAGTAAGAGTGCCCAAATCTGTGGGATGTATAACCAAACAGAAATCAATAGTGCTACGAAGATAGCGAAGGACCTGTTTGAGAGCCTGAAAATGAGAGGTGGCGGGCTGATGCATAAACTGACAAAGCTGATTAACCACAAAACATATATTCGGCCGAGTGAGAGTGATATATTGTAGACTACCACAAAGTCGATGATAGGTAGTCGCCTCATTAGGAGACAGTAGGGTACCATCCAAACGGGGCAAACAACACCAGCTTGCATAAGAGTGGAAATAGGCTTGCAATTATGCATATTGGCATGTTGTAGTAAATCGGTAACATACTTGCGCTGAGAGAGGAGCAAACCCCGGGAAGTGCGATGAGCTCCAACACCAAGGAATAACTCAAGGGACCCAAATCCCGAAGAGAAAACTCCTGAGTGAGACAAGAAATAAAATGTTGAACCAGACCAGACGTGCTGCCCGTAATAATAATGTCATCCACATAAACTAGTAGAAAACACAACTGAGACCCACGATGGTATACAAATAGGGAAGGATCACAACGAGACTCCACAAATCCCATGGTGACTAGAAACTCAGCCAATCAAGAATACCAAGCTCGAGGAGCTTGCTTAAGCCCATAAAACGACTTATGCAGCTTACACACATAATGCGGGCGCACGAGATCAATAAAACCCTGGGGTTGAACCATATAGACAGTTTCTTTCAGAACACCATTAAGAAAGGCATTACTGACATCAAGATGAGAGATCGACCATCCAAGAGCCAAGGCAACTATCAACACCGAGCGAATAGTGACCGGCTTAACAACCGGACTAAAAATGTCAGTGTAATCAACTCGAAAAGACTGAGTGAAGCCTCGAGCCACCAACCGAGCCTTATAGCGCTCAACAGAACCATCAGCATGAGTCTTAATCTTATAAAGCTATCGATTTCCGACAACATTGTCGGAGGAAGGAAGGGGAACTGAGGTCTAGGTGTTATTTTTGAGAAGGGTAGAGATTTCATCCTTCATGGCATTTTACCACTTAGGAATAGACTTGACTTGAGTAAAAGATGTAGGGGCAACAGGTGGAAGTGGTGAAATAGAGGCTAGATGAGCCGAAGGATCAAAGATCTTCTTGGGCTTGGGGTTAGAACGGAGTGCCATTGAATGAGAACGGGAAGGTGGAGGAGGAGGAGGTGGTAGAAGGGAACTGGACTCAAATGATGGGGAGTTGGATGCAGGAGAACTAGGTGAAGATGCCGGCGAAACTGAAGGACCGGGAGAATTGGGTAAAAAGGCCATGGTAATGGGAGAAATAGGAGGAGTAGCAGGATTTGAAATATGCACACCAGGAGAAATGGTTACACGCAACCAAGAGGTGGCAGGGGACTCCGGGGGCAAAGATGAAGAACTGGAGATAGGACGTTTAAAGGAAAAGAGTTGCTCATCAAACTCAACATGATGAGTAACATAAAGACGATTATTCATCACATCAAAGCAGTGATAACCAAGATGAGATGGAGAATACCCAAGAAAGACACACTGATTAGAGCGAAAAGAGAACTTATGTCGATTATATTGGCAAAGAAGAGGATAGACAGCACAGCCAAAAATGCGAAGAGAGGTATAATCAGGTGGCTGGTGATATAGTGTAGTGAATGGTATTTGACCCTGAAGAGGTTTACTAGGGCGGCGATTAATCAAGAACACAACAGTTTCAAAGGCAAACTCCCAAAACCGAAAAGGAGTACTAGAATGACCAAGAAGAGCAAGGCCAATGTCAATAATGTGACGAATTTTGCGTTTAGCAGTGCCATTCTGCTCATGAGTGTGAGGGCACACTAGACGATGAACAATACCGACATCCTTAAAGAACGAATGCACAGGAGGAAATTCACCACCCCAATTAGAGTTGACACTTTTAATAGTGGTGCCAAATTGGTTCTCTACGAGAGCTTTGAACTGCTTAAAAACATGAAAAACATCACTTTTATGCTTAATGAGATAAATCCATCTGATTAAAGAAAAATCATCAATAAAAAGCACAAAGTAACGATAGCCATTAAAGGACAAAATAGGAGAAGGACCCCAAACATCAGTATGGATTAAATTAAGGGGGTTAGAACTACGATGAAATGTAGAAGGTAAACTAACCCTATGTAACTTCCCTAGGCAACATGCCTCACATTTATCAGTAGACGTGGACAAAGATGAATGAGGGAGTTGAAATTGCTTAACCAAAGCACGAAGAATGAAATTATTAGGGTGTCCTAAATGGGCATGCCATTAACCTAAGGAAATGAGATAAGCTTCCGGAGACAAGGAACCACGAGCAGGGAGATCCAACCTATAGAGGCCATTATCAGCCCTACCGCGGAGGAGTAGTTCCTTGGTTAATAGATCCTTAACACAACAGGAGTCAGAATAAAATTCAAAGAAATAGTGATTATCCCATGTAAATTGCTGAAAACATAATAAAGGTTTAGTGAGATTAGGGGCATGCAGGACACGATTTAAATAAAAAGGACGAGAGGATGAAGGAAAAATAGATTGACCAACATGCGTAATAGGTAAAGCAGGACCATTACCAACTAAAATATGATTCGTACAAGTATAATCATTGGCAATGTTGAGAGACGTCAAATCAGGTGTTGCATGAGCTGTAGCACCAGTGTCAGGATGCCATGGAGTAAGAGGAGGAGGAGCATACTGGACCATATGTGCTTGAGGATGTGCACGTATTGGTAAAGGAGGGAGACTATCAAAAGGAATGGTAGTGTGAGGAGGGAAATTTGAGTCAAAGTGGTGACAACAAGTGAAGGCAGTGTGATTGGGAATATTGCATAGCTGATAAACTGTTACCGGTTTGCGAGGAGGGAAATTAGAGTCAAAGCGGTGAGAGCATGTAAATGCACCGTGATATGGAGTATTGCATAGCTGACAGACTGATGTGCAAAGAGTGAATTTGAAGTCAAAGTGATGAGAACAAGTGAATGCGGTATGATTGGGAACACATAGTTGACAGACCGGTACTGATGGTACAGTCATAGGAGAGGTGGATGAAAGGATAGGAGAAGTCATGTTTCGATGGCAGGTTTTCTTCTTCTCTTTTTTTTTGGCCAAACAAACAAGAAGAGGAAGGCATGCAGTAGCTGCAATGAAAGAAGAGAAAAAAAAAGAGTTGTCGGCAGTAGGAAAGGATGTGCGACAATGGAAAAATATTAAGTACCGGCAAGAAAAAAAAATTCAATGGACAAATTATTAATCAAAAGTCCTACATGGACGAATCACAAACTACTAGAACTGATTTGCACAAACCAAAAGTGCTGTGACTAATTTGCAGAATAGAAAATTTGAGGGATTGATTTGAAAATTTGATAAAGTAAAAGGGCTGAAACTAAAAACCCAAAAATTAAATGATGATGGATGACGAGGATGGGGGATGATGGATGTATTGATGGGATGACAGGCGAAGCAAAAAAATAAAGGTCTGTGCGTGGGCTTTTTTTTTTCCCTTTGGTTTGCTGGTGCATTTTGGGTGATGACCGCCGACAAAGGAAAACTGGAGCGGCAGAAAGGAGAGGGCAGAATGATGCTGCTGCGGTGGGAATGAAGAAGAAGAAGAACGTGCGGGGGGAAGAGGATGTAGAAGAGCTGCCGGCAGCGCAAGAAAAAGAAATAGTTCGGTCGGCAGCAGAGATGGAGACGGCGGATGGCCGAGAAGGAAGAAGAGACACACGACCGGAAAAAAAAAAATCTAGCTCTGTACCAAGTTAGAATAATAAACATTGTATTTCATTGT